CAATCAGGATAGTTATTGCCACAGATGCAAGCCCAGAGGGATGAGACGCTCACACAGGATTGAGGACAGTCCAAGGAATCTGGTCCAAACAAGAGAGCAAGTACAGCATAAACTGGCTAGCGCTCCGGGCAATCCTATATGATAACAAGGCCCTGCTCCCATATCTGGGCCCACCTCATGCTGATCATGACAGATGACACCACAGGTATGTCGTATGTCAACAAACAAAAGGGAACAAGGTTTATAGTCCTTCAAAGAAAAACTCCTCCTGATGACTTGGGCAGAGGAGAATTTGCAGTCAACTTACTCCCTTGACATCCAATAAAAAGTTGAAAGTCACAGCTGATGGCTCAGGCAAAAGTTAGATCATTCAGAATGGGAACTACACCCCATGGTGTTCCATCTATTGATAAAGAATTTGGTCTCCCAGAAGTGGATCTATTTGCCTCCCACCTGAATCACAAAGTTCAGTGCTATTCTTTTGCTGTGGGGTCACAAAAATGGCCAAAAGACACTCTTACCTATCTTTCCTTTCCTCACCAGGATGCTTCAGAAGATCAGTAGAGAAGCAGCACTGGTAAATCTGGAAGCCACTGTGATGTTTTGGGGTGCTCTCAGACCAGTATGGGGCTCTGACACTGCCTTCCCTATTACCTTGTGTGAGACTTTGTGCTGTGAAGCTGTCATTCAGATCCTTGACACCAATAGCCAGACCTCAAGCATAAGTTCTCACCTGGGCTCTCAGCAGCCTAGTTACTACTTGCAGGGTGACACCAACAGCTCTTCTAGGCCCGAGTCTCTCCAAATACAGTCTCCCTGAGTTCTTAATTACCAAACACTGGCACTGTTCCCCCCTGGTTTATCACCCCCAAAATCAGCCCTCCAGCTACCAGCTTGCATTGGCATATACATGCCACATTGTATCTTGGGATTGAGCTAGGGTGCAAAGTACATCTGTCACAAATAACAGGTTCTCTAACTCAGGCAGCTACTTAGAGGTAATTAAGAAGATGAAATTGGTGAAATGCACACAAACTTTGAGCTTTAGTTAATAAAGACAAATATAATTGAAATAAGAGAAATTAATATACACAAGAATAAATACAATAATGTAGTTTCCTGCATTGTTCACACTTACAGTCTTACACTGCACATACTTACCACCTTATGGAGACCGTTAGAAACAAAGATGGAAGGAAATTTAAAAGGAGATCACCCCAAGAGAAAGGTGCTGGGCCTGGCTTCCCACCTCATTGTCCCATGTAATTGTTCTGGTGTCCCAATAACAGGTCTGACAACCACATCATTTGTATACCTTTTCCTATTCCACCCACATATGACCAGGTCCAGATCTGACACATGTCCAGGTACATATTCCAGCACGTGTGTGGTGTTCTAGCCAACCATATGTGGTACTCTGGCTAACTATAGTTAAACTGCTGACCGTTAATACCTCAATTGCATCAATTAATGTCCCAGAAGTTTCACTACGTCCACACAGTTAGCTCTATGGTTACTATATTACAAAAGTACCCTAAGATGATACCGTGTGTTCATGTGTGGTTTACCTGCTTATCACACAATACATTACTAAATGATCACAAAATAAATATTGCTAAATTTTATAACCATAGGTCAAGCAAGTATAATTTCATAACCTTTGGTCAAGCACATACTACTCATGCTGGCTTATGCCAACTGCCAGCTTCTAATGGGCTTCATTCTAAGCCCTTAATACTTAATGTTTAAGACCTATAGCCAAGTGTATTTTTCATAACTACATACTTCTAGTTGCTATTACAGTTTCAAGAACTTCCATTATTCTTTCTATAAGCATGCTTAAGCAGATATGTTAAATTTTACCCTAAACTATAAACCCTCCAAAGTTGGGTCAGAGATCAATAGTCAATAATACAGTTTGCAGACCAGATACCTGCTTGGTATGAAAATAATCAAAACGTTTATTTAATAGAAAAATCACAGATTCAAAGATGAAATAGTAAAGCAAAAGCAAACATATACAAGTTACACAGAAACATAAAGACACAATCTCAGCCTTTACACTTTCACATCAATAAAATCCCTTATCTAATAAAATACCCTGATGCCTTTACGCAGTTTCCCAGCATACACCCTAGCTATCACATTCATGGATCCAGCATTCATGGACAGTCACCCACCTCAAGACTGTTCCTCGGGTTCTGAATAAAAAAACATCAGTTGCAAGCTGTTTTTAAAAGGCTTTTTCTTTTCTATTTCCCCCTTTTGGCCCATGATAACTCATGGTTATTCAGAGGAGGGAAACTACCTCTTGACTTTGACAGCTTGGGGGGATGTCTCAATGTTTTCCATTAACTCTAACAGAGAGACAAGGTGGGTGAGGTAATATCTTTTATTGGACCAACTTCTGTTGGTGAAAGAGACAAGTTTTTGAGCTTACACAGAGCTCTACTTCAGGTGTGGAGATTTGCATAAGCTCAAAAGTTTTGTCTCTCTGATCAACGGAAGATGGTCCAGTAAAAGATACTTCCACACCCACTTTGTCTCTCTAAAATACCCTGGGACCAACACAGTTACAACAACACTGCATACATTAACTCTAATGGTCCATCATTGTCTTTTCCTGGGCTGGACTGTTACTTAAATCTGGTTTCATGTAAACACCCGGCTTGTGAGGGCCACCCCTCCGTGCTTGATTGTTCACTCTCCTGCTGGGAGGTGTAGTTGGAGTTGTAGTACAGATTATGAGCACAGTTTTCCATATACACAAATACACAGATTCATAATTTCAGTCTGTATACATATCTCATAATGGCGATCAAGTTCAGAACATTACCAGTTTTCATAAAAGACCTTACTTGATAGTACAATAATACAGTATGTAATCAGTTGCTTTAACTGCTCATTTTTGGGGTATAAACCTTTAGTTCTCCACTTGGGATGTCTGGCCCCTAGTTGTCACAGCTGCATTCTGGCCAAGGAGATCTTGATTCTCTGACCACCTTAACATAGTACAAATACCTCCCATGCCCTTTTCACCTAGAGGGGATATGATATTACAAAGTCTGGTTATGCGTCAGAATCCAGAAAGTCTGAACCTAGGTGCTTGGTTCTTGAATGGAGCCTCTTGAGCCAAAATCTTAGAAGAAGTAATATTCACACTTCTAGCTTCCAGAGATAAGTTGACTAACTCAGTGTATTCAGTGGCCTGGTTGAGGATTATCCATTGGTACCAGGACAAGGAGTTCACTCCTCACATTTGCATCAATACTACAGATTCTTGAATTTCTTTGAGATGGACTCAAGCTAGGCCTGGCAGTTTAGACTCACAAAGATCAAGTTACTGCTTTGTCTAGCATCCTTAATGCAGCAGACAAGAAGTAAATTTCACCTTACCCAGATGTCCAGCATTTTTCTTATGAGAGCAACATTTTCTTCTACTTCCTTCTCAGTTGCACAAAGTTCTTTTATGACATCTTACCTGGTTCTCAGTGCCATTAAAGGCCCTCCATTTGAACCACTCATGAAGGTATATAATTAATTCCTAACCATAGAAGTGGCTTTTTTATTGTAATTATGTCTGTTCACAGGGTGTCAGAGTAGGGTGCTCTTTTTCTGGAACCTCAATATTGCACCTTCCATAAATCTGACCTTGTCTTAATACTAAAGATTAACTCCAGACTCCATAAAGCACAGGATATTGCTCTTCCACCCTTCTGCCCACCTCTGTTGACCCCCAAAGACAAATTGTGGCATACTTTGGATGTCTGCAGAGCTCTCAAAGGATATATTCACTGCACAGTTCAGATCACAGAGAGAAATGCTTTTTATGCTTTATTATCTGGTGTCAAAGGGAAAGAAGGCTTTGAAATCTTCAGTAATTGAGCCACCTGGAAATGGTATCTCAGCAGCATAGAAGTGAGAAAGCATAACTCCATCTTCCAATATCAGAACTTGGTCCTCCAGAACTGCAGTCACTTCATGGGCCAGAAGACCTTACACCTCCTACAAAGAAATTGGTAAAGCAGCCACTTGGTCATCTGTCCATACTAGCTTCAAATTCTACAAGCTGGACATCAGTCATGATTTGATGCTGCCTTTGGTAGTCAGGTGCTCCTTGCTGTAGTATCCCAGTAATTATTAGGAAAGGGTTATCCCTTTTACATCTATACATAACTGTATATAGAGGTTCGCCCCATCCCCTCCCTCAAATGGATACAGCTATGAAAATTGCAATGTCATGGATTTGAGGACCTCATTACAAATAAGAATAGAGAAATTTATCTGCGCCTTACCTGAAAATTTCCTTTGTTGGAGTAATGAGGTCCACAGATCCAACACATCCTGAGTGGGATGTTAACTGGGAAAAGATTTGGGATTATTAACTGGCACTCAGTGTTATTTATTGAATTCCTTGATCTGCAGGAGTATTGTTCTTTTTAGTTTAATGCTTTTTAAAAAAAATTTTTTTTTACTGATTTGTGATTAATTCTTATAGGCTATGGAAGTGTCTCAAATGGCAGTGTCTCATAGGTGGAGCCACACCTCCCCTGCCTCTGATTGACAGGTTTTGTCCGCACCAATGCTGCATAGAGCAAAGATCCAATGTCATGGGTTTGTGGACATCATTATTCCAAGGAGGGAAATTTTTAGGTGAGGTGTGGATATATTTCTTGTTATGAGTTCACTGAAGTTTGATATTTCAGTATTAGAACCCCATTTGCATTCTTTTTTTCCTTACCACAAGCACAGCTATGGAACATCACTAAGACCTTGCAAACTAGGGAGATTTATATGGCTATATGTATGTCTCAATGACTTGGACACTTTTATGCTATTCTCAGTAGGTCTCATTTTTTAAAGTCCCTTTCTTTGTGAAACATTAGAACTTTCACAACAAGGTCTTGAAGACTTTAGAACTGAGTACTTTCTAAGGTGCCACCATGTCTAGTTTTGGTTATTTAAAAAACATGCAATATACACGAGTGTGTTTCTTCCAGTATATTAGAACCTCTTATGACACCAAGCTGGACCAGCTATTACATCTGATGCTGAAAGAATGGCAGATGGAGCTGCCAAAGCTAGTGATCTCTGTTCATGGAGGCATCCAAAACTTCAAGCTTCCATCTAAGGTCAAACAGGTTTTCAGCAAAGGGTTGGTCAAAGCGGCTGAGACTACAGGAGCATGGATAATAACAGAAGGCATCAACAGTGGTAATTCTTTTTATCTATCTGGCTTTTCATCTAATACTTGCTCTTTGTTTTTCTCAGACGTACAAACTTGAGGGGTGATACAATGTATTGATGTAATGCAGTAATTTGGGGTTACTTATAACACAAAATAAGAAACTATAATTTGGAAATAAAAATAAAAGAAAATAGATATTTTGAGGGTATAGTAGACATGGGTGTGTCATCAGGCTGCTCCAGTTTTGACCAGTATTGTTAATACTTTCTATGAAAAAAGACCTGATCGTGTTATGCATGAAATAAGAAGCAAACTGCAGACCAATTGGAGTTGGCTGGAGTGCTTGACTTAGAATAGATTTTGATCTATTTTAGTAAAATGGTTGGAGTCCTAATACTGTATCAACTGCTAGCTATTTTGGTCAAGTGTTTGTTTTAAACAAAATTTCATTTATTTAGATTTCATTCAGGTTTATAAGTGTGAGCATTTTAAATTATGGTGCTCTGTTAACTAACCTGTGAATGCACTGAAACTCCCTGAAGAGTCACTCTTTACATTCCTCAAATGCTGAAATAATCTTGTTTCTTTAGTTGTATTCAGTGTAGTCATCTCACTTAGGGAACATGCTGATCTAGGGGAAGCTCGCAATGACCTATACTACCCTGCTATAGTGCAATATCCCATAATGGAAATGGCGATAATAATTAGATTATAAAATCTATGGGATGGACTTTGCCATATCACTGAACTCTAGAGTAATTGTTCATAACATATAAATTATTAGATTAATTTAATCATTTTTCTGTTATCTGTAACGGCTCTGCAAACAGACTTTTTTTTTTTAACAGATTAGCTTTTTCAAAATTGTTAAAACACTTTGTAAACACACAGATTTCAGACAATGAGTTATTTGCAAACTATTCACAATGGGCCAGATCTTCTCGTGACCCCCTGAGGGGTCCCAAACCCCAGTTTGAGAACCCCTGAGTTAGTGTAAATCAGTATAGCTTTCTGAAAATCAGTGTAGCAATGCTGACTTACACCAGTTGAGGGTCAGGCCTTTTAACTAAGGGCTTGTCTGCACAGGGACATTCAGGGAAATTAATCCATATTAACTAAAGATGTGAATTTGAAGTGGATTACTTAAACCACATTAAATCCCTGTTTGGAATAAACCAAAGGAGGGTTGGGAATACTAACAAAGTGAATTGGTGATGTTTATACTCTCATAGCAATTTTCCAGTTCTAAGTGTGCGTGCTCCCTATTGATCAGGATCAGGCCTTGAATCACTGGCTGGCATTCATGATACTGTGGGCTGAGGAACTTTCAGTTTTGAAATTACTGTTTCAGTGTGTATTAGAAGAGGTTGGAAGGGGATAATAGACAAGGGAAAGAAAGATGCATTAGTTTTCTTAGCTATTCTATAATTCAAAAATCAGAAAAGGTCACAGTCAAGGTATTTTTTTTATAATATTAAAATATTTTTTAATTGCTGTTAGTTGTCATAACTGCTTGAAAATTTGAAAGTGAAATGTTTCCTTATCCATTTTTTTTTTGTTTTTTTACTCAAGTTATTTTATTAAGTGTAGAGTTTCTCCTCAGTGTGAGGCTGCTGATTTGTTATGTAGGACTTTTATAAAATAACAGGTTTCTTCTGGGTGAAAATATTCAAAAACAATTAGTTTATTTTGAAAAAAGTTCTCAAAAATTGGGGCACATCAACTTTGATATCCATTCAAAGTTATTTAAATGGTTAAAAATAAAAATTAGATTCAATACTTTAAAAAGTAAGTCCTGAAGAAGAGATCCATTTTGACCTTATTTCTGAAAACACTTACGCTTAACATTATGCATGTGAATAGTCCCATTGGTTACACACACGTGTAATGTTAAGCATGAGCAAGTCTGGAAGAATGGGGCACTATATTATTGTGTCCATTAATTAAACCTCACTTTTCCTATAATCCAGGGGTTCTCAAACTGGGGGTCGGGACCCCTCAGGGGTCGCAAGGTTATTACATGGGAGGGGGGGTCGTGATCTGTCAGCCTCCAACCCAAACCCCGCTTTGCCTCCAGCATTTATAATGGTGTTAAATATACAAAAAAGTGTTTTTTTAAATTTATGAGGGAGGTCGCACTCAGAGGGTTGCTATGTGAAAGGGGTCACCAGTACACAAGTTTGAGAACCACTGCTGTAATCTATATGAAGTATAACAATAGAGTGTATAATTATAATTACACTTACGTTAAAAATAACTACAGAGTAAAATAGATGATGGAAGCAACTTTGGAAGTGTTGATCACAGTTGTGTAGCAGGAATTCAAATGTAGAATAATAATAATGATGATTATCTATTTAGGAGTGTCCAGGCATGTGGGGGATGCCCTGAAAGCTCATGCCTCTCAATATTTGAGAAAGGTCTGTGCCATTGGAATCCCTCCTTGGGGTATCATTGAGAACCAGAGGGACCTGATTGGAAAAGATGTGAGTTAATTAACTTTTTGTTCAGTCAATTGTACAAGAGTCTGACAGCTTTCTTATCCACTTGTTGGTTTCCACTGTATTGTATCTTAATTTTTGGTGGCCAGATGGGAAACTGCCATGCATCATGAAAGAAGTAGTCCAGCCCATGGGGGGAATAAAGGCATAAAGCACTCACATTACAGGTGCCCATAAGGCACTACAGTAGCTCAGTCAAGTGTAGACCTGAAATGAAATGTTTGTTTCAATTTTTTCAAATGCAAAAATTGAAAATATTAGGAAAAATTTACTTTTTTACTGTGGAAAATTTCAGTTTTGTAAAAAATACATTTTATCCTTGTCAAGGTTCCTTCTCCACTCTGAACTCTAGGGTACAGATGTGGGGACCTGCATGAAAACCCCCTAAGCTTATTTTTATCAGCTTAGGTTAAAACTTCCCCAAGGTACAAACTATTTTACCTTTTGTCCCTGGACTTTATTGCTGCCACCACTAAGCATCTAACAAATATAACCAGGAAAGAGGCCACTTGGAAATGTCTTTCCCCCCAAAATCTCCCCAAGCCCTACACCCCCTTTCCTGGGGAAGGCTTGATAAAAATCCTCACCAATTTGCATAGGTGAACACAGACCCAAACTGTTGGATCTTAAGAACAAGGAAAAAGCAATCAGGTTCTTAAAAGAAGAATTTTAATCGAAGAAAAAGTAAAAGAATCACCTCTTTAAAATCAGGATGGTAAATACCTTACAGGGTAATCAGATTCAAAACATAGAAAATCCCTCTTGGCAAAACCTTAAGTTACAAAAAGAGACAAATACAGGAATATACATTCCATTCAGCACAACTTATTTTATCAGACATTTAAACAAAACAGACTCTAACGCATATCTAACTAGATTGCTTATTAACTCTTTACAGGAGTTCTGACCTGCATTCCTGCTCTGGTCCCGGAAAAAGCAACACACAGACAGAGAGAACCCTTTGTTCCCCCCCCCAGCTTTGAAAGTATCTTGTCTCCTTATTGGTCATTTTGGTCAGGTGCCAGCAAGGTTATCTATAGCTTCTTAACCCGTTACAGGTGAAAGGGTTTTTCCTCTGGCCAGGAAGGATTTAAAGGTGGTTAGCCTTCCCTTTATATTTATGACAATCCTAAAAAAAATATTGACAGCAAATTCCCAACCAGCGCTAATAGTATTAAGCCCATAAAAACTTTGTTTAATGACAGTTAAGGATGACTGGGAATGCCCCACCAACTCAAAACCTAAAAAGTATGGAAATAACAAGTTAAGGGGAAATTCTCCTGCATTTCTTGCTGCTTTCATATTGTCTGCAACACTGTCGATAACTCACTCCTGCACTCCATAAGGCTTTCACTTCCATTTCCGACAGATACGAAAAAAAATATGTATGCCAGCTTCATCAAACGTGCACTTTTGAGCATGATTAGGCCTCCTAAGTGCTATGGTAATACAAATGACAATAATAATACTACTAATAATTAATAATGCCTTAACATTGCTGAGGTTACCGTTAAGATTAGAGAGCAAGGTATCACTGAGCTGCCCGCCGATCCAGCGGGTAGTATAGACATACCCGAAGAGAAGTTTTTGTGTTCATTTCCTAGGTTTTTTTTTTTTTTTGTAGAGGGTTGGCCCCTAGGGTCAAAGAGAGAAGAGGGGGAGATGCAAATGGCTGAAATATAAAACACCTGTATTTTGGTGTTTAACACTATAATTTACAAATTGTAGTAGTCCTTAATTACAAATATGTGTTATAGGATATTTTCTCATTGTGTGACTTAAATAAACTAGTTCTTTTTTAAAACAAAACTCTAAAAACAAAATCTGTTATATGTGGACATCCATAACAACATCTCAGAGAGGGGACAGCAGGGTTTGAACCCTTGTCCCTCAGTTTAAATCTCTATCACTTGATGTACAATAGTAATTGCTTGTGTCTACTTAAGGCTCAGCTGCTAGAGGTAGATTTGGCACAAACTTTTTCTGTGGGTTACACAACTGTTTGCTAGATAGCTGGATACCAGGAATGCTGGGCTATAGCTCTGGCTCTGGGCTAAAAGTATGATTTTGTGATTAGATAGGATATTCAAAGCACATTCATCGTGAAAGGCAGTGTGGCTGACTAGATAAGATATGCGCTGACATGTTAGAGCCCTGGGTTCTATTTCCGAAATATCATTGTATAACTTCTCTATTAACTTATTTGTAAAATGAGGTCGCAGCTCATATTAGGTTGCCTTCTAGGACAGGGTTCATAACTGATATTTTATTAATCAGCAGATGAAGAGCAATATGTGGTGCAAAGCACAGAGTGCTATAGGTTTTTTTGCAAAGGGATCCCAAAAAAGTAAGATAATCCCATAAAATACTTTAAGAAAGGAACTATTTTGGAACTATTATTTTTTCTGTGTGAAGCCAATTTTCATCAAAACACCATGAAAAATTCAAATAGTGTTCAAAGTTTACTTTTTAAGTTTTGTGTTTACCATTTTATTAAGATTTTTTACAAAATAAGCTGAAAATTCTGAAAACTTGAGCGAGGGGGTAGTAATCAGTGACTCCATAATAATGATAGGTTTCAGAGGAACAGCCGTGTTAGTCTGTATTCGCAAAAAGAAAAGGAGTACTTGTGGCACCTTAGAGACTAACCAATTTATTTGAGCATGAGCTTTCGTGAGCTACAGCTCACTTCATCAGATGTTATACCGTGGAATGAAGTGAGCTGTAGCTCACGAAAGCTCATGCTCAAATAAATTGGTTAGTCTCTAAGGTGCCACAAGTACTCCTTTTCTTTTTGCATAATAATGATATCTTCCATTGACTATATATTACACAGACTTGAAGGTTTACTATTTTTTAAAGATTTCCATTCATCTAGAATTCAGAATGTAAAAATGGCCATAAATGAATGAATGAATAAATAATCTGGGATCATGTATATATTCTCTAAAATAATACTAAAATGGCATAGTTGTCTTTCACAATATAGAGCCAGACAGTAATACTTTTACTCACATTTGGTAGTTTCTTAATCCTCAAATTGACTTCAACGGGACTTGACATGGAGTAAGGTACTATTCAGTGTGAGTAAGCATACCACAGTCTGGTCCACACAGTGAGGCCAAGCAGCGGTACACAGAAAAAATAATTTTGGGCATTGTTATTTTCCAGATCTTGATTCCAGTGTACTTTCCACTGGAGTGCCATGAATGGTGAGAGGATAGACCCGTTGTAGTCTCCCATAGAATGATGTAGAGAATTTTCCCCTAGGTGTGGTAGAAACTTTTACAAGTTTATCATGTAACAATGAAGTATATAAAAGTTAGGTCATGTGCCAGGTGACTTTACTTCAGCCTCCTTTTGATTTTCTCAGGTAGTTCGCCTATATCAGACTCTCAGCAATCCTCTTAGCAAGCTGAGCACCCTCAACAGCACGCACTCCCATTTCGTACTGGCAGATGATGGGACAGTGGGAAAATATGGCAATGAGATGAAGCTCAGGAGGAATCTTGAGAAATACTTAAACCTTCAGAAAATACACACTGGTGAGTATTGTGATGTCAAATTTATCACAGGTTAAAAGATTTTTAAGATGCTGAGGACTTCCTGTGATATGCTGGGTGTCTTCTACTTCCATGGATTTCACTGGGAATGAGGATGGCTCAGCATCTTGAAGGATCAAGCCATAAATACTCAAAGGGGGCGAGGGGGAAGGAAAGGAACAATTTTTTTTCAAAAATCACTAATGACTTTGGGTGTTTTTGATTTCCCAGTTTGGGACCTCTGTGATGACTCTGATATTATACACTGAAAATCAGACCCATTTAAAGCCTGTCAAACTGGGCACCCAAAAATTGAAAATGTTGACCTGGAGTTCTAGAAAGCCAGAGTAGAGCATGGCTTCTGTTTCATAACTCTTTATGACAGCACTGATAACTTTTTCTCAAATATTTACCAGACATTTATAAAGAGAAAAAAATGTCAAATACAGTAAAATTCACGTTTTGCAATCTCACTGTGCAATTCTTTTGCATTCCACAACTGTCATTTTTGTTGTTGGCAAACAGTGCAATAACTAGTTGCAAAAGAGGAATTGAAAAAATATCCAATCAATCTTTTGTGTCTGTGAAATAAGCGAAAGGCAAGTTTCACAACTTTCATTTCCATTGTGGAATTGTTTGCACATTTAATACCTCAGTTATGTCTGAGTTAAAGACACCATCAAATAGGTATTTGTAGCCTGTGTAAAGTACTTATTTTCATGTAATAAGACCATCATCAGTGATTTATGGAAAGCTTGATACTGGTCTAATGAGCAAATCAGAAGGTATGTTAGAAAGAAACACCATTAGGTCAATTGTAATTGTTAAGTCCTTCCTTCCTTTTACCTACTCACCTCTTATTAGCACAGAGACGCATCCAAGAATCTCTTGAATCCATTCATGTTTTTTGTTTCCTGTTCAGTTTTAGATATAAAAAAATAGAATTCTTAATTATTGTATATTAGGTTTTCATTTGCTATGTCCATTTTTGTTTACTGTACCATTACCCAACTACCAGCTATTTCAAATTATTAAAATCACCTCTCCCAAGAATACATAACATATAGACAATTTTTTTTAAAAAGCCCCCGGTTGCTCATGAGTGTGTGCAAATATTTATATGCATAGTCACTTTTTCTATGCATGCACAAATTTTGCAAGCAAAACTCACAAGAACTGCTATTGCAGGCCATGCAAGGGAAGGGAAGGCTTCTTGTGCCCCATTTTCTTCCTCATGAGTCAATGCCCAGGCCTGCTTATAATCTTGTGCACAGTTTCTCAATAATCTTTTGTTTTAATGGCAGAGTTCCCTTGAGACAGCCTTGAAATGCCTGACACAAGGTGGGAGAAATAAAGGCATTGTTTTGTTTTTATCAATTAAAAACATGATTTCTATGAGATATTTTTTGTGGGTACAAGTTGACAAACCTATGTTTATGATGTGTACTGTGGGAGTGATAACTTTGCTGTTAGTAACGGTTGTGTGTGGTTTGAAACAGGAATGGGCCAAGGTGTACCGGTGGTTGGGCTAGTGGTAGAAGGAGGCCCAAACGTGATCCTAATGGTTTGGGAGTATGTGAGGGATACTCCTGCTGTCCCTGTGGTGGTCTGCGAGGGCACTGGCCGAGCTGCAGATCTTCTGGCTTTTATTCATAAACACACAGTAGATACAGGGTGAGTAGCTGCAGGCTGCACCACTTTTTTTTTTTTAATTATTGTGTGGTGGTAGTGAAAATGCTTATCTCCAAATCAAAGACAATTGTGAGAACTGTAGTGAAGTAGTCTTTGCCAGGAAGTGCAGAGTTCTGATCTCACCCCTGATGACAACCTCTCCAGCCCCTGTGACCTTTCCCTAGACTTAACCTCTCGGATGGAATTTCCCTTGTGATAAAAAATAGCAAGATTTGCACAAAAATAATGAGATTATTGTTAAATAGTTAATATACAAAATTTTAATTTTTTGGTGATCCATTTTTTAATTTTTGGAATCCTCTTGCACATCGTCAGTGTGTGTTTTATTTGAGACAATTAGTGTTACCCACCATCCTAAATATATTGGGCAAGGTGATTTTCGGCTGCTGCTGAAGGAGCTCTCATTTACAAATCTGCTTGTCCTCTGTCCAGCAATTAATTCTGTCCCCCCACAATCCCAACCCCCAGTAGGTCAGCCCACCCAGTCCCCATAAATTCATTCCCCATCCCCTAGCCTCTTAGTTCACCCCATGCCAGTTCAGCTCCCCCAGCCTCACATCTGCTTCTCCTGCGGTTCTTCACATTCCTATGTGTAGTCCTTGCTGGGCCAGGGTTAGAGTTGAAGGTCTCCTTATTCTGGAGTTAGTGTTTGAATGTATAGGTCTCCATGTGCTATGAATAGGGTTTGGGCCCATACTCTTCCCTGGCCCAGGTATAGGTCTAGGGCTAGGGTTGGAGGCCAGAGGTTTTCCAAGGTTAGGGTTAAGAACATAAGAATGGCCATACTGGGTCAGACCAAAGGTCCATCAAGCCCAGTGTTCTGTCCTCTGACAGTGGCCAATGGCAGGTGCCCCAAGGGAATGAAGGGACATGTTATTATCAAGTGATCCATGCCCTGTCACCCCATCCCTGACTATCCTGGCTAACAGCCATTGATGGATCTATCTTCTATGAATCTATCTAGCTCCCTTTTGAAACCTGTTATAGTCTTGGCCTTCACAACATCCTCTGGCAAGGAGTTCCACAGGTTGAGTGTGCGTTGTGTGAAGAAATACTTGCTTTTGTTTGTTTTAAACCTGCTGCCTATTAATTTCATTTGGTGACCCCTAGTTCTTGTGTTATGAGGAGGAGTAAATAACACTTCCTTATTTACTTCCTCTATACCACTCATGATTTTATAGACCTCTATCATCTCCTCCTCCTTAGTCACCTCTTTTCCAAGCTGAAAAGTCCCAGTCTTATTAATCTCTCCTCATACGGAAGCCGTTCCATATCCCTAATCATTTTTGTTCCCCTTTTCTGAACCTTTTTCAATTCCAATATATCTTTTTTGAGATGGGGGCGACCATATCTGCATGCAGTATTCAAGGTGTGGGCTTACCATGGATTTATATAGAGGCAATATGATATTTTCTGTCTTATTATCTATCCCTTTCTTGATGATTCCCAACATTCTGTTCGCTGTTTTGACTGCCACTGCACACTGAGTGGATGATTTGAGAGAACGATCCACAATGACTCCAAGATCTCTTTCTGGAGTGGTAACAGCTAATTTAGACCCCATCATTATATATTTATAGTTAGGATTATGTTTTCCAATGTGCATTACTTTGCATTTATCTGCATTAAATTTCATCTGCCATTTTGTTGCCCAGTCACCCAGTTTTGTGAGATCCCTTTGTAACTCTTCGCAGTCTGCTTTAACTATCTTGAGTAGTTTTGTATCATCTGCAAATTTTGCCACCTTACTGTTTACCCCTTTTTCCAGATTGTTTATGAATCTGTTAAATAGGACTGGGCCCAATACAGATCCCTGGGGGATGCTACTATTTACCTCTCTCCATTCTGAAAACTGACCATTTATTCCTACCCTTTGTTTCCTATCTTTTAACCACTTACCAATCCATGAGAGAACCTTCCCTCTTATCCCATGACTGCTTATTTTGCTTAAGAGCCTTTGGTGAGGGACCTTGTCAAAGGCTTTCTGAAAATCTAAATACACTATATCCACTGGATCTCCTTTGTCCACATGCTTGTTGATCCCCTTAAAGAATTCTAGTAGATTGGTGAGGCACAATTGCTCTTTACAAAAACCATGTTGACTATTTCCCAACAAATTATGTTCATCTATGTATCAGACAATTTTGTCCTTTATGATAGTTTCAACCAATTTGCCCAGTACTGAAGTGAGCCTTACTGGCCTGTAGTTTCCAGGAGCCCTTTTTAAAAATTGGCTTCACATTAGCTAATTAGGTTGGGGCTTGCAGGCTTTTGCAAGCATGGGTTAGGGTTGTAGTATGGAGGCCTCTCTGGGTGAGGGATAGAGTTGGAGACCATAGATGTCCGTAGATTAGGGTTATGGTTAGTGTTGGGACCCCTAGGCATCTGTGGGCCAGTATTAATGCTTGGGCCCATAGCTCTGCCCAGTCTATAGTTGGAGCCTGTGATCCTAGGTGTCACTGGGTTAATGTTAATGTTTGGGCCTATAGGCTTCTTCAGTTATAATTTTGTTTGGACCAGTCAGCATCCTTTTTCTAGATTTAGAGTTTGTATCATTATGTCTCAGAGATATTGTTATGGTTGAGACTAGGCTAGAGGTAGGGTTAGGGTTGAAGGCTGTAGCACACTCCCCATGCTAGGGTTAGCATTGGCCCCATAGTTCTGTCTAAGCTAGTATTATGGTCTGGAAGTATCCCCATGCACAGTTAGGTCTGTCAGTCTTAGGCCTTCTTGGAATAGCATTAAGATTGGAGGCCATAATTCTTCTTGTCTTGGGTTTGAGTTGGAAGTCAGAGGCCTCCCCCAGCTAGGGGATGGAATTGGAGGTATGTCCAGGGTAGCATTAGGATTGGGTCCTGTATGGCTTGCTGTACTCAGTCTAGATTTGGGTCCTGTATGTCTCACTGGTCTAGGGTTATAGTTGGATCCTGTAGTCCTCACCATTCCAGGGTCAGGTTTGGTGTCTGTTGTCCTTTCTAGCCTAGGGTTGTGATTTGAGTCTGTAGCCTTCCTTGGGCTAGAGCAATATTTGTGGTTAGTGGAGGCCAGTGTTAGGTCACTGACTGTAACCCTAGTCCAGGTCCCTCTGGCAACCCCAACTCTAATCCTAGACCTAAGACTTCTGGTTGCTAGAAACCTGTAGTCTTCCTTGGGCTAGAGTTATATTTGTGGTTAGTAGGAGGCCTTCGGGCCAATGTTAGGACACTGATGCAACCCCAGCTTCAATCCTAGGTCTGACTTCTGCAGCCTGAACCCGAACCCAAGGAGCTCTACTGGCTGTATGTCCAATCCTATCCTTGAGACATATGTAGACCCCATCCATAACCCTTGTCTGGTGATCTCTATGGGCACTGATCATGAACTTCTGTGGGTCCAAACTTCAAATGCAACCCTCTCCTGGGGCCAGCCGGCCACTTCATTTTTAATCTTTTCCTGGGTCACCCTCTGGCCCAAACCATGATTGTGTCCCTGGCTCTTCACGGGCCCCCGCCGTAACCCAAGCCCAGGATCACAGATCAGTCTTGTCCCTGATGCTAGCCCACAAAGAGAAGGTAAGCACCTTCTCAGGCTGTTTAGTGTGGAGTAAGGCAGTAGCTTCCAACCTTGACACTAGTCTGGGTCTGCCTGTGGGCCCAACCTCTACTCTATCCCGAAGTCATCGACTCATTTCAACACCGACATCACTCCCAGGGATGCTTGCGGACTTCAGCCCCAATCTTATCCCCATGGACCTGTGCGCTCCATTCCAAGCCATAACACCATGGACATCTGCAGGCCCCAAATCTGACCTTATCCCTGGTGAGCCCCACAGGTCCTGCTCTGACCCTAATCTGCAGCCGTGGCCTTAACCCTGTTGTGACCATCAGCCATGGCCACCAACTGACCCCAGCCCCAACTGTAGGCCAGGGCCATAGACAAGCTTGAACCTTAACAGAAACTTACCCATAGAATACCATGTCCAGTACTGACCTTGACACTGATTGTGGGTGCTGGACATCCAGCCAGTCCCAACCATAATACTTGACAGTGGCTAGCACTTGACTCCAAATCCAAACCTAGCCCAGGATCACCATTGGCCCTATCCCTAACCCACCCCCAGGGCCAACAATTGGTCCCAATCTTTGTTAATAACCAGCACCAACTCTAACCCCAGCCCTGCATCATCAGCTGATTTTTCCCTAGCCCAGGGCCCCTATCTGGTCCCAATGCTCACCCTAGCATGGGGACTTCATCCTGTCCCAGCCATTTTCCTGAGTTGAGGCCCCCATCTGACCTCATCCCTAAACCTGATTTGAGGTCCCCATGCAGATCAAAACTGAACCCTAGGTCTTAGTTTCCAAGCATAATCCTGACCCCTCTCCACACTTTTCAATTCTAACAACCTGGGGCCCACATCTTCCTGGGTCTGCCATCTGGCCATATTGTATCTCTGTCCCTCATCTGCAATCTGTCCCTAATTCTGAGCCAAGTTTGGGGTTCCCTTTTGGCCCCAATACTAAACCTAGTATGCTGTCCCAACATGCCAGGAGCCTCTAATTAAGGCCCACATCTATGCCCAACCCCAACCTTAGCTCAGGGCCAGCAATGCACCTCAAATCTAAACAAATGTGGATTTTTTAAAATAATTTTTTTTTTCATGGGAAAATGGGTTTTTTTATAAATCAAAAATGTTAATGAACAATTATCCATTTTTGAAAATGTTCATGGACTTATTCACAACGTTGTCATTATTTAAACATTTGTAGTATATATTTTGTTCTATATCTCTCTTTGATGTTGTTTGTTAGCTTTTTAGAGTATAATTTTTGGAATCATGTTTTCATATTTTTGGTAACTTACTTTTATATCTTTTTTGCCTGTTCTTTTTATTTTCTTCTCCCTCCCTTTCCTTTTTTTCCATTATTTTTCTTGTCATTAAAAAGAAATTAGTTAAAAAAACTTACTGGAAAATGAAAGGAGAAATGAAAAAAAGATGAAAAAAGATAACAATAAAAAACCCAGAAAATAATAAACGGAAAGTAAAATACCAAGCAACTTAAATTATGTTCACAAAATTTAATTAAAAAGGTAGAAAAAAATTGCAAAAGCAAGTTTGAAATCTCAGTTTTTCATGAAATTGTTTAAATTTTTTACTAGCTCCATTCATAATACTTTTCAAACTAATTAGCTTTGCCATTGATTGCGTTTACATGGGTTCATAACGTTTAAATACAGTATTAAATAAATATTTAATATTGTATATTGGTTATGTCCTGCCTTTGTTATGCATGAGTGGTACTGTGAAAGGTGAAGGCAATATCGTACTGAAGACAAAGTATGCATTGCTGTATCCACTGGTCTACTCTGTTCTCACAAGTTTCTTCTGTTAGTGTAACATCTGACAAAGAGATCAGTCAGATGAGGCATCCTACGGTACAATTTATTCTTGTCTGTGTATTTATTTGTTCCTCAGAGACTTGCTCCCTCAGCTGAAGGAGGAGATATCAATAATGATTCAGAACACCTTTAATTTTGGGCAGAAACAGTCCATTCATCTATTTCAAATGCTGATGGAGTGTATGGCGCACAGAGAATCTGTGAGTATGATGGATTGTTGGTTTGTATTACGATCTCTTTCATTTGCTATACAAGTGTGATCTTTTTGTTGATTATGAAATATATTGGCCTGGGCACAGAGGCTATTGTAATAATGTTATCTCTGATATAAATATAGCAGGCCAAAGTTTGTCGTCAATTACCTCTGTTCAGTCTCATTTGTGTTAATGAAGGTTTCATAAGTTGTTTGTTTTCCAGATGGACTTTTCCCATCCCTTTTATGAGACCCAGGTGTTTCAACACAATTAGTCCAGTGCCCTTAGGCTGGGAAGTAGCTAATTCTGGCAAAGGCAGGCTGATTGAACAGGGCTGGCTAGCAGACACAGGTCTCCTGGCCCTGAAAGGGGCAGGCCACCCTGTTACACATTTCTCTCCCTCTCTCCCTAAAGCTTTGCTTGGCCCCAGGGCAAGTTCTACCATTTACAGCCATACGTCAAGCTTGGACAGGCTGTTTTCCTGGCTGCCATCTCTCCTACTCTTCTCTTAGCTGGCTAACATCTGAGATCAACTGGTCTTTTTCCCAGCACACTTTCTCCATGTTGGAGATTTGGGGACCAAATCTTCCATGTCACATTGCAGCATCATTACTTGTAATTCCAAGCACTGTTTCCCCTCAGCCAACTCCTTTTTCTCTTTCAGAGCCTGCTGTGTGGCTTTCTCCAAGGCAGCCAATTCCACACAGTGGTTCTCCTTCCCAGGTCAGCTCCTGCTTTATGGCTTGTGCCACAGCACTAACATAGGAAGAGTGTCTCTCTTCCAGGTCTCTTTTTAATTGATCCCTTTTCAGGAGCATCTCCTGCAACTTCTTCCACTTCCAACTTCCTCCACTATCTCTGCCATATCAGGCACTGCCATGACTTCAGAGTCTGTTGCTTCTCCAGCCTCTGTAGTTGCCCCCATTATTATCACAGTGTTTCTCTGTGTTCTCAGCCCTGCACTTTTTCTCCAGAACTTGTACCTGCTGGTGAAGGGCAAAAACTTGGTTCTCCAGATTCCTCTTTGCCTGCCCCTCCTGGGTCAGCTGCTTTTCCAAGCGATTCCTTTCTGCTTCTATCTGCCTTAACTGGATCTTGAGGCTCAGCCTCTGCAGCTTTTAGTCCTGCTCCCTATTCCTAGGCCCCTAATTGTTCCCTTGGTACAATCCTTCTTTCCACAGTTCAAGTACTAAGTGGGACAGAGCTTTTTAATATCTTCGGTCTCCCCACAGGAAAAACATATCACCACCCTCTTTCCTGTGCTCCACTTTTCCACACCTGAAGCACACCAGAGCATTTGTCCCAGGCTGGTGCTGGGGTATTTCCAGCCACTGTTGCTTTTGTTGGCCCTCCCACAACTGCAAGAGGATTGTCTGTGTCTGCTTGTGATTTGTCACCAGCAGGTGGAGGATGTCCTCCACTCCTTTCCCTATTGCTAAAAGGAGTTCAGTATACCCCTCCATACACTAGTTTGGCAAGGTAGATGTTCCCCAGCCAAAGAAGGTGTCTGTATCTCTCTGCCCCATAATTCTTCCTTGATTGGAGGGGGTGTCATGATGGGAGGGGGTGTCAAGTTGTCATAGGCCATGACTGCCCTATAGCACCTGTGATTCTGAGAATGGCGCCTCAGGCACTCCCTGTCTCAATTTGCCCTCACCAGGTTTTTTTTTTATTTTTGTCTCTTCTGGGGATTCACATGGCTAACCTCTCCTGCTGCATTACTCTCAGAGTTCAATTCCCACATGGGGTAACAAAAGTCCAAACAAACAAGAGGTTCTTCTACCCTGCTTGGGCTTCTCTTCAGCCCACCCTCCAGGCTTCTGGGCTACCTTTAAGGGTATGTCTACACTGCAGTTAGACACCCACGCCTGGCCCATGCCAGCTGACTCGGTCTTGGGGGTGCTTAATTTTGGTGTAGACACTTTGGGTAGAGCCCAAGCTCTGGGACCCTGCGAGGGGGAAAGTCCCAGAGCTTGGGCTTCAGCTCAAACCCAAACATCTACACCACAATTAAACAACCCCTTAGCCTGAGCCCTGTGAGCCCGAGTCAGCTGGCATGGGCCAGCTGTGGGTTTTTAATTGCAATGTAGATGTACCCTAAGTGTCTCTTCTCTGGGAGAAAGTGCTGACTCCCAGGCTGCTTCCCTGGAGTCCTTCTAGACCCTACTTCAGGGCTTTCCACATAAGCTCAACTTATTCCCTGTGGTTCCTCTCCCAAACTGAGTTTTCTCAGCCCTTTTATGAGGCCCACGTGCTTCAGGCTGTCACTTGACCCCATTTAGTTCAGCCGCCTTATGTTAGAAGGCAGCTGACTCTGGGGCAAGAGGGGCTGATTGAAGAGGGCTGGCTAGCCCCAGGGACTCTTGGCTCCTAAAGGGGCAGACCATCCTATTACAAGGTTTCAAGATCTTCCACTGTGTGAGAAGTAAGTATGTGGGTGTCATTGTACGAATCTTAATGTCTCAGCCTTCAAGGTCAGCCAAAAAGAGAGATTCAGTGTTGCAGGATTAGAAATATGATGATTTGCATGTTGATTTCCTTGCATTAAGAGTCTATGTGTATGTCTACACTGTAATTAGATACCTGCCTCTGGCCCGTGACAGCTGACTCAGGCTTGTGGGACTAGGGCTAGGGAGCTGTTTAATAGACGTTAGGGCTCAGGCTGCAGCCTGAGCTCTGGGACTCGCCCCCCTTGTAGGGTCATATAAGTCCGAGCTCCAGCCCGAGCCAGGGTTGCCAACTTTCTAATTGCACAAAACCGAACACCCATCCTCACCCCATCCCCGAGGCCCCGCCCCCACTCACTACATTCTCCCTCCCTTGCTGGCTTGCTCTCTCCCACCCTCACTCACTTTCACTGGGCTGGGGCAGGGTTTGGGGTGTGGGAGGGGGTGCGGGCTTTGTGGTGGAGCTGGGGATGAGGGGTTTGGGGAGCAGGAGGGGGCTCCGGGTTGGGGTGGGGCAGAGGGATTTGGAGTGCAGGTGGGGGGGGGGACTGTGGGTTGAGGCAGGGGATTGGGGTGCATCAGGGGGTGAGGGCTCTGGGATGGGGTTGGGGATGAGGGGTTCAGGGTGTGGGAGGGGGGTCTGGGCTGGGACAGGGGGTGAGGATGCTGGAGGGGGTCTGGTCTCTAGGCTGAGGTGCGGGCTCTGGGGTGGGGCTGGGGATGAGGGGTTTGGGGTTGGGACTCAGCGTTGGAACATGGGATTACCTCGGGTGGCTCCTGGTCAGTGGCACAGCGAGGCTAAGACAGGCTCCCTGCCTGTCCTGACTCCAGTGCTGTGCCCAGGAAGCGGCCAGCAGGTCTGGCGCCTAGGTGGGGGGTGGGAGCAGGAGGCTCTGCAGGCTGCTGTCATCCGCAGGCACCTCCCCTCCATACACTAGTTTGGCAAGGAACTAGCCAATGGGAGTGTGGAGCCAGTGCTCTGGGTGGGGGCAGTGCATGGAGCCCCTTGGCCCCCCTGACAAGGAGCTTGACCTGCTGGCCGCTTCCAAGGCGCAGTGCAGTGCCAGGACAGGTAGGGACTAGCCTGCCTTAGCTGTGCAGCACCACCATGGTTGCCGGCCAATGGGCGCTGCAGGGGCAGTGTGCGGAGCCTCCTAGCTGCCCCTATACATAGGAGCTGGAGGGGGGACATGCTACTGCTTCCGGGAGCCACGTGGAACCCCGGCATGCGTGGAGCAGGGCAAGCCCCGGATCCCGCTCCCTGGCTGGAGCTCAAGGGCCAGATTAAAATGTCTGAAGGGTTGGATGCGACCCCCGGGCCGTAGTTTGCCCACCTCTGCCCTAGCCTGAACATCTATACCGCAAATAAACAGCCCTGTGAGCCCGAGTCAGCTGGCACAGGCCAGCCGTGGATTTTTAATTGCTATGTAGACATACCCTAATGGTACATTTTCATTGCGGTGCACAAGGAGATACATTCATGTATAGATCGCTTTGTTAATGTTGCTGAGAGCTGTGAAACTTATTTCACTGGACACTAGGTCAAGAACGAACACCCAGTGTTTCCCTGGAAGGGCTTGTCTACGTTCCCCCCGAATAACATCCTTTTGCAACACTGACAGATAACCATATTTGATGCAGAGTCAGAGGAGCAGCAGGACATTGATTTGGCAATCCTGACAGCACTCCTGAAAGGTACTTATCTAATAATATTTCCTATGACCTACAGATTCATTGACATGCCCTTTCAAAGAAAGGAAGGAAAAGAAGCTAATGTATGAAAGTTAATGGAGCCTTTTCTTGTTTTCTAGGTACAAATATGTCTGCATCAGATCAGCTAAATTTGGCCTTGGCATGGAATAGACTGGACATTGCCAAGAAACATATATTGGTTTGTGGACAAGACTGGAAGGTACTTTTCAATTTTATTTTCCAGCATGTGTTTGTTTTTTACAGAGAAGCTTTTTAATTCTCTTTGTGTTTTCACCTTTGCTTTGCATCTGACAGACTCTGTCTGATGAGTTACTTGGAGTTTGAGTTCACATACCTGTCTGGTGGTGTAAGCATAGTTAGTATTTGGAAATGCAAAGTTTTCCTAGGGGGCATTCAACATGGAATGCTCAAACTAAGTTTTGTTCCTAACTTCTGTTGGAGGACTTGAAGCTGGGGTAAGGAGGCACGAGCCCCCCTTGCCATGCTGCAGAGGGTGACACCATTAACATTATGATTCTGTAGATTTTTACGTATCAAGTGACATGTCTCTTACCCTTCTATCACTAATTTGTCCATGGAATAAGATTTCACTACATTATGCTCCCAGACTATTGTGTGTTCCTCATTTTCTGGGTCCCTGACTAGAGACCTTGGAGTATGCTTTGCAGAAGTGCTGAGCACTTAGAACTGCAGTTGAAGTCAATGAGAGCTATGCTTTGAACATATGAAGTGCTAGGCATAGATTCAGAAAGGGACTTAGGCATTCAGTATTGCAACATTCAGCATTGCAATTCCTAACTTTTAGTTGTCTGGAAAATCACTGCAATCCATAAAGCCTGAATTAGGCCCCCAAGCTCCTTATACAATGAATGGGGACAGATAGGTGCCTAAGAATGGGATCCACAAAAGTTAGAATGATAGGTGGCTCCCTGCCTAAACTAACCAATAGGAGATGCCAATTATATGGGTGTGTCCTAAACCCCACCTCTCTCTTGGACTTAGGTGCCCTGTCTCTGTTTGGACTCCGCAGTTGGGAGTCCTCTCCTGGAGTCAGGTGCTTAAGCCATTTTTTGAAAGAAGCACTGCTGATGAAGTAGATGATGGTGCTGCCTCCCTTATACCTTCAGTGGTTATAGCATTCCTCCAGGATGTGGGAGAGCCTAGTTCAGTTCCTCTCCCTCCCCCTCCCCCTGACAGATAGGGAGAAGGGATTTGAATATGGGTCATCCACCTCTTAGGAGAGTGCCCTAATTACTGGGTTATAGGATATTCTGGGGTAGGTCTGTCTCTCAGTCTCTCCTGTTGAAGCTGTTCTACTTTGGAACATATTTATATAGTCCTTTGGGCCGAGCGAGAGCCAGCGTGTGAATGATTGGTGAACAAGTGTAAATTAGGAAGAAGAAGAAAAAAAGTGAAAACTGGGCTGGTAAGAGAGGAAGGGATTTTTAAATTGAGATTGTGGAAACTTTTTGGCTTTTGTTTGTTGTTGTTCATACCTATTTAAGTACAATCATTAATTAACATTTTGAATGAAGGAAATCTTTGTTAAATATTGAATATCTGCACCCCTTCAGTTAAAGCCTTAAGAGTTCACAATAAATAACTCTTAATACCCTCACTTGTTCTCCAGTAAAAAACAGAGTGCTTGTCTGCACTTGAAATACTACAGTGGCATAGCTGCATTGCTGTTGCATTCTCCCATCAGCATAGGCAACCTTCCTCCCTGAGGGGGAGTAACTAGGTCAATGGAAGAATTCTTCTGTTGACATAGTGCTGTCTATACTGGGGGGTAAGTCATCTTAACTACTCTGTACAAGGTGTATGGACTTTTCAGTAATTAATTTTCTAGTATAACATATGACCTTCCTGGGCCTGGTCTACATCCCTGATATTTCAAAGTTAAAAAACAAGCAGAAAAAAAAAACCTTCAAGAACAGCAATGTTTTCATTATACACCATAAAGAAGCAAAAGACAGGCACAAGCCCATTTTTAAAAATATCCTGTGCTGGTGACCTTTAAAAGCCACATTTTTAATTAGTGGGGCCCAAAGTTAATACACAGCTGGGAGGGTCTACATTTTTGTGCATACTACGTATTCAAATTGCCAGGTATGTAGGCAGCAATTTCCAAGTGATTTGTGTAAACTTTCATAGTATTTGTATGTACAAGTGAAAGTGCACACTTATGCATGGATTCGCTTTTAAAAACGTTTTCCTAAAAGTTCAATAGGTAATGATTATAATCAGCTGTAACTACATTTCTGCATAAATGTCAGCTCAGCATCAAATAGATTGTACAACAGACTGTGAAATATTTCTGAAACCAAAGTAATTTAATAACATTACGCAAACTTTGCACAGCCATAATGTGACAATGTTTTTTAATGCATACTACACATCTGTTAATATTACAGGATATTACATCCACAAAATATAAACCTGCACATTGGAAGAAGTATTTGTGTGTGCACAATAGGTATTGGCTATTTCCCAGTTTGCACACCAAAACATGCATTTTGCACACATAGTTGCCTATTTGTATGGATGTATGCAAGCAGGCATATTTTGTAGAAGCAAAGTAGATATTTTTGAAATCAAAGCCTTCCATAGGCCCAATTCCTTAGCTGCTGTGCATATGGAAATTCTGTTGAGATAAATAAAAGTGCTCCTATGCTTGGAGCACTTTTGGAATTGAGTCCTCCATTTTAATGTAGATACTGTTCTGTGTTACACAGGTTTTTTTTTTACCATCTTCAAATATAATTTTCAGAAAGTTTATCTTATATATTCTTTCTCTTTTTTAATATAGCCTTTCTTTAAATACCTTGGTCTCATATAGTTCCTCTGTTTTTTGTTATGTGGCAAATCAGAAAGTCTTTTCATTATGACAGATTAAATGCTGAAGCTGAAATGATTTAAAAACAAGGCCAATAGGAGATGCACTGTCTAGTGCAATGGTTGTAAAGGCAAATTTGAAGAAGTCTTTGTTAAGGTTTGGTTTGTGCAGAATAATTTTCCCCACTGGATTTTTACATAGGTGCATTTTCTAACAAATTTTTATTTTCTACAGTACACATGAAATACAGGGACAAAGCATGAAGATAAATAGATCCTTAACTCTTGTTTGGGGTTTGTTTTATTTAATCCAGAATGATTTTTTTCCCCATTTTCTTTTTTTCCTCCCCTTCTCCCTCACCCTTTGAAGGTTGGCTCCCTGGAACAGGCAATGCTGGATGCTTTAGTGATGGACCGGGTGGACTTTGTAAAGTTATTAATAGAGCATGGAGTGAATCTGCACCGTTTCCTTACTATATCCCGACTGGAAGAACTCTACAATACAGTGAGTACCTGAAACCCCATTGCAAAGTAGCTTCTGGCTAGATAGCTAAGTATTGGATGGATAGACAGACAGACTAGACAAAAATGGCAGAATTGGAAGGCCTGATTCCCTGTTGATTTGTAGCTTATGTAGTCACACCAGTGTAAAGTGGATGTAAACGCTACCATTTATATTGCAGTCTGTGGAGCATAGTGTTCTATACCCTCGTTGCGCTGGTGTAAATGTCTGAACAAGGACAACCAAACAGGCTCACGGTTCCTGAGCTGTTCAAAAGAAGTGGCTGTTTTTATTAATTGAGGCTATGTCTATACTACACAGCTTTTAGTGACATGGCTGTGTCACTACACCTGTGCTGCGAAAAGTCATGCAGCGTAGCCACTGTTTGTCAGCTCTCCTGCTGACAAGAAACTTCCGCCCCGAACAAGTGACGTTTGCGTTGTCGGCAGGAGAGCGCTCCTGCTGACAAAGTGCTGTTCACATTGGCGCTTGTTGAGGCAAAGCTTTTGTCGTGTGTGTGTGTGTGTGTGTTTGTGGGGTTAACACCTCTGAAAGACAAAAGTTTTGTCATTCAATTGCCAGCGTAGACATAGCCAGATACTGAATTCGGAAGCACAACCTTCTTGAAAATTTAGCTCATAGGACCTGGCTCTCTGCTGCCCTGCACTTTGCATAGCCAGTTACATCCAGGCAAAGTGGGTATATAAAGCTGCCAAATCAGACTGTAAGGTGCAAGTGGCTACAGAAAGTGCAAGAATGTATATATCACTGATGCATGTCTCCTCTCCTGCAGCACTGTCATCTTGCAATAGGAGGCCAATAAAAATGTTTAAAGTAGTGTCTCACCTAATTAATAACATCTGATGTAGTGCTTTCTAGGCCAAGACTATTTTTTGCAACTACCATAGGGAGTTTTTTTTGCAACTACCAAATGGATGGCTCTGGCAAGAAGCTGGCCCACTTGAAATAAATTTTCATTTGTATTTGAAATCCTAAAAATATAGCCCTCAGTTTTCTATTTTGAAAATGTTCATTTACTGCACTAGTTTCAGCAGGGCAGCCTGTTATACTTCTCCTGTCAACGCTAATAAAATTGGTCACAAATCTGGGAAGCTGTGGGTTTTACTGAATTATATTGCAATCTATGGGCCATATTGTGACCTCCTTATTTACACTGAATAGTATGTTACTCCTGGAGTACTCCCATTGAAATCAATGAGAGTACTCTTAGAGTAAGGTACTACTTAAGATGAGTAAGTGAATTACAATATAGCCCAACGGATTGATCTTTAGATGTCCCCTAAGATAAGCATTACCCTTGAAGAGTAATTTCAAAGCCCTTTTTGCAGTGACCAAACTCCACTCTCTGCCTGAGGGCAAAGCCCATTTCTCCATCTTGGACTCATGGGAATGAAAGAGGGGAAGTGAAAAACCTCCAGCCACACAATGCATGTCTTGAGTGAGAACATTGCTTTGAGGACCCTGCTCCTGCTTCAGTTCTCTATGGGTTGATGCAGCTCTATGCCTGTAAAGTCTGTATCCTCTGTTCAGGGCAAAAAGAGAGACAGAATGTTTAAAGGTTCTACTCAGGAATGGGAAGTGATGGGTACTCCAAAGCCCTTTCCACACTGTGTCTGCATGCTAAAATCTATTGTAACTTGTTTTCATTCATGTGTGAATAAAAGGTACCCAACACATTTAACAAAGAAAAACAAAATACAGCACATTTTCAATGTTACAAAAGTACTGTTGCTTGAGCTGATCAAAAATGGTGAACATGTCTGAAAAAAATTATTTGTTCCAATTTTTCCATAGAAAAAAAGGAATAGGGGAGAAAGATCCCCCACCAATAAAATCTGAATGGAAAAAAATTGAATGTAAAAATATTAACAAAAAAAATCAAGAAATTGAGAACAAATTACATTTTTCATTGTTGAAGAAAGGCCATTGTTCCTCAGAAAGTTTTAAATGCAACATTTTGATCAGCTGTAATTATGATGATAAGATTTTGAGGCAGGGGATAATTGGTTCTATGTACCAGCCTTTCACTTCTGGACAGCTTGTTTCAAGCTGAATTTCATGAGAAATGAATTTAGATTTTAACCTGGGCTGGTGTACGTTACGCACATTCAAAATTGTCATACAGTTTAGCAAAGGAGACAGTCTCTTCTTAGGAGAGGCCCAGGACTGTGATAATAGTATGCTGGTTGCAGATTTGCATTGAAGGCCATTTGTAGAACTGCAGGAAGCTTGAATAACTACTGATTATCCTGTGGAGATCTCAACATTTTTCTTGCACAGATTTTGAAGTTAATGCATAAACATGCACATTTGTTTAATTTCTTTTTCTTTTGATTAACATTACAGAAACAAGGACCAACAAATCTACTTTTGCATCATCTTGTTCGAGATGTAAAACAGGTAATCTAAATCTGAAAGTCTGAGAATATAAGAATGTAACTTAATATACCAGGATCTAGTGACACTAATTGCTATCAGATAGTATTGTAGAAAGTTTAGAATTAGAAATGACGGTTTCATGTCTATTTTTATTTCTACTGAATGAATTGTCTCTAGCCCATTTATTCCCCAAAGCTATGGAATGCTCTCCAGGGTTCTGTACCTTAATGTATTGACTTACACTCACAACTGTTCAAACTCCCTTTATCTTACATTACAAAAGTACCATTATTAAATAAATCAAGGATTTGGGGAACCATTACAGTAACCCTGCCACAGTTCATCATTTTAACCATTTTTTTTTCAGTCAAAAGAATTGCCTTGCTTAACAATGACAGCAAAATATTCTGACAGGTGCAACACTCTTTCTGTACACTCTAGGAGAACAGAAGTTGGCAGTGAATAATTACTGCTTGGAGAGGAATTAGTAATTTATAGTCTGTTTCAAACTTTTATCTCTTGTATCTTGTGACATTGCTAATATAGGAAGCATTGAGGCTGTTCTTTTTGCATCTGATGTCAAGTGCAAGAGATGGCCAGATCTAAGACTGGATTAATTTCACCGTGTCTGCCAAGTATATACATCATAGGATAAAATGAATTCTTCTGTTGACCTACCCACATCTACACTGGGGATTAGATTATTTTAAATATGGTGCTCAACTTAGACCTTAGGCTAATCAAATTTTAAGTGTAGATCAGACCTCAAAGATGACCTCTCTTATGCATTTAATTTTGATTGGTCCAGTGAGTGGCTCACTTCAAATCTATTTTTACTTCTGGGTCCTACTTATCTGAGGGCCTATCTATTTGACTGTGTTGGGGATTATGTTTTAACATGTTCCTCTCCTGATTGTTACAATGCAGTTTGGTCTTGCCTATGTTTGAACTATGTTACAAAATGCTGTTATTGTAATAGACATTCTTATAAACTTTAGAGTGCAATGGATGGTAGACATTGTTTTACCAATTTTGGCGCATAACATGTTGACAGGTATTTAATTGTCTTACTTCTATAGCAGCTTCATATGCCTGAAGAATCTATGCGCTCTCTGTCAGATTTAGGAGTTTTATGCTACAGGATTTCACAACTCAATTCATGCTAGCCAGGTGTCAGGGTCTGTAGAAGATTGGTACCAGTGACCAAGACTTGGGCAGTCTAGCCTGGAGGTCACCACATTGTTCAGGAAGTAGAGGCCAATTGGACAGGTCTGGAGTCAGCTTCCAGGTGTCAGAACCGAAAGTTGGGGCTGGGGTCAGACAGGAGTTGAAGCCAAGGGCCAGCACTGAGTTGGAAGCCAAAGATCCATAGTCTAGGGTTGGAACTGGAGCAGTCAGAAACCAGAGCAATAGGATTCAGGGACTGGAATGAGGCTGAGGACAGGAGCTGAGAACAGGGCATGGTTGAAGTCAGGAACTAGGACAAGGCCAGGAGTCAGGTAGTAGATGGCAGGCTTTGTAGCAACTACAAGCCAGAATTCACCTTGTACACAAACAACTTGCTATGTCTCTTTCTGGATTAAATAGTATACTTGGCCCAATCAGGGACTATGGAGCTCCTCCAATCAGCTCACTATGGGTGGTATCTTTAGTTGAAAGTAAGCCGTAGGGGTCCTGATTCTTCAGTCAGACGTAGAGCCTTCAGGTGGTGCTGTGAATGCAGCAGCAACCTGGAAGCTGGGTTCAGGATCCATGGACCTCACACTGTGTGCGTGGGTTGCTGTATAAAATGGCATTATAAAATGTTGTAAATATTTGTCTTACAGAGTGCCCTTCCTTTGGACTATAAGATATCATTGATTGATATTGGGCTGGTGATAGAGTATCTGATTGGTGGAGCTTATCGGAGCAACTACACAAGGAAACATTTCAGAGTTCTGTACAACGGCCTTTACAGAAAACGCAAGGTAACATCAATGAAATGGCTATTTGTGTCATTGGGAACAGCTGAAATGTCTAGATAACAATAATTATAATGCTTTTCACTTCGTGTGGTTTTGCTCTGAAAAGTAACCATTAAAATGACACTAATGGTAAAATGGCATTTAATGTCTTTCAATAATTTCCATGTCAGTCTTGATAAGGTTACAAGTAAAAAGGTGTTTCTTTAAGTTAACTGCTTGTTCAGCAAACTGATCCTGGCCTCTGAAAGCCAAGTTGGGGGTTTTTTATTCTCATTCATCATCACCTGTAAGAAAGGATTTGCAGGCCATGGTGGACCCTCATGTACACCTATGAGACAACATTATCTTCCCAGTATGTTATTAGGGAGCTGATCCAAAGCGTAATTACGTTACTGGGATTCTTTCCATTGATTTCAGTGGGTTTTGGATAGGTCATTGGTGTTGCCTATACAGACCAATAACTTTCATGGATGATGCACAAGAAAAATAAAGAATCCATTTCATTCTCATTTTCCTGTGTTGGCGCTTCAAGACAAACATTTGAAAAGCGGTCCAAACTTTTCAGTAAATTAATCAGGTATAACCGACACACACAAAAAGTGATCTGTTGAGTAAGAAGGTGTCTTTTTTCCATACTGAGTTTTCAGAGTAGAACTTTAAGTACAGTAATTCCATAAGCCAAACTCACAATGTATTGCTGTCAGAATTAATGGAAAAGCTCAAACTGGGATGAGGAAATCAGAGGAAAATTATACAACACAATTATAGAATTAAGGGAAAAAATGAAGAGATTAATTAATTAACCAATTAATTTTCTGAAATGGGATACACTATACTTAATCAAAAATATTGGAAGTGCTAGTTGTCTTTCTGAATTCAAAACATCAATTTTCTGCAGCCAGAGCACTCATCAAATTTCACAAGTTTAACATGGTTGAGTGGGATCAGTTCTTCAAAAACTAGGAGCTGCAGGAAGTGGTATTAACAATTCAGTAGGGAGTCATCTTCCCTTGGAGTTAATATTGAATAAAGTCCCCAGAGATAATAGAGACGCTTTCTGGTAGAAGGAATGTAAATAGGAGGTCCTGACGACTTGAGGTTCTTACATATCATATGGCAGTTTTTTACAAGAGTAGGGTTATTTTCAACAAGAGTTATGACCAAATTCAAAATAGGGCATTTTTTTTGATGTTATAAGTTCCAGAAATTGCACAGTAATTATTAGGCTGGCAGGTAGATCACCAAGATAAATGAGGGCAAATTTCATCCCTAATTTATATTTTTCTCTTTGTGTTTTGTGGGATATCTTTGGAACTAGAGTGTGGTCTCCAGCTTTGCTCAGAGCCTTTCTCATCATTCCCTTTGTCATAATAATCAGATGGGTAGCAGAGTTGAATCTGCTGAAAACACCTTGCATTCTCAGTTCATCAGAACAGAACAGTCTTACAAATACAAGGTACTGTCATTGCTTGCTTATGGTGGGAATATGTTAGGGGTATAATAGACTGAAAAATCAGATCAGTTTGTCAAGAGAGTTATTTCAGACATGCGGGATGCAGGCTGGATGCTTATTATGCTTAACTCTCCGTAAACACCAAAGACATCAAGGTTGTATCACACACAGCTCAAGAAGTACAATTACTGCTATTTTACAACATTGAGGTAAAGCTCCTCAATGAAACTCATTAATCTCCACCCCCTGGTTGATAAGGGCTTTCATCCCTTGAAATGTAACATTGCCAAAATCTCCTAATATAAGGCACAGATGATAAACCCTCTTATTTGGATGCAGGCATAGGAATTCATTGCCCCAAACCTCTCAGAAACTTTTATGTAAGTGGCAATAATAATCCCCTTGAGAAAAGAGTTGATGATGTAAATTGCAAGCAGATGGCAAAATATTTTCTCTTGAAACTGTGTCAGGTACGGATAACAAAAAGAATCCCATTCTTCTCTCAGATAACTCAGCATAAAACTAGAATTTTCCCCCAGGTCAGATTGGTGGAGACTCTGGGAGGTTTTTCACCTTCCTCTGCAGCATGGGGCATGGGTCACTTGCTGGTATGAACTAGAGTGGATGGTGGAGTCTCTGTAACTGGAAGTCTTTAAATCATGATTTGAGGATTTCAGTAACTCAGCCAGAGATTATGGGTCTATTACAGGGGTGGGTGAGGTTCTGTGGCCTGCAAAGTGCAGGAGGTCAGACTAGATGATCCTGATGCCCTTCTGCCCTTAAAATCTTTGAGTCGGTGGGACTTCATTAGCATTACTGAAGGCCAGTTTGTGAACAGCTAGTCATCAGAGCAGTCTCATTGAAGCCAACAGGAATTTTCCCCCTGATTTTAATGTAAGACAGTTCAGGCCGAAACACAGCATACCATAAATACACAACTTACTGTAAATGTGACACATATATTAAAAATCAAGAGAGCTATCACAGCTCTCTCACTTATATTTGATTTTACTAGTCCATTTTCTTCCAGCAGTGTGACATAAGTAGACTGGCGCACTAGTAAAATTAGTTCAATAAAATCAATGGGAGTGGAGGGCACTCCCCGTTTTGCTGGATCAGGATCTAAAAGCTGAGGCACAGGTTCAGAATGTTGAAATCACATTTAATTTCCTCAGTGCATTTTTGCTTTTGTTGATCCAAGCAACTGCTTACATTCATAGTCTGAATGTTATCTTAGCCATTCTTCTAATATCCATCTATATAATGGCCGAGGAACAACCAAATTGCTAATGCATTACATGAATTCAGGATGCAGCAACTTGCTCAGATTTTGTCTGCTATTTTACAGGAAAAGTCATCTGCTTTTCATAAGTCTAGGAAGAAGTCAAAAGATGAACTCAGCTTCTTAGAGGACGATGAGTCAGCTGGCTTTATTTACCCGTATAATGACCTCTTGGTTTGGGCAGTGTTAATGAAAAGACAGAAGATGGCAATGTTCTTCTGGCAGCATGGAGAAGAAGCTATGGTCAAGGCAGTCATGGCTTGCAAACTCTACAGAGCAATGGCACGTGAAGCCAAACAGAGCAATATGGTGGATGACACCTCAGAAGAACTGAAGAAGTACTCAGAGTAGGAGTTCTCCCTTCACTACAGTTAATAAAAGTCTACAGTGTTTAGAATAGTTAGACATTGTTCTTTCCATCAGCTAACCTGTAAGATCAGTGGCTGCATATGCTGTGAAATGTACAAGAAGCACTTTTTGCTATCTGCTCAGTTTAATGTACAAAGGAGACACACTAAGGCCTTGCCCACATGAGGATTTAAAGGAGTAATGTTGGCATGTATTAGCTAACTAACACCTTTGAAAAGTCTAAAGTAGACAAGGACAGTTGCCTTTAACACCGAGCTAAACTGGTGAAGTTAAAGCCTACACTTCCCTTTAGGCTTTAACTCGAATAGTTTAGCATGAGTTAAGGCCACGTGCCTTGTTTACTTAAGGCTTTTCAAATGTATTAGTACATATGTGTTACTTAACATGTACTAATATCCCACCTTAAATCCTAGTCTATTTAAGGCCTAAAGGAGAAATGTGCTGATACCGTAGCCCAGCACCTCAAAGAGGTTACTTTGCGGAACAGCCCAATCAGTTTTCCTCCCATTTTTAAATTTTAGTTTCATTCTTTGAATATCTGTGAAACATTCAGGATTTAGGGTTTTGTATCATGAAATCAGGAAATGTACAACGGCTCCCTAATCTGATAGTGCACCTTGAAATTTATTGATGTAATGTACTGTACTTTCATAGCCATAATGGAGCAGATTCAGAGCTCAAGGACGAATGATTATCTCTGTTTACATGTAATTATAGGGCTCTGTTCAAAGCAAAGTTTATTCACTGAGGTGCTGAGCATCTTCAGCTCCCATTGAGAGGTGCTTAGGGTCTGACTCAGTCTGAGGCTGCTGATGCAGTTGAGCACAGCACCTGTTTACCATGTTGGCAAGTGCATTACTGAATGAAATAATAGGCTGAACTATATGGCATGCGTGTGAAACCACACAATGAGGCTAATTAAAGATCAGGGTCCAGGAATGTAGAGTAATTCCTGTGGTTAGGAGAAGAGACTTAGATTTACTGCCTGAATTATTTTTCCTCTGGGTGTAGTGCTGAGACTGTGTGAAGAGGTGGGGAAGTTGTAGTTAATACAATTTCATATCTTACCACATGTGAAAGAAGCTTTTGAACTAGAGATGTGATCTCATGATCATTTTCAGTTGTGGTTGTTCCTCCATATTGTAAAATGGTGATTTTTTTTTTCTCTGTGCTGCTCTGTCTGTCCTAGTGAATTTGGGCAGCTTGCTTTAGATGTACTGGATAATGCATTCAAACAGAACGAGCAAATGGCCATGAAGCTACTGACCTCCGAGCTGAAAAATTGGAGCAACTCAACTTGCCTGAAACTGGCTGTGTCAGTGGGGCTGCGGCCCTTTGTGTCTCACACTTGCACACAGATGTTACTAACTGATATGTGGATGGGACGCCTGAAGATGCGGAAGAACTCCTGGTTTAAGGTAAACTCACTGACTTGTGCTGCATCTAAACCTGCAGAGGAAGCTTATGCTGAAGCACGCATTCTCCTTACATGTAGCTAGGTTTTGTCCTGATCTAATGCAGACACACATTAAAGACAGCATGCACGCTGAATGCACCTCCTCAGACTTGTGTTTCTCTTTTAGGTCATTCTAAGTATTCTTCTGCCTCCCACCATCTTGATGCTGGAGTTTAAAAGCAAGGCAGAAATGTCTCATGTGCCGCAGCTCCAGGACTTTCATCAGTTCACATGGCATCACAGTGATCAGAGCCCGTCCACCACTAAAGATGAGTTGTCTCTGGTTAGTTTGGCATCATCTTTAGCATTTATATTTTCACGAAACAGGGATAACATCTGGGTTGGTACTATTCCATTGAAAGCCTTTTGTCTTAAAATGTTACAATGCTTAGAAGACTTAGATTAGAAAGCTTATTACCATCTCCCTTACTTAATGTGAGTAAGATTTCACTCTTCAACTAGTCCCATTGATTAAAATCAGTGGGATTAGTTGTAGTTAAGCTACTACTCATTGTAAGTAAGTTTGGCACAGTCTGATTTTTTATAATCGCCATAACTTGTGCACATCAGTGCCAAATGTCACAGTGAAATCATGGAAATACAGGGCTGGAAGGGACCTCGAGAGCCCATCTAGTCCAGCTGAGGCGGGAACAAATAAACCTAGATAGGTGTATGTCCAACCTGTTCTTAAAAACCTCCAGTGACAGGGATTCCACAACCTCCATTGGAAGCCTAGTCCAGATTTTAGAGTTACAAAGATTTCAGACTGTGGGGTAGAGGACATAAGGAATGGATGTGAGTTTTGGGGGGACGTATGTTCAGGTGGTTTCAGTTTGGAATTTCTTTCCCAAAGGCTCTTCCCAGTCTTGAGTTGAGCTTGGACATTTTCAGACTTTACCTGCGTTGTACAACAAACTTGGGCCTGTGGTGGGAGGATGCTAGCAGAGAATTGGTGGTTCAACACATTGGAAAGGGGACAATAAATGAAAGGTGCTACCTGGGTAGCTGGTGCAAGAGTGGATGGGATACTCCAGCTAGTAAAAAAGGTGGCAATTTTAAATCAGTCTACCTGGCAGCTGGCCACAGATCTGTCCACAAAAACAATCAATGTGGTACACGTTTCCCCCCATCCAGATTACCTCTCCCCACATCAGGACAGGGCTCAGCTGTTGGCAAGTCTGGCAAGATCTGTTCTATCACTTTATAAACAATATATAGTCCTGAAAAGTTAGGAAGGTTTATCTAACTAGTGGATAGGGCACTGTACTGAAACTCCGGAGACATGGGTTCTGTTTTCAGCTTAGGCACACACTTCTTGTGTGGCCTTGGATAAATCGCTCAATTTATCTTGTGTATCACTTCCTCATCTGTAATACTGAGGTAATACCACCCTACCTCACAGCGGTATTGTGAGGATAAAATCCTTTAATGATTGTGAGGTGCATGGTGATGGTGTTTACATGGTGATGGTAGCCATATAAGATTTTGATAAATACATGTATGTATGTATGTTTATATATATAGTGTGTGTGTATGTATGTGTGTGTGTATATATATATATCTATATATATTTCACACAGCCAAAAATGTTAGAAGAACATTATTAAAGTCAAGTGCTCAAAAGTTAGGAAATGCCAGTGTTAAGGTTGCCTGTGCAACCTTCATTTGGTCCTCTTGTGCCTATGCATTATGATACAGGCAGTAATTACATGATCAGTCTCCTCCCACCTACCTACTGGCTCCCAGTCCCCCATTTCCTTCTCTGACTCACAGTCGAAATATCTTTGCCCAGTCAGTCCCAACCACCTTGTACCAATCTACTCCCCATGTCTCTGTCCACAGGCCTGGTTGAATCAGGGAACATCTATCTCCACACTGCCTCAGCCTGAATGACTGACAGCACAGCAGAGACAATTTCTTTGTTGTCAGTTTAGGTGCCCTGACCCAGCACATTTCACAGCAGCCCAAAGCTGCAATTGCAAGGAAATCCCCTCGCTGTTGCATGCCTAGTGTGAACAGAATCTTCTGGGAGTTTTGCTGCTGAAATCTAGGAAGTTTCTCCTGAGCATGTGCTTATAATTTGGCCAAATTTAGGCAGCTTTTCACAGGGATAGTAAAAGGCACATCCCTGACACAAAGACTACCCCCAGTCAAATCTCAAATTCCTACTCCAATGCAAGGGAGTACAAGAGCTCTTGAAAGAAAAGATTACCAGAATTTTTCATCATTGGCAATTTTTTCCCATAGCCTCATTTTTGGAAATGGCTGAACCATTTTGGCTGAAATTTTCCACATATTCCAACCTGAAGCAGATACCTCACATGGAAAATTTCAGCCCAAACTGATTAAGTTAGGCAAAGTTAAAAGCATCTGAAAAGAGGATTTTATAATAGGAAATTATTAAGGCAACCATGCTACTAGCCTCACCGATGATAAATAAAATTAGACAAATGTTTGGGACATTTCTTTCACAATTAACTTTCAATTTGCCTAAAATAAAAGAATTTTTTCCAGAACTTCCTCAGAAGTTGGCAATGCCAATTCTGAAGTGTTTCTCTCTACGAGGCAGAAGAATGTGGATGCACTTGTGCCCTGCAGCGTCTGACTAATAAAGGCAATTCAAAAAGGTCTTTTACTGGTTAGATAACAGCTACGATTCAGTGGTAAGGCCAATTATAATTATGGCCAGCTGGGACCCCTTGCAGGTATGTAAAGGGAACAAAGTAGAATGAATGTTATCTGACTTGAATGAGACAGGAAGGTTTCCTTTCTAGAGAAGCACTGTTGTTAGCTTCATAATTTATCAAGTGTTGAGTGTTCATTCTTTTTCCATAAACTGTAAAGATTAGCTGTGAATTTTCTGGCAGTGAGTTGATATGAACAAATTTAAAAAAACCACAGGAGAGTTCCAGGATATACAGATTCAGTACAAGTGCATTTTTCACACGTGGTTGTAAATTATACTTTAATCTGCTGAAACTAGAAGTTGTATTAGCTCATGGGACAATTTTCTATTCTTCAGTTGGCAGAAGCCATTATTAAGACTTAAAAGAAAATTGTGTGGGCTGGTGGTGGGTAGTAATATATCGAGGGCCAATACCAAGAGCAAATTATGACTTCCCTCCTGTGCCAGCTCATCTGCACTGGTCAGTGGGTGGAGGGCTCTGCACATCTGTTCCTTGGAGGTAATAAAGTGGACACCAACATGCCTATGTGCCCAGACCTGTGTAAGAATGGTGCTGACTCACTCACGCTCCCTGAATCAGGCACATTGTCCAAATCACAACAAATTCCCCAGGTTAATAATTTTGCAATCCTTTAGTTCTTCTCTCTCTATGTATATATTCCAAATTTTCTTAGAACTGTTCTGTGTTGCTCATCACTGTAATATCTGAATGCCTTGTGAACATCAATGGGTTTATAGTCACCACATCTTTATCAAGTTGGGAGTTATTACTATCCCTATTTCACACATTGGGTAAGTGAGGTACAAAGCGATTTAGGGACTTGCCCAAGGTCACACATGAAGTCTGTGTCAAAGCTGGGAATAGATCCAGATCTCCTGCTTCCCAGTCCAGTGCCATAACCATAAGACCACCTTTTTGAAACTCAAAAGAACCTTGTGTATTTACAGTTAAGTGTAATGCTAAGAATATTATCTGGTATTGCTTCTTGCAAAAGACAGTTGCAACTGCATGTGACTGCATATACCACACAGCATTTACTGTAGAGTTGCCTTTCCAAGTTTCCCTGTGTTTCTGTTAATGTGGCTGAATTCTTGTACTCATACAGCATGCTGTCTGATTTTAAAACTCTGTTTCCTTTTGAAAAAGGATTATGATGCAGAAAAGGGACCTGAGAAGCCAGACAAAAGCCAAACCTTTTCCACTGACAGTGCTCACGGAAGCCTTCCGAGGACTAGAAAAGTCTATGAATTCTACAGTGCCCCAATTGTCAAGTTCTGGTTTCATACGGTTGGTCATTGCAATAAGCATAACTAGATATTAATATTGCCTAAAGCATCTGTTAAACCTTTAACGGAATATATATATATATATATATAAAAATAAAAGAATCACTTCACCTACCACTGAAATGCAGCCGCTCTTTGGGTGGAAGGTGGCTCCTGCCTGTATTTTTCATCCTCACAGTTAATTGTACGTGCAAATCTTAGCTCTGGGTTGGGAGAACCAGCAGGATGAGCTCATAACATTCGTTTGACTTTAGTGGGGTTCTGTGCAGCTGCAGCATTTTGCCTGCACATTGTAAATTTCAGGATTGGAGCCTTTGTGGGTTTTGAATGTGTGCTGCATATAACGTGGAAAAATAGTTTTTACCCTGTCTTCTCTTGAATATTTTGGCAATAAAGCAGAGAGACTTTTTTTTTTATTTTTAAAAAGCTGCAGCCAAAGCCGGGACTCTTGCACTAAGGGAGGGGAAAGAGTAAAATGAAGCCCAGTGGGGAGCCACCCCTCCCCAACTCCCTCCTGGACATAGATCTGTGCAGGGGAGACAAACCATCCACACACCTTGGGGGACCCTTCCCCTGACCATGTGGCCTTGGGGGACAACTGCAGAGAGCAGCCATCCAGAAATACCAGCCTGTAGGAACAGAAGCAGCCAAAGCCAAAACCTCTGGACATTCCAGTAAAAACTGTAGCATGTTTCCTGACTTTCTTTGCTCTGTGCCGATTAGCTAGGGTGACCAGATGTCCCATTTTTAAAGGGACAGTCCTGTTTTTGGGGACTTTTTCTTATATAGGCACCTATTACCCCCCACTCCCTGTCCTGTTTTTTCACAGTTCTGGTCACCCTATGATTAGCTGTAATATTATACCAATAAAATAAAAACCAGCAGGATCTTATTAAAGGGGAAAAGGCAAAATACCACATTTATTGTGAATACAGAAAGAATCATAGTAAGCAGTTAGTTATAGCTAGAACATTCCATTCAATCTCATATTTATTCACACGTTCAGTCATACACACACACACACAGGTTCTGCAAGGTTGTTATCATAGTTACCAGCCTTAGAGTTGCTCATGCCAAGCCACTGGCCAGGTGGCCTGGACATGAGGAGGGAGCAGGGCCTTGTCAGACGCTCATCTGATGCTCCTGGAAGTTGGTTTGCAGAATCAGACCCCAAAGTTCTCACTTTCTAGAGTCCGTTTTCTTCCTATGCCAGTCTATGGGAATTGCTTCATCATGCTGTTGCTGAATCAATCAGCAGATGGCACATTCCTGATGGCTCCGTGCTGCTAGATGTTATCTTGTTCTTTGGTTCTCCCATTCTTGAGGCTGTTGGGTGGATTCCAGTCTGCCCTCCGGGGGTCCTCTGGTTATTTCCACTTGACGCCTTCTTCAGCTGGTGGACACTGGATTCTTAGGCTGGTACCTCCCTGATCATTCAGTTATTATCCACACCAAGCATCCATCCACATACATCCTCTATCTCTATTTTAATTACAATTGTTAATACAACAAAAGGGCGGGGAGTCTCTGGGTGCTGTTTCTGTTGTTACAGAGTATTGTGTTGAAGAACAGATTCTGTCTTAGAATGTACTAACGCAATTAGCAGCTTGCAAGTTTTATACATAGAGGGAGAGAAACAGTGCCAAAAACCAAGAGACCTCTTAATTAGTAATACCCTGGAATTTAAACTATGGGGAATCAAACTCATTTGTGATTTTAATACAGAACTTCTTTAATATGATCCAACAGTTTGCACCAACCCTTCTCCTCCTTCACAGGTTATGTCTGCACTTGGGGCTAGTGGCGTGATTCCCAGCCCATGTAGACACAAGTTAGTGTGCTAAAAATATTTGTGGTAGCCATGGTAGCACAGGCAGCGGGCTAGCCACCCTGAGTAAAAACCCATGCATTTGTATGGCAGCTACTCTATTCTCTTTACTGTGCTAGCTCCAATGAGACCTTGTGTGCATATGCCTTCTCGTTCTCGAGCTGGGAATCGCACTCCCAGCTCCAAGAATAGACGTAGCCACAGTCTCCTCACCTCAGCTTCACTCCACAACTGCCCCATCTCCCCTGCCCTGTCCCCCTCATGTTTTTCCCTTTACTTTTCTTTCAGTTTAGCTGATCCCTTCATAACTAACAACCCTCCCCACACCCAAAAATAAAAAAGAAACGATCTCACAGAACTAACATGACATTTGCTGCCATCACATTGTTCACTCTGCTTTTGTGTTACACCCTTTCCCTCACTGTGCCTGTCTGGTCTATTTAGACAATATCAGCTCATTATTTCCTTGTACTCCCCCATCATTCTGTCTGTATCCATCTGTTGTCTCTTGTCTTATACTAGGATTCTAAGCTTTTTGGAGTAGGGACTATCTTTTTGTTCTGTTTGTACAACACCTAAAGTAATGGGGTCCTAGTTCATGAGTGGAATTCCTAGCGGGGACGGTAATACAGATAATGAAAAATAATGATAATAAAGCTCTGGAGGACATTCCCCAGAAGGGCATAGCAATCTGAAGGGCTGACAGGAAATTTTTGGAATCAAGCGCTTGGTAGTGTCCCATTACTTTGACAAAATTTTGTTTAATTATATAGCACACTTGGTTTTCCTCCTGGCTGTGTTTCTGGTGAGTTTCTAATTTCTTTGTCACAGCTACCTATGCATATGAAATGTGTATTATGTGTTCTGCAGATGGCGTACTTGGCATTTCTCATGCTGTTCACTTACACTGTGTTGGTGAAGATGGAACCCAGGCCTAGTGTGCAAGAGTGGCTTGTGATTATCTACATTTTCACTACTGCCATTGAGAAAGTCAGGGAGGTGAGCTCTTCCTTTTCCACTCTCTCTACTCTACAAATCTCTAGAGGACAAATGATAAATAATGACTGTAGATTCTTAAATTCCTTTCCAAAGGTTTACCAGAAGAAATATGCCTGTCCTTTACTTTTCAGCTGTCCTAGTTAATTAAAAACTAGGGACTGTTTTTCCAAGAATAGGTGCCTAAACTTTGCCTCCTAAATCCCTATTTAGGTACCTAAGCCAGTGGGAACAATAGTTTGGCAGGAAACAGTTTTGAAATGTTTCATTTCAATTTTGACCTTTTTTAAAAAAACATCACCTTTAGTATACTTAGCTTAAATTTCAATACAAAAGGTCATTTCAAACTGGAAAATTTGATTTTTTTGTTTAAAAATGTTGCAATGAAACATTTTAATTATTCTGAAACTTAAGAAAAAAACCAAACACCTGTCCAGTCATGAGATTTATCGAAACCAACATTGTTATGTCAACAGTTTTTGTTTTGACAAATTGACATTTTTCGATGAAAACAGTGGTCAAAAAATTCCTGACCAGCTCTAATGGGAACTGGTAGGTGCCCAGCATGTTTGAAAATTAATCCACCTATTTAGATGACTAAATATGGAGGTAAGAGCCTAAATCAAGGCACCCATTTTTGAAAATCTTGGCTTAGGCCACTGGTTCATTGATAATGGAATATGGATTATACCTCTAGGTCACTGCTTTGATTGTGTCATTGACGGGAAGTTATTACCAATTAATAGCTGTTTGGTGATCTATTGTATGTAGAATACTTTGGAGGTCTCCTTCCAGTCTCTGTGGGGAAGAGTCCACGTAATAAAAATGAAAGTTGGTTGAAAATTTTCAAAATTTGAAACGAAGATTTTTTTTTTTTTACAGATTTTGATTTTTGAAAAAGCTAGGAAAGCATTCAAAATTAATTGCAATTGACTGATTAAACCAACTGGCCCCTCTGGTGGATGTCTCAGCTTAGAAGCCAAGTTTTGAATGAGCATGTAGTACTTTTTCTGCTAAGGAGGTAGATGAGGAAGCTTGCACTGCAGCTAGCTGTGCGGCATTATGTTCTGTGGAAACACTGACACATCTACAAACGTACTGTTAGGTGAAAAAACAACCTTACTGAAATTGGATCCTCTAAGCTAAGTACAATCCACATTCCAAAGCTATAGATGATGTTAGTGACAGAAACAGTGGCGTATTGTCCACATTACTTTATGGGATGAGACAAATAATCCAAAATTCTCTTCATCCAATTATTATAATACCTAAACAAACACACAAACAAACATAAATAAAATAAAAATAAGTACCATAAATATTTTTAATATGATGTTGGAATGCTTTACTTACTGTTAAAAGCGTAATGGATACCTTTAATTTTTTTTACCAATTTGAGACAATTCCTTGTAGTGAAAGTAGGGAATTCTGCTAGAACACCTTTATCTCTCAGAACAGAAGAAACTTTTGAATTGTGACCCCCTGCAAAAAGAGGAAGAGGACATTAAGGCTTTCAAAGGGAAGCCCAAATCTAGGGTAGAAAATGGAGTCTGGAACAGATGTGGAAGCTATATGACTGGATATGAGGTTAAAAATGACAAAAGGACACAAAAGTTTTATCTGATTTAAAAAAAAATCACAGTATGAAACACCAAGCATCTCAGAGGTCACAGTTGTGCTATGGCACATCTTGTTTGTGGGTTCAGGAACATGTCAATCAAGACTATTAAACAGGATATACAGGAGAATTTCTTAGTCCATGTTCCAGTTCTGGTCTACTGGAAAATTAACACTGTGTCTTACACATGCAACTGATTGATTCCTCAGGGCCTTGTTATGTTTGACTGTGCAGAAGTGTTTCCTCTAGATTGTATCAAGGAACTGTTACAGCCTTAGGGGCTGATCTTTAAAAATATTCATGTAAGTAACTACTCATGTGAGTAGTCCCACTGAGTTCAGTGGGGTTTCTCAATTACATGAAGTTACTCATATGAGTAAATTTTTGCAGGATCAGGGCCTAACGTTTCAAAATCTCTTTTATTTGCTCCTTATCAGTTTGATCGTCCATAGCAGTGCATAGCTGACCTCAATCGTGCAATGTGTAAAGGTCTTATTTATGGCCTTCCAAGGATTCCACTTCACACATTTGCTTAGTGAAGCTGAAAATCCCTTTGGGGCACCCTTACAGTTCAAGAAGCAAACATTTCAATCTCTACCTTCCCAGTTTCCAACATTCCCTTTTCAGGATTGGCATACAGAGATCTTACTTTGTATTTCAGATCTAAACTAAAACACATTAATTACTTTAATGTCAGCAGGGTTGGGCTGGTATTTTCCATGACTGTGGGGCTTTTGAAAGGGTTTCTGTAGGTCATGATCATTTCTCCTCCAAACAAACCCCATATTTGTTTACAAAAAATACACATGCTTAGCAACTGCATACCACTTGCTCTTTTCTGCTATGGAATATATTACTCAGTGAATGAATTAAGAAGCAGAATTCATTTCTCAATAGAGAGAACTAACCTATTTGGTGTGGCAAGGGGGGTTCTTGAGCACTACGACCATTACTATTTCATTTCAAATTCCAGCAATCATGGAATTGCAGAGCACTGACCTTGTGAACTTTCATTGTAAAAACTTGCCATAAATCAAATATTTCCATGTACCAGTTGATGGTTCAGACAGGGTGAGGGGCTGAAGGGTGAGGGTTTTACTGGCCTCCGTTATTTTTTTTCACTTTCTTTTTAGATATTTATTTCAGAGCCAGGAAAGTTCAGCCAAAAGGTGAAGGTGTGGATTTACGAGTACTGGAACTTCACTGATTCCATAGCTATCATCCTGTTTATGACTGGTTTTGGCTTACGCTGGGCTGATCCTCCTCTTCAAACAGCAGGGAGGCTAATTTACTGCTTGGATATAATATTTTGGTATGCACGGCTCCTTGACTTCTTTGCTGTAAATCAACATGCAGGCCCATATCTGATGATGATTGGGAAAATGGTGAGTATTTGACTGCAGGGTAGTATTTTTGCACTTATGACACCTAATATGATGGATGAGTGAAGTTCAGAAATGGACACAAAATGGAATGGTGGCCAGACTAGTGCTGGGCTAATAATTCAAAAGTATTTTACCAACAAGTTGTGCCTCTCTTTCTGATCATAAGTTGTCCATGATCGGAGCACAGTTTTTGCTAATTTGTTCATTATTTTAATTTATCCACAGAAGCCATTTTCTCTTGGTTCCTCAGAAAAAGGCTGCATTTTAGCTGAGCTTTCTGATCAACAGTGAGGAAAAAACAAACAAACAAAAATCCTCTCTAACTGTGACAGACAGTGACTTAGTACCTTAGGTAATTCCCCAGCTCTTGGAAACTGACATGATTATTTTATGTTTAGATTCAAATAATTCTTTGTCTCATGTTTAGCAGGCAAAATTGCCCTGAGATCAAAGTTATTTTTTGCATCAGAATTGAGACTGAACTACTATATGCTCTTGAGAGAGATCTGTGGACTCCTGCTGTAATTTCCCTCAGTTATTGGGCAATGTCTTACTAATATTTTACATTTTGTCTCACATAATAATTATAGCACAGTGTTAGAAGGTGAAATTCTTTTCTCTGAGATTCATTGAGGAAGACCTCATGACTGAAATTCACCCTGGTCAGAGGACCAGCTGAAGGCCTGTGAACCATTCAAATCCCACTTACGCCCTCTAAGAAGGACTTGAGTGATGGGTAGGCCTCATACTGGCTCTCTGAGGTGGCATGAATTTCACCTCTAGTGGATAATACGGCCAAGCCAATTTATGGAAATAAAACCTGGACTTCCCTCTCCCCAAGAAATGATGATATTACATAAGAACGCCCATACTGGGTCAGACTAAAGGTCCATCTAGCCCAGTATCCTGTCTTCTGACTGTGGCCAATGCCAGGTGCTCTGGAGGGAATGAACAGAACAGGTAATTATCAAGTGATCCATCCCCTGTTGCCCATTCCCAGCTTCTGGCAGCAGAGGCTAGGGACCCCATCCTGGCTAATAGCCATTGATGGACCTACCCTCCATGAATTTATCTAGTTCTTTTTTTAACCCCTTCACAACATCTTCTGGCAAGGAGTTCCACAGGTTGATTGTGTGCTGTGTGAAGAAATATTTCCTTTTGTTTGTTTTAAATCAGCTGCATATTAATTTCATTTGGTGACCTCTAATTCTTGAATTATGAGAAGGAGTAAATAATACTTCCTTATTTACTTTCTCCAGTCTAGGGTTGTCAATTTTGATTGGCTGTATTCCTGAAGATTTCATCACATGACATAATCTATAATTAAAGATTAATTTTTAATTCCTGGAGACTCCAGGTCAATCCTGGAGGGTTGGCAACTGTATTCTCCATACCAGTCATGATTTTATAGATCTCTAACATATTCTGCTTTAGGTATCTCTTTTCCAAACTGAAAAGTCCAGTCTTATTAATCTTTCCTCATATGGAAGCAGTTCCAGACCCCTAATCATTTTTTTTGTCCTTTTCTGTACCTTTTCCAATTTCAATATATCTTTTTTGAGATGGTCCGATCACATCTGCGTGCAGTATTCAAGATTTATATGGAGGCAATATGATATTTTCTGTGTTATTTACTGTCTATCCCTTTCTTAATGATTCCCAACATTATGTTACCTTTTTTGGTTGGCTGCTGCATATTGAGTGGATGTTTTCAGGGGACTATCCACAATGACTCCAAGATCTCTTTCTTGAGTGGTAATAGCTCATTTAGACCCCATCATTTTATATGTGTAGTTGGGATTATGTTTTCCAATGTGCATTACTTTGCATTTATCAACATTAAATTTCATCTACCATTTTGTTGCCCCTTCACTCTGTTTTGTGTGATCCCTTTGTAATTCTTCGCAGTCTGCTTTAACTATTTTGAGAAGTTTTGTATCATCTGAAAATTTTGCCACCTCACTGGTTACCCCTTTTTCCAGATCGTTTCTGAATATGTTGAATAGGACTGGTCCCAGTACAGACTCCTGGGGACAGCACTGTTTACCTCTCTTCATTCTGAAAACTGACCATTTATTCCTATCCTTTGTTTACTATCTTTTAACCAGTCACTGTCCATGAGAGGATCTTTCCTCTTATCCCATGACAGCTTATTTTGCTTAAGAGCCTTTGGTGAGAGACCTTGTCAAAGGCTTTCTGAAAATCTAAGTACACTATATCCACAGGATCATACTTGTCAACATGCTTATTGACCCCCCTCAAAAATTCTAGTAAATTAGTGAGGCATGATTTCCCTTTACAAAACCATGTTGACTTTTCCCCAACATCTATGTGTCTAACATCATGTACATCTATGTGTCTAACAATTCTGTTCTTTACTATAAGTTTCAACCAGTTTGCCCGGTACCAAAGTCAGGCTTACTGGCCTGTAATTACCAGGATCACCTCTGGAGCCTTTTTAAAAAATTGATGTCACATTAGCTATCCTCCAGTCATCTGGTACAGAAGCTGATTTAAATGATAGGTTATGTACCACAGTTAGTAGTTCTGCAATTTCACATTTTAATTCCTTCAGAACTCTTGGGTGAATACCATCTGGTCCTGGTGATTTATTACTGTTTAGTTTATCACTTTGTTCCAAAACCTCCTCTAATGACACCTCAATCTGGGACAGTTCCTCATATTTGTCACTTAAAAAGAATGGCTCAGGTTTGGGAATCTCCCTCACATCCTCAGCCATGAAGACTGATGCAAATAATTCATTTAGTTTTCATATATTATTACTTAAATACATACATGTGAAAGCTCTGATTTGTACTCCCACTCAGAATGAATATCACTATTTTAATACAGCTATCTGTATTTCATTTTTCCATGCAGACAGCAAACATGTTCTATATTGTATTTATGATGGCAATAGTGTTGCTGAGTTTTGGGGTATCACGAAAGGCAATCCTTTCTCCAGAAGAGCCTCCCAGCTGGACTCTTGCACGAGATATTGTGTTCCAACCCTACTGGATGATGTTTGGTGAGGTCTATGCTGCAGAAATCGATGGTAAGTGATCTTGATGGGACTACTAATGTGCTTAAAGTTAAGTATGCGCTTAAGCGCTTTGCTGGATTTGGGCCATACAGTTTGGACCAACAATAAAGTCCATACTTTATTGCCAAGAAGGCCAATGGCATTTTGGGATGTATATGTAGGGGCATTGCCAGTAGATCGAGGGATGTGATCATTCCCCTCTATTAGACATTAGTGAGGCCTCATCTGGAGTACTGTGTCCAGTTTTGGGCCCCACACTATAAGAAGGATGTGGGAAAAATTGGAAAGAGTCCAGTGGAGGGCAACAAAAATGATTAGGGGACTGGAACACATGACTTATGAGGAGAGGCTGAGGGAACTGGGATTGTTTAGTCTGTGGAAGAGAAGAATGAGGGGGGATTTGATATTTGCTTTCAACTACCTGAAAGGGGGTTCCAAAGAGGATGGATCTAGACTGTTCTCAGTGGTAGCTGATGACAGAACAAGGAATAATGGTCTCAAGTTGCAGTGGGGGAAGTTTAGGTTGGATATTAGGAAAAACTTTTTCACTAGGAGGGTGGTGAAACACTGGAATGCGTTACTTAGGGAGGTGGTGGAATCTCCTTCCTTTGTGATTTTTAAGGTCAGGCTTGACAAAGCCCTGGCTGGGATGATTTAATTGGGGATGGGTCCTGCTTTGAGCAGGGGTTGGACTAGATGACCTCCTGAGGTCCCTTCCAACCCTGATATTCTATGATTCTATGATACTAACTCAAAGCATGTTGGTTTCAGTGTGCATCTAATGTTAACTGGCTATATCGTGCATTATCAGAAAGGAGAATAATCCCTTTAGGTTTCAGAGTAACAGCCGTGTTAGTCTGTATTCACAAAAAGAAAAGGAGTACTTGTGGCACCTTAGAGACTAACCAATTTATTTGAGCATGAGCTTTCGTGAGCTACAGCTCACTTCATCGGATGCATACCGTGGAAACTGCAGCAGACTTTATATACATGATCATCAAGTTGGGCCATTTCCAGCACAAATCCAGGTTTTCTCACCATCCACCCCCCCACACAAATTCACTCTCCTGCTGGTGATAGCCCATCCAAAGTGACAACTCAGTTTACAATACAATATAGAACTCAGTTGTCACTTTGGATGGGCTATCACCAGCAGAAGAGTGAATTTGTGTGGGGGGGTGGAGGGTGAGAAAACCTGGATTTGTGCTGGAAATGGCCCAACTTGATGATCATGTATATAAAGTCTGCTGCAGTTTCCACGGTATGCATCCGATGAAGTGAGCTGTAGCTCACGAAAGCTCATGCTCAAATAAATTGGTTAGTCTCTAAGGTGCCACAAGTACTCCTTTTCTTTTTGCAAATCCCTTTAGGGTCTTTGTTAAATCAGCTTTAGAGCCTATAAATTTAACCTTGTAAATGAAGTCACAAAGCCCATGACAGAGCACATGGGAGCTAGTGACAAAGCATTTTTCATTCAGGGGATCCTGCTTTGGAATGAATTTCTGGAGGAGATTAAGTCAATCCAAAATCTGACCACCTTGAATAAATACTGCAGAGCCTTTTCACCACAGCAAGAATTATACTCATAACATTGAAACCCCCATCTACCCAAACAGCCCCCCACAAAAATCAGTAAGAAACAAGTGTTTGTTGATTTGTGATTTGAAGAGGTCTAAGATTTTTCTTTAAAACAGAGGGAAAACTCCTCAGTTGGTATAAATTGGCACAGCTCCTCTAAAGTCACTAGGGTTTCCCTGCTTTACACCAGATAAGATCTGTCCTTCTACAGTGAAACACATATTAAATATTAACCTACCATGGCTATGCTGATTTATGTGGTAACTGTGGTTTTCATTTCCTTCCTGTGAAGCTTGTGAACTAAATGAAGACTGCCCTCCTGGGTCCTTCCTGACACCATTCCTCCAAGCTGTATACCTCTTTGTACAGTACATCATCATGGTCAACTTGCTGATTGCTTTCTTTAAGTAGGTACCAATGATACGTTGTTGCAAAACCAAACCAAACCAGTGGCTATGCTGCCAATATTTCTACAGGAGGCTCCAACAAAAGCCCCCCCATTAGCCTATGATAAACCCCGAACTTCCAGGGTGTATTTGTGCTTGTAGATAGGTGGAGGTTTCTGTCATTTGGTGTAGTCTAATCCACCCTAAATAAAAAATCCTGATCTTAATCATTATTTTTATGAATCATAGGGGGTGAATTTATCTCTGGCAACCTTTGCAGCCAGAGATGGAGAGTGCCATCAAAGACAGAGCAATCACACCAATTTCTCTTCCAGTTTGGTGGTGGAATTTTAATAAGAGGCTCCCTGGAGACCCCTCCATTGCACAGTTAGTTTTTTTTATTCTATAGTTTCAATATTTCAGTGGAGAAATTCTTTCAAATCTATTTCCAGCCATAGATTTTAAAAAAAATCAACTTGAAGAAATGCAGTGATTAGATTTCAAGGCAATTGAATGATCAACATCCATCTTTGTTTCCATTCCCAAACAGAAATTCCTGTGCGGAAATTGTGGCAAGGCATGGATTTCTTTTTCATATATAGCTGTGAAATTGCAGTGTGAATTATTTCTATATTTATATCTTCAATAGCAACGATGTGCTAAACCCAACAGTTCTGCAGTTTGGTTTCTTTCTCATGGGAGACAAATATTGGTTATCCTCAGTACAGATTTAGCTGTACATCTAATTATTCTCTCAGAAACAGAACTGGTGTTGTTATGATTCACTTCTGGGTCTTCGAGAGCCAGGTGTGACCGGGAAATTATAAATAGATTGAATTGAAAGCTGTGCCTCAAGACTGAAGGTCGCTTTCCAGAGCATTGGCTGTTGTTTTACAATACACTGTTGGATGTTTTTTCGGTGCCAAGTTTAGCAGTGTCACTGACCCCCAAAGAACCCTTTGCAGGAGAGCCTTTTGAACGGCTGCCTTCTGCTGTAGGGTGTTGGTGGAAGGAGACAGAGAGAGGGAAGTGGAGGAACTAGTACTGAAGAACAATTTCCATTTTGCAGCATTGTTTTGTTACAACCATTTCCCTGGCTGCCAGTCCTGATTCCTACGTTTAATCCAGTTCAGATATTCAGGCAATGTTGAATTCTTGAGACTATTTGACAGGGGAGGAGGGAACTTGAAACACTCTGGTTGAGATTTTCAAAGCCACCTCAGTGGGTTTGATGCACAATTCCCTTTAATTTTAATGGGAATTGGATATCTAGATCTGTGAGGCAGCTTTGAAAATGTCAGCCTCTGTGCGTTGTCTGCCTCTACCTGCTGCTGCTTTGTTAAATTAAAGTTGCTAAACTGATTTACCCCATTTTAGGATTGGGTGCTTTGTTTCAATAGTGCAGTGTATCTGGAGACAGGCATCTTTTGTTATTATGTGTTCCTCACATGAACCTCTCTCTTTTTCTCCCCTCTCTCTGTTTTACAGTAATGTTTATTATGATATGAAATCCATCTCAAACAATCTCTGGAAATACCATCGTTACCGCTACATCATGACGTATCACAAGAAGCCATGGCTGCCACCGCCTTTCATCATTCTGAGCCATATTGGCCACCTCATAAGCCACATCTACCACCATCGTCCCTCAAATGAGCTGGATCAAGAGGAAGGCGATGTTGGACTAAGTAAGCAGAGGGCAGGTTTTCCAGGCCTTCTGCTGGGGAGCCTACAGGAATAGGTGATCAGGGATGTTTTGCTAGCCTTCCATCACCTTGTTGGTGGGCTTGATAGTGAAAAGGATACTTGTTGAGGTTTGTACTGTAAGCCCTAATTTGGCTATCAGCCCAGACCAGTAAGGGGTTGTGTCACCACCAACCCTACAATTCTGGGTGGCTTAAATGCCATGTTGCTCTGCCTCACAGCCCTGATGCTAACAGCCCACATACAAGCATGTAGGTCACACCCTGGCTTCCACCATCCAGTTACTTTGTGCAGAGTGAGCCCAACACCACCCCAGTTCTGAATTTCTGCCATACCCTCTGCTGGTATGACAATTTGCTGAGGTTTCCAGAACTGTGAGTTACAGTGTTACCTGATTTCCCTGAGCAAGTGAGTGTTTTTGCTACTGCTAACGTTTGTGGGAACTTGTCAGCAAACTCTTAGGATTCTGCCAGTCCAAACCTTTCCTTTCAGACAACGATCAGTGAACCCCAATTCCCGAATCCCTCAGCGCTGACCAGTCCTCTCCTGGAACATTGACAGACATTACATTTGTTGCTCCTTTAAAGAGACAATATGCTGCAGCTTACTAATTTAATTGGGGTTTGACAAACAGCCTTATTTCAGTCACAGCATTGAAATGGTTTATAGTAAAAGTAAAGCAAGTTTATTTAACAAAAGGACATGGAAGTAAGTGATACCAAATATAAGGAATAAAGATAGACTGGGTTACAAGCAAACAAAAGTAAAAATACACTTATAAGATTAAAAATTAATTTCAGCAAGTTGCAATCTTTGCCTCACCTATATTTGGTTCCCAAAGACTGCAACCCTCTTGGTTGAAGGATGAAATGTTCTGTGGTTTCAAGAGCTCTGGACCCTTGAATCCCTCAAGTGAGAGAGAACTCAAATGTCTTTTTGCCCCATCATATCACCCCAAAGTTCATTGTCTCTGTTTCAAGGGCCAGGAAGTCTTCCTGGTATTCTTTCCTTCCTGTGAATATCCTATCTCCCTGCTGATTCATATGTGTTAGGGTAACCTCTGAGACCTTATCCACTCAGGGGTATGTTGGGATGGCTTCTGAGACCATATCCACTTGGTAGCCCCTGAGACTTTATCGTTTCCCAAGAACTCAGCTCGACTCCAGACTCATTGCTGAGGTTCGTTTATTAGCATACAGTCAAACTATATGGAGCTGATGAGACTCGTGTGGGGATGGGTACAGTGTAGACCACACATAGAGAGTACAAAATTATTAATCAGTTTATATACACATTCTGAAACAAACTGCCACATGTGCCTTCTATTCTACATAGTATCGCATGCTCTGTGACTGGCTCATTAGTTTCTGGGAAGCAATCTCTACCCAGATCATGAGCTGTTCATGCATCGCACATATGCCATCTCTTGCATATTGCTTATTGCCCTACTATCTCTTTTCTACTAGCTACATATTTTACATATTTACAAGGCTACTGTGAATTCATACTTTGTTCATTGTTGCACTTCCTTGCTCAGAATAAATCTACACTGAACACTTTTTTTTCTTTCATAGATATAACTTTTTCAGTTTAATCATATGTTTTTCTCTTTTTGTTTGTTTTTAAGGTGTATTACTCAGCAGCATATTCCCAGAACCACAATGGTGGCTATAAATTGTATACATATTAACAACAAACTTAATGTCTGCACTATGGTTTGGAGGCTAACCTCCTTTAGGATAGCTCACCATAGGTTACCTGTTTTTGCAATGCTGGTATAATCACCTCACTACTTTGTTTGGATATGAGTTGCATGATGGTTACCAGCTGTTCCAAAGTGCATTCTGCTAAACCCTGATTTTTATTTCTACTATTTCCTGAACCAAATGAATTTCAAGTTTATTACTGTATATACCACATGCAATAGCCTTGCACATATTATTACCCTGGTCAGCAGTTCTGGCTGTTAAGCTTTTAAGATCCAGGCTTAAGGGAGGATTCCCAAACTTGGCTATACTTTTAAAACATCCTTTTACCTATATTTCAGTTACATTATTTTAAAAAATGATAGGAGATAATGTTTGTATCACCACAGGAAATTAAGGTGTGAAACAGCACATGGGCCAATTAAAGTAACATTCCTCGCGTCCATACTGGAAGTAGTCCCCTTCATCCGCTACACACTACTGCCATTCCCAGTATACATAGTGTTTATTTCACCAACTTACCAGCATCTCATCTATACTGTGCAATTTGCAGACTGCTGCACCAGAGTGCTGTTCCACACGCCGGCAACTTTGTCCGTAAGACATTACACATGCACATGTAAATATGCCCCAGGTGCAAACAGAAATACAAGTCTGGGGCTTTGCAAATGTAGTCACTGTCAACAATTTAGGGCGAAGGGTAATCTAGTGAATATGGCACTGGACTGAGAACTCCTGGGTTCAATACCCAGTTGAGCCACAGACTTCCTGCATGATCTTAAACAAGTTGTTTAATTTCCCATCTGTAATATTGGGATAAAATGTCCCTACTTCACAGGATTGTACCTACATTCATAAATTTAAAAGCTGGACAGGGCCATTATGATCGTCTAGTTTGACCTCTGGCATAGTACAAGCCTCACCCAGTAAGACAATATTCAGTAAAAATCCATTAATGATTCAGGTCCTAAGATACTATATGATGAGGCCATATAAATACCTAAATAGGCAGAGATGTCCAGTAGTTAATAATGGTCAGGAATCTGTGCCTGATTCTTCAGGGAATGCAATTTCTGACCTGTGCACCTGACTTATTGTGCAGTGCTGTACACAGGTGGAGTTTTCCTTCTTGGCTGCTATAGCAATCAGGCAATGATGAGAAGAAGCATGACATTTGATGATCCCATCTCAGCGTGAGTAAATAAAAGCTGCTTTTCGATTTAAAGGAGCAATAAAATGGAACCATTCAAAAGATTTGGTTATGTAAGTGAACAATATAAGTAACAGGAAATTCCTGCCCAGCTAGTTTCCTGCCCACATCTAAAATATCCTCTTTAAATTAGATACCAATGTTGATGTTATTAGCTCCAGGATGCTCTATTCCATCGTAATGGACAACTTTATGCTTTTTGAAATACAGTGCATTGCAGTATGCATTCTTTATGCTTATAATGGGGTGATCACAAACACATCCCAGGTTATTGCTAATCTGTGCTTGCTGTGCTGAATATGCATTCCTAAAGATATCAGCCATGGTCAGAACTGATAACTGACTCTACATTCAAGATTAACTAGTCAGAGTTTAACCACTTCACTGCTAGTCGTTGTTTCAGCTCCTGTGCTGTGGAAGGAAGCCACATCATTCCTTTGAAGTAGTAATGTTCCTCTGGAATATTTGCATGTCATAAGTGAATATTTGCATGCCATAAGCTTGTTTGTAGGGCACAGAAAAGTAAAAGAGCTGTTTAGCTCACTTAAAGTTTCTTTGAATAGAGAGGCTATTGACTTGGCTTCACACATTTTTTCAGAAAAGCAGTTATTTCAGGTATTTGAATTTGCTTACAAAGCCAAAACTATATCCAAAACCGCTTGGCAAGATTTTTCTGCATCAAGTTAAAGTTCTGTAGGTGAGTGTCTACCCAGGACATAGGAAAACAGTGCCACCGAGTGGAAAATGAATGCATATACAAAGGCATGGTGAGTGGAATCAGCCAGGCAAGAGCAGAAAGGTCATGGGAAGGACCTATTAGATTACTGAGTACATTCCACTGCAAAGAAAGATGTAGTACTCCAATAGAGGATGTACCATGTATTACAAAGACACAATAAAATATTTTAACATCAACCTTTGCTAGCCATTACCTCACAGTTTCCACACAGTTACCACAGTGTAGTGGGAAACTCTGGTATCTCAAAAAGAAAAGGAGTACTTGTGGCATTGTAGAGACTAACAAATTTATTTGAGCATAAGCTGTCGCTCATGAAAGCTTATGCTCAAATAAATTGGTTAGTCTCTAAGGTGCCACAAGTACTCCTTTTCTTTTTGCGAATACAGACTAACACGGCTGTTACTCTGAAACCTATGGTATCTCAGACACCACTATGTGGACACAAATGCTGTCCATTGCAGTACAGCTGCTAAAGACAATGGCAAAAGGGAATTTGCAGACAGAGAGAAAGAAAATTAGTTCTATTTTTTTAAAGAAATTTTTGCCAAATGCATTGTGTGAATGGAGATAGTATAGTTCCCAAATCTGAGAATCCCAATACATGAAGAAACATATCTCTGGAGTGTTGAAATCCACTTTGAAGTTGCTGGAAAAAAATCCAAAGAAAAATGAATTTGGAAGAAGAAAACAGTGAAATATCCTGAAGAGAAATTCTCCAGAGACTGACTAATTGTTTGATACTGTTTACATGTCTTAGCAGTAGCTTAGACTTGACCAATTCTGTGAAAAAATCTTTTATTGGTCTACTGTAAGAATAGTCTCAAAGCATGCCAAGCTTGTTACATGTGTCTGGAGTTGTACATTTAAATATGTATTGCAATATCCCTTGGTTAATATTTGTATACATATGAATGTTTGAAAGCAATTAAGTGAAAAAGAACTCCATGACTACCTATCACACTGAATGTTTGAAAGAGCTCTGGTTGCTATAGCTGGCGTAAATTCTCTTTAGAAATGTTTTGAGACAAGGTAGAGCAGTCATATGAAAGAAGAGCCTCATAAGTAAGTCATATAGTGGAAAGTATTGGCTATTAGGTATAACTATATAAACATAATGCATGAAAATACTGGAGAGAAAATGTATCCCTAAGATCAGTTATTTGGCTGTGCGTTTTCAAATCTTTTTATAAAATGAGTCAACATGCAAGAGGGCTTATATCAGCTACCCTTTCTCTCCTTGGATTGAGAAAGATGCTATAAAGCACATAAGCATATATTTGGAGTGTACACACATCACCAGTCTCCATATATAAGCACAATTTCAAGAAACAAAAGGAAATATATTTTAACAAAAAGAAAAGGAGTACTTGTAGCACCTTAGAGACTAACCAATTTATTTGAGCATAAGCTTTCATGAGCTACAGCTCACTTCATCGGATGCATACTGTGGAAAGTGTAGAAGATCTTTTTATACACACAAAGCATGAAACAATACCTCCCCCCACCCCACTCTCCTGCTGGTAATAGCTTATCTAAAGTGATCACTCTCCTTACAATGTGTATGATAATCAAGTTGGGCCATTTCCAGCACAAGAGTGGGGTGGGGAGGGAGGTATTTTTTCATGCTTTGTGTGTATAAAAAGATCTTCTACACTTTGCACAGTATGCATCTGATGAAGTGAGCTGTAGCTCACGAAAGCTTATGCGCAAATAAATTGGTTAGTCTCCAAGGTGCCACAAGTACTCCTTTTCTTTTTGCAAATACAGACTAACACGACTGTAACTCTGAAACCTGCCATTATGCAAGGCACTATATTTTAACAGTTTCTTTCTTTTTTAGTAAAGCAGGACAAATGCATTTCTTTGTCGGTATGTTTGGTACCAGCTATCATCTTATTTGTTTAGAACTCTACCTGAGTGATGAGGAGTTAAAGAAACTTCATGAGTTTGAGGAGCAGTGTGTGGAGAGGTACTTCCATGAAAAGAATGAAAGCTTGAATTCCAGTGACAGTGAAAGGATCCGTGTGACATCAGAAAGGTATGAGGGATTTGCTGCTGCTGAAACCTACCTAGAATGGGATATCCATTGCAGTATAAAAGACTATCGGCTAACAATTGTTTTGAGTACAAAGTATGGTTGCTCCACTTTATGTGTGCAGGGAAAGAGGAAAGGGCTTATATAGCCCTTTCTCCCACCCTACATCCATAATGTATCCATTTAAACTAAGTGCAAAGTGTGGCTGGTTAATGCTTCTGGCAGAAATGCACTCCCACATGTGTGCAGTACATGAGCAGTTGAGGGTGTGGCTAGGGAATTGCACCATTTTACCTTTGCAAACTATGTACCACTAAGAGGATGGTAGCGGGGTGGAGCATATGCAACATGTTTTTATTTGCAGGCTTATTAATTACCAGTGATAAACATTCTCCTCACAGTGACCTCACATTCTCCTTACAGTGACCCTAGATGATGTATACCTATCATTCATGATATGGAGGCCTAATATCTACAGCCCGTATGGAATTACCTTTGTTATAGTTTCAGCTACACTTCCTCCCTCTAGTCATAATGTGTCAAAGGTGTGCTAGTTGGGACTTCCAAAAGCACGAGTGCTGGCCTAACTAAGCTTCCTCATTCCCCACTTTGTGTGAAAGTCTCACACAAAGTGTCACCATTGAGCTGTTAGCATCAATTTGTTTTGCCTGGTGAAATGTAGCCCACTTAACACACTATCTACTCATGGACTTCATTTTCCATATACCAAACCAAAATGCGTACAACAAAATGAATGAATCTTATTAAAAAATGGCCGATAAAAAGATAGATTTGTCCATATAGCAAATTTCTATTATACCAGGAAGATCTGAGTTAATTGAAAACTGAACTGATAAACAATAGATCAGTTAAATTAAAATGTATTTAGCAGAATAGAAAGAATCCCTCTTAAAAGAATACTGCTTAGATGAATAACATTTTTGGATCACCAAGGTTTCTTTTGTAGCATGATTTCTGTTCAGCACAGCTGCTAGTTTAGATTCTTGGAGGTATACACTGCATCCTTTAGATACCATGCTGCTAATAGAATGCAGTTCCTCTTGTGTACTGCCTACCGCTAGGTTAATTCCTTTGTACATTGATGGGATGACATATGGAGAGATTATATGATCTGATCTATCTATAGCTAGAACTAAGGAAATCGTTTAGTTAAAATTAACTTATTGAATCATTTCAGGTTGGGAACTTCTCACAATGTACATTAGGGGTTTGAAGGCCTTAAAATACTTTGCTTGACTGGCAGATGAATTCTACAGAGAAAGTAAAAGTTAACATTCAGATGTATAAAATATGACCAAGGTGGCAAATAGATCCTTTGAAAAAAGTTCTTTTCCTGCCAGGCTTTTATATGTAAGAAATGAAAAAAAGTAATCTGTAGTCCTGTGAGCCCTTTTAGAGTGTTTTTTTTTTTTTTTTTTTTTTTGCACAAGAAAGAAAGAGACCTCTGAAGACAGAAGGGCTCACAAACAATTTACCCATCCTTTCTGGTTCTCTCTTATTCTCCATGATCATTAACTTTGTGCCAGGGAGTGGTGGTTGATTTGAATGTGTTAATTATTAGAGGAGATTACTCCCAATGGAAAAGTCAGTGTAAAATTCATTTTAGGCTTTCTAGCTTTTAGCTCAATAGTTCTGAATGTAGATCATGAATCAGGTTAGTTTATTATCACATGGAGGTGTTTATGAAGATGGAAATCACGGTAGAAAAATAGGAGTGGATTGCTTAATTATAGAATGGTAAAGATTTCCTCTGTTTTAAAGTTTTCGTTCATCATTTGGAATAAAGAAATAAAATAATACAAAGATTTCTGCTTTATTAGTTTAATATGGGTGTGTTTTTCCCTAGAGTGGAGGAGATGTTTTTGCTGCTGAAGGAAGTGCATGAGAAGGTGTTCTACATCAAAGACTTTTTGCTTTCCCTGGACAGCCAGCTAGGACACCTGCAGGACCTCTCTGCCTTGACTGTCGATACCCTAAAAGTCGTTTCTGCTGTAGACACACTGCAGGTAGAAAAGGCCCTGCTGGCTGAGACAAAGCACCGAGCCTGTAGGAAACTGCCACATAGCTGGAATAATGCCATGTATTCAAAGACTTTGAGCAGTTTGGAATGTTTGAATGATAAGAATTACAACTACTACAGCATGCCTCCTTCCATTCTAAAGAGCTTGGCAAGAAGACAGTGGCGATCAGAGTGCCATAGCCACATTGTTGAAACTGAGGACTACAAGGAAATGAAGATAGCAAGCATCCAGATAAAGCAAGAAATAGAAAGTGACACGCTCACTTCTGGGGTATCCTCTGAGAATAAATCAACCCCTGGATACGGACAGTTCCTCTTGGTCCCTACTGGTCATCAGGGAGCTGCTTCCACTGAAGAGGTGCCCTCACACCACCCCAGTGAGGTAACCAGAGATGGTTATGTGAACTGGGGGTTCTCTGAAGGGGATGAAAAAGGAGTTTTATGCAGTGAGAAAAGGCAGAAATCATGCATTCATTCCTCCTGTAACAATGACTGCAACTGCACCCGTAGCACTCCACAGCATGTCCAGATAAAAGCGTCAAAATCCTTCTCTTACAACTCAGACAAATCAGGATATGCCAGTGACACCTCAGAGCCTGAGCCCATGTGCCAGCGCAACACCATCTTCTGGATCAACCCACTCAGGAGAGACTGGACTATCCACAAGAGCAGCAGCTTTCAGTCCCTCAAGGGAAAGAAAGTGGGGAAGACCTGCAAAACCAAAGGTAGAAATCTTATTTTACGATAGCATCTTTCACTGAGGTTTGGGGAACTGCACAGGGGGAATATTATTCATTTTAATATTATTTATTGAGCCTTCACTTTCTAATAAAGTCTCTGTTGTATAATCATTTAATTTTGTTTACCTTTACCCTCAGAGCGATCGAAATCTGCTGAGTTGATCCCATCTGTGTGGACAGAAGCAAAACAACAGAATAGAGACAGACAATCCCAGGAGGACAAGAAGAAACAAAAAATGCTTCAGGTGCCGGTAGGTACAGGTGTAAGTGGAATGCCATGTTCTTAATCTGCCTCGGTAGCTCTTTAGTGACAGTATCGTAATAGGGGATAGTAAAGTTAGCATTAATGCCCACTGGGGTTTTAGCCCTGGAAAAGTACTGCAGTCATGATCAAACTGGGAAGTCCCTAAATAATTAATCCCAAATCTATTGTCTTGCTTTGTTTTTGTTTAAATGCTCTTTATTTCAAACGTTTAGTGGCTCAATCCTGCACCCATTGAAGTCAATGAGAGGTTACCATGGACTTTAAAGGGTGCAGGATCAGGCCCTAAATCAGTTTTGTGTTGTAAGGACTCTGCCCTCTCTTCCTGATTAAGGCCAGGGTTTGGGAGGGTGCACTTGAATAACGTCCGGGACAGAAGGAAGGAGCAGCTTCAATCCTCCTTCCCTAAGTCCTAGCTGCTTTTTAAAGGAGTGTGGAGTGCATCAGTACTTTTTACAAAGAGATTCCCAACATCCTTTTGAGCTGGAGAACAGTTATCCCCATTTTAGTGATGAGAAAACTGTGGCAGAGAAAGGTTTAACTCATTTACTTAATAATGGCTTATTGTGCAGCCTTAGCAGAGTTATGAACAGAACCCTGAAGTGCTGATTCCCATCACTAGACAGCATGATAAGCAATTATATTTTAAAGATTGTGTATTAAAAAGTCACAGGACTTTCATTTTAAATATCAGCTGACCAGCTTTGTAACCTTTTCTATACATGTGCAGTGGGTTTTTTTCTGCAACATGTAACAAATACAGAATATATTTTTCTCAATTATTATATTTCATAGTGGTTAGAGCTGGAATCTAGGAGAGAGAAAACCCTAGGTTTCGTCCTCTGTCCTGTCACTTGCCAGCTAATATTGATCAATTTTCTGTGTTTCAGTTCACCAATCTATAGTAAGGGAAGAATAATACAGTGTATCCTGAGTTATCTGAAAGACCCATAGGACACCAAAATCTTCAAGTTCCTCTCTGCTTTTCCACAAAATATTATGTGCTGAATTGCTTTACCATATAAGCACTTCAGCCAGCTTTGCTTCCCTCACAGCCTCTGATCTTCCCTGCACTACCCCTGTTCAATTGTTTGGCCTTGGGCAAAGCTGGTAAACCACTTCTGTTACTTGAGCATCATTTTTCTGAAGGTCTGAAATCTGAAACAGGGCACAAGGGGCATTCCAGAGGTGTTTGGATAGGGGAGGTTAGGATATCTAAGGTACACTGCACTTCTCTTTCTCATGGAGGTATTTTGAGACTTATTTCATATTGTTTGTAAAGCATTTTGAGACCTTATACAAGTGAAAATAATTATTGCTGGCATTCCTCTTGCAGTGATTCTAAGAACCATGCTACAGAGGAGCTGCAGAGCTGTTTGTCTTAAAATATTGAGTAAAATTTTTTCTGTCCCCTGCCAGGTGATTACAGTGGATGGTTGTCCCCAGAGCACTCAAATGAGTTCAGAGCCAGCAGAAAGCTGTTTCTTGGGTGAAGAGAAATACAACAAGAACTGGCTAACTGCATCTAATTTCAATCAGCTAAGTATGTAACACTCTTCAGCTGATGAAGCTCAGAACTCCTGAATAAACCAGTAACAGTGCATGAGTCTAAAGTGTCATGAACCAGTACCACCTCAGGAGGCAAATTATAGGGTCAGATTGTGAACAGACACTGTACATACACATACCCCTCAAACAGAGGGATGGGGAGACAGAAGCATGGAGTGGGTGGACCCTGGGCTTCATCTTCCTCGAGTTTGCTGGCCACCACTGCTGAGCTGTTCCAGGAGTTGGGGGAGTAACTTGCTATTTTTGTGGTACAGTAGCAGATTACTACCTCTCAGGAGTAAACAGGGATTAGGGAACTGAACTGTGTCTCTGTGAGGCATGATTCCTGGCCTGGAGAATTTCTGGAGTATCACAGCATCTCACTATACAAGCATAATCTAGCTGCTATTGGTAATTTTTGCAGAGGTTTGTGGTCATAGGTATTACTATGATAATGCGTCGATTAGTTGGTTTTTGGTAATTTTCATCCATTTGATGTACCAACCTTCCATTTTCCATTTGCAGCATAATGGATAATTGGCCATAAATTCTTAGAGTACTCAGATGTCATTGCTCAGAATACATTCTTCATGGAGAAGTAAATTTATGTCACCTGTATTTGAGTGATAAGTTCTAAGTAATGTGTGCAGTGTAGTTGTAGCCATGTTGGTCCCAGGATATTAGAGACAGAAGATGGGTAAGGTAATAACTTTAACTGGACCAACTTCTGTTGAGAGAGCCAAGCTTCTGAGCGACACAGAGCTCTTCTTCAGGTCTAGTTCAAGTTCTGAGGAATGACATTTCGGACTCTTGTATAGCAGTGATTCTCTAGCTTTTTCATTATACAGGCCTCATTTTAAGAGTGAGATCCTCCAACAGATCATCTTATCTCCTGACTCTGTCTCTACACAGCTCTTAGATTACATTTTGCAGACCACCAGGAAAAGCACCATGGAGCAGTGGTGCTCTACAGATCATAGTATGAGAAGACCCGAGCTACACTGGAACCTGTAGGCTAAGAGAAAGTGGGAACAATCTACTTCACTTTTGTGAAATTCCATTGTTGCTTTTATATTGTCGGCTTCTAGAGTAATACATCATACAGATATTTTATGGGTGTTTATTTTACAGTAATAATGCTTTTCATTTCAGTTTTAGAAATATATTTTCTCTGATTACTTTCTTGGTTAGGTTTGGAACGTCTCAGTTATATGCACCAGAAAATGAAAAATCAAGAAACTGGTAGGCGCTCTTTGCAAATCTGTGACTCTCTGAGGCAGTCTCAAGAGGTAAGACCTGAGGACATATCATGGGCCAAATCTTCATATAAATTATTGTAGCTTCCATAGAGCTACACTGATTTTCATCAGCTGAGCTTCTGTCTAATGAGACACCTTTTGATGTGTGTGAAATTTCATTTCATGCTGGCAAGCCACATCTTTGGTAGTAAATGAATACTTAACAGCTATTAACACTTAGCAACAATTAATAAAGTAGGATATTAAACTAGTGAATCAAGAAATGGGAGTGTGTATGAAGACAATGGTCAGAAAGGTGAGCATTTATTAGTAATACTCTAGGCCATTAAGCAAATACACAGTCTGATGTAGAACGTGTGAGCAGAGGTGATTAGAGAACCAAGGCAACCTTTGGCAAGTTCATCTTCTTAGCTATTAGGTGACCATATTTATTTCATGTAAAGTGAGAGTTAAATATTTCTAGTGCAAAGATGTTTCCTACTGTATTTAGAGTGGTTTTCTTAATCTCTGGCTTTTAAAAAATTATGATTTGTCAGAACTGATTTGCAACCTTATATGACCGACTGGCTAAGCAGCAGTTCTGCAGAAAAGGACCTGGGAATTACAGTGGATGAGAAGCTGGATATGATTCAACAGTGTGCCCTTGTTGCCAAGAAGGCTAATGGCATATTGGGTTGCATTAGTAGGAGCATTGCCAGCAGATTGAGGGAAGTGATTATTCCCCTCTGTTCAGCACTGGTGAGGCAACATCTGGAGTATTGCATCCAGTTTTGAGCCCCCCAATACAGAAAGGATGTTGACAGATTGGAGAGAGTCCAGTGGAAGGCAACAAAAATGATCAGGGGGCTGGGGCACATGATTTATGAGGAGAGACTGAGGGAACTGGGCTTGTTTAGTCTGCAGAAGAGAAGAGTGAGGGGGGATTTGATAGCAGCCTTCAACTACCTGAAGTGGGGTTCCAAAGAGGATGGAGCTCAGCTGTTCTCAGTGGTGGCAGATGACAGAACAAGGAGCAATGGTCTCAAGTTGCAGTGGGGGAGGTCTAGGTTGGATACTAGGAAACAGTGTTTCACTAGGAGGGTGGTGAAGCACTGGAATGGGTTACTTGGGGAGGTGGTGGAATCTCCATCCTTAGAGGTTTTTAAGGCCTGGCTTGACAAAGCCCTGGCTGGGATGATTTAGTTGGTCTTGGTCCTGCTTTGAGCAGGGGGTTAGACTAGATGACCTCCTGAGGTCTCTTCCAACCCTAATCTTCTATGATATAGGTCCAGATCCTTAGCTTGTGTAAATCAGCATGTCTCCATTGACGTTAATGCAGCAATGGGAATTTACATCTGCCGAAGATCTGGCCCATAGTTCAGAAAAGAATGTGGGCAAGAAACTGGCTTGCAGAAATCTCTGTTCTTAAATGGCCTGGATGACGGCACAAATTGCATCTTTCAACTCATTGCAGGAGGTAGACCAGGGGTAGGAATGGAAATTAACAAGGAATAAATTGAGAACTGAAGTTGGGAAATTATCCATTCTTCTTCCTTTCTCAAGAGTAATTCATTTTAGAGAAGGGAGCACATTTCCTTGCCTGATTCTTTTTTTTTTAAAAAAAGTTACTGTTCACTATAAATGCTATTTGTTGTTACTTTTAGCTTTTTTCCTTAGACCATGAAAGTAGATTAGATGAACTTTTGTTTCTTGTCAGTTTCACTTTTTGACTCTCCTGTGGTTTCAGAGTGTTGTAGTTTGAGTTCCAAACACAACAGAGCAAGTTTAAACAAAAGAATTTTATATTGAAGAAAAGAAATTATAGAAACATTTCTACTGATCCTAGATTCTGTAAAACATTAATTTTGGGGCTTAAGTCAATTTGACAATAAATCTTTAAAATAGGGTACAATATATTTTTAAGAAATGAGTTTTCCCTGGGTTAGTTCTTCTCAGACCGATCTGTGGATCAACATTGGTCCACAGGTCTTTTGTTATGCCTAACAAGATGAAACATTTTGAGAACAAACCAATGGATTGTGGGTGGGGAGGTCACCTGTTACCAGAGGAACTTTCATGCAAAAAGTAATCTCCTGAATTAAAACATGGGAGAACATCTGAGAGAGTTAATTTTAAAACTAAATTTAAGGTAATATTTAAAGATTAGTTTTATCTAGTTTGTCTTAAAAGCTTGTCTCTGATCTTTTTATTTGAATCCTGGTGCACTCTTCTTTGGGGAAAGGAATTTGCCTTGGTCAGATTTTTCAGAGGAATATTGAAATATCTGACTAATACAAGAGGATATTCCAAAGTCAGATTGTTCTATAGGAGCATTTTCCCTGATGTAGCTGGAAGGTTTTGCACTATTAAAGGGACTAAGAACCTTCGACTGACAGAAATGAAATATATAAAATCTAAATATCATATTGAAAAACTCCAATGTTCTTAAAAATACACCATGCTTGGTGCTTCAAACTGTTAGATGTGAGATGTGTTTCCTTTGTGTCATGGCCTCACAGGACCCATGCTCTCTCAGCTCTGTAAGGTTCCTGGGAAGAACCCCCTTCAGTCTGACAGCCCGCCTCAGGAGTCTCACTCTGGGGCATTAAGCCTTGGGCTCCACCACCTCTTGGAACTGCACCTCTGAGCCTTCAGCATGCCTATGTCTCTCTGTGAGCCCCCTCAGGGAGTCCATTCACTCTGGAACCCCAGGTCCTCCACACCCTGACAGAGCAATGCAAACCCGCTCTCTAGATTGCAGTTACTCTCAGCCAGTGTAAAAAAGAAGGGTTTATTGTGCATCTGAACACAGCACAGAAAGTTCTCAGGGCCTCAAACATAGAAAATTTCAGCATAGTCCATCTGGGCCCGTCCAACGCCCAGGTGGGCACAGGCTGCTCTTTGTACCAATCCAGAAGCGACCTCTTTCCAGCTAACCACCCTATATCACCTTCCCCAAAAGCCCTTCCTCCGTCTTTTGTCTTCTTTCCTGGGCAACCAGATCACCTGGACCCTCTCTCTTCCGCCCTTTATTCTCTCACTGGGCAAACCCAGCTGGCTTCCAGATGGGGTGGGCCTCCGGGTCACCAGTTGCTAAGTTCCACTGTGTCCAAGCCAGGGTCCAGGCGGCTAGGCGAGGTCTCACCTGGTCCTCTGCAACAACAAACACCCTCTCCCACCACCTCGTTAAACGTGCAGCACATAGGGAAAACGGAGACACAGTATTCATGCAAACCATTAAGCAAATCCCCCAGTTGGTCACACCTTTCTAGTGTAACACTGTAGGACACATCTTATTCATTAAATATTTATATTTCATATATTTTATTTTTCTGCTATAAAGGGAAATTCCCTACTAGTTTTTATGCTGCAAAATACTTCCATGTACATTTAGAGTTTTTTCACGGTGCAGTCTGATATAACTAGATCACTTAAATTATTCTACTATCTACCTAAATGCATGGAGATTCTATAGAAAATTGCAACCAGGACAATTTCATGTTCCAAATCAGTGTAGGTTTAATAGAGCTGTGAAACACTTAGGTTTCTGTGGGACTACTCACGGTAGTCAAATTAAGTACATGCATAAGTATTTGCAGGATTGGAAGCTTTATGAGTTGCTCTGATTATATACGTAGGACAGTGATATATAGACTGTACCCGTAACATCATTTTTCTTCTTCTCAGGATTTGACTAATAGCATGATTGGGACCACCAGGAAGAATAATCTGAGCAGGAATTCCTTGTATGTATTCCTAACTATTTTAAGATACTTGCTGCATACCTACAAAAGCAGACTCTATTGTAACCCAGTTCTGTAGATACTGCAGATTTCCATTTTAGTTCTATAACACATTTAGCATGAGGAATCTGTGCATATGTAAAACAGACTTTTTTCAATAAAATAAAGCTTTTTTGTTTAATTATAAAAGGTTATTAATTCCAATATAACTTCTAATTTTAGAAGGAACATAGATACTTTTATCTTTTTGTATCCCAGTATAATCTAATTTTCTCATTCAGTCACCACAGGATCTTAACTACTTATTCTAATCTACTAGAGTGTGAAAGGCAACATTTGCTTTTGCTGCATACATTGTATATTTCTTTTTAAAATAGCAAAAATCCTGAAAGGCTGTCATTCTCTGATTAAAATCCTTTGTATCAACTCTGCATTGGCAATAAGTCTGTCTGCATTTGCAAAATATTTGACTTGCTTTCTATAAAGAGATTTTGGTGGTGGTTTATCTCTGATCAAAGTGAAATAAAATCAGACTGGCTTGAAAAGTGTCTTCAGTTTTCTTGTTGATTTCTTCAAACCTCTTGGATGTTTTTTCAGCTTGCTTGATAATTATCTTAATATTTGGAATGCTTTCATGTGTGCTTCTCTTTCTCCCTCTCTCTCTGCCTCTGCCTCTCAAGTTCATCACTGCAGTATACATCCCCACTACTTAGTAACATCCCTGATAAAATAAATAAAAGGCACAAAGCAATTGCCACATTCCATGATTTCAACATGGGACAGGGAAAAAATACTGTTCTTTTTAACAGTCCATTGTGGCATACTTGCAGGCAGTAGCCAACCTGCATACATGCTAAACTGAGAACTGAACTCACAGGGCTAATGCTGCTGTCACTTACACTGGTCTGACTTCAGTAGAATTAGTCTTGATTTACACCCATGTGAGAGGAGAATCATGCCCATAATCTTTTGTCTTTTTATCCCCTCCCTCAAGCAAAAAGCTTCCATCAACTTGAGGCAACAGAGACTGTTAAATATCAGAAGCAGTAGGGTTTACAGTATAGCCTCCCTATAGATCAGCTAACAAAGTGCAAGGCAACTGCAAAAAATTGAGCAAGTCTGATTTCATCCTGTAGAGGGCAGTGAGACACATACCAGTCAGTACATCAAAACGTAGGTTAAAATTAAAAAGCAAACAAACAATACACCCACCCACCACTCATATCTGATTGAAGTGCTCTTTAAACAATATTGTTATTATCTAAACAAGACAGTGACCCAGAATTGTAAGCACAAATCAGAGAGGGGAAAATGCAGAGAAATACTTCTGTTCCTTAGTAACAAATGATCAGCTGTATGTCAAAGCAAAAAACAACTTTATGCTAGTGGTTCTTGTGTTTTATGAAGTGAGTTTAAATCTTTGTGAGTTTGAATTCACATAGTTCAAATCCTTTCATGTCATTCTTGTTTAATCACAGAAAAGTTTGAAGCATAATTTCCTATTGTTGATTCTAAAACAGGTTCAGAAGTTCAAGCGGCATTGACAGTAAGTTTTTGATTGATTATTACTTGTCTTTAATTCTTATTTGTAAATCCTACTTTCACAATTCTGAAATACGTGACCAGTGATTCTATTGTAAGCATGGAGGGTAAACAGGAAGAGGGTTAACAATAATTAATACCCAACAGAAAGAACAGATTCTTTACAGTTTACTACAAATAATGTGATAATATGTTTTCCTCATGCTAAAGGAAATTTCCATCTATTTTGCTCAGCCCAGCAATATAAAATATCACACACTTTTCAGCAGGAATTAACTATGCTGTGCTTAAAAAGAGACAGATGAATTCTATCCTTTGGATTGCAAGAGAGTTCCATTGGGTTAAATAGGAAGCTTGACATATATCTGAGGGTTAAGTCTAGCATAACATTTCTGATTACAATGCGTGTTTCTAAGCACAGTCATGGTTGCAGCCATCTCTCTGGTAAGTGGTATTTGGTTCAGTTTTGCAATTCCTCTGCATGTTGAACTCTCATTGAAGGATCTGGTCCGCTGTGGGATTGTCAGTGCAGGAGTTCAATGTGTCAAAGATGGTAAATACGTTTTCAAACTTCTTTGATATTCACTCAAGAATCAGAAGGATGACTTTGTCCAACAAATGTAGAACATTTGTATGTAGCCTTTTTTAGTCAAGTTTATGCTCACAATGGGTATTTGGGCTGCGGATGCTACAGTCACATACTAAAGAGACACCATCGAGTTGAATTTTGTTGCAACTGGTCACATTTTTTAAAAATGCAAGTTTCTCGAAGAGCAGACTGGCTTTTAATTCCTTAAAAAGGTTTTGAACATATTTTATGTCCTCCTATCATTACAAGAGAATTTTGGGTGGAATCAATAATTTTGGGTGGAATCAATGGCCTGGCCCATCCACTTTTCGCCATGGGCCCTGCCCCTGCCCCTGCCCCTCTTCTCCCCTCTAAGGCCCTTCCACCAGCCAGGCTGGCAATTGGAGCCCATTTGGGAAACCCAGGCACCTGTGGCCACCATGGACCCTCCACCTGACCAGGGTGGGGGGTCCGAGAGCAGCCCCCGGCCCGTGTCCTCACCTAGCAGGCCCCCCGCCCAGGGCAGACGGAGGGTCTGCGGCTCCGCACTGCTTCCCTGGTGTCTCTCACCATGGCCAGGCTGCGGCAGTGGCTCCGAGGTCCCGCCCCCCAGCTAAAGCTGGGTTGGGGTAAGAGCCACCCAGGCAGCTGTACGGAGCATGGACCCTCCACCTGCCCTGGGCAGTGGGCCGGGGACTGCACTGACAGATTCCATACCAGAGACTCCAGCAAGTTTTCCTCCAGCCCTGCTCAAGGCTGGCAGTCTACACATATCCTGGACAACCATACAGCTCAGGGTTCCTGGATGCCACAAGAGTCCATGTGCCACAGCAACCACCTCCAGCTATGAGCAGTACACAGAGCATGTCAGCAATTCCTGCCTTTCATCCGATTCACTCATACAAGTCAGGTCAAACAATATGACCATGGTTTACTATATAAAGAGGGGGAGCCAGGTGCACACCACGCTGCAGGGAGGCGGCACAGATATGGAATTGGTACTTCCACAGTCATCTCACCCTCTTGGTAGCGCACCTACCACGGATAATGAACTCCCTAACAGACAGCCTCATCAGGCATTTTCATGAGAGCCATGAATGGAAATGGCACTCATCCATGGAACAACAGATTTGTCTTCAGTCTCCATCTTTGTCTCGATCTTGGGACCTCTTTGCCAACCCAGGCAAACAAGAATTTACTGTTCTCCTAACGCACAGGGATGCAGCTCCAGAGGGCATGCCTTCCTAATACAGTGGTCAGATCCACTGATGTATGCCTTTTGACCCATCTCCATCCTACCATGCATCCTCAGAAAAATCAAGGTGACAGTAATCTTAATAGCTCTTGGTGGCTGAAGCAGTTTTGAGTTATGATGGCTCTCCAGGTGAGCTCCCATCCATGCATTCACTTACAGACGTCACCAAATCTACTGTCACAGAATGGGGGCAGAACCAATCATCCCAACCCAGCACTTCTCCATCTATCCCAACCCCGCACCTCTCCATCTGACAGCTTGGCTTTTGGATGGGCAATGGGGTTAGAGAGATCCTGCTTGAAGAAGGTCTGAGCCATCTTCCTCAATAGCAGGAAGCCCTCCACGAAGATGTGTTACATAGCCAAATGGAAGCTCTTTTCCCTTTGGTGCCATGAACATCAATTGTTCCCAGAAGAGGTTAGAATTCCCCTTATCCTGGACTATCTTCTCTCCTTAAAATCTTTGGGCCTCTCACTGAGTTCATGGTGAGTACGTCTCGCAGCCTTTAATGCCTTCCATCCCCCAGTGGAAAAAACTGTTCAATTTTTACTCACCCTACAACAATAATTTAAAAAAAAATGCATTTATGGGAACATTTCCACTGGTGTCAAGGTCAGTGCTGGCTAGGAGTTTGAACCTGGTTCTCTCTATCTAAAGGATTCATTGTTTGAACCTTGGCCTCCTGCTTCCCATTACATTTATCAATGAAGGTAGCCCTCCTCATGGTTATCACACCAATCAGAAAGACAGACAAACTTGGGGCCCTTATTGCAGATCCACCTTATATCATCTTTCCCAAAGTATCCCTGATCCTGGGCACATAGAGAGCATGTGCACCCACAGTGAATACAAAAAACTCCAGTTACTATAAGGTCAGTAAACTTCCTTTACTGGAACAAAAATAAACTGGAACAAAATAAATTAAAACAGATAATGGAAACATTTCTATTAGTCTTAAATAATATAACAGCTTGTTTTATAAAACATAGATTTGGGACCAAATTTGACTTGACAGAGTCTCTTTAAATTAATTTTGCCAATAAATTACTTGTTTATATTTTTACAGCATTTTAGATGTCATAGGTTACTGGACCTGTATTATTATAACTTCAGTGTAATAGTACAGTTAATGGAATGCATAATGACTAGGTATAGAGTTGCAAAAATCATGCCTTTGGGATTCTGTGAAACATGATGGACAGGAAAGTGCTTTTAACATCCCAGAGGTGTAACTGGTTTAGAGAAACGACATGTCCTTGAGGTTAATATTGCTAGTCTCCCTTCATTTCCTTATATAAATAACTCGGATGGCTATATTAAATTGATAACTGAAAACTGCCAACATATACCATACATTACAACATACTTAATGTCAATTAGTGATTCCTCTCTTTAGAATGCTGAGCCAGTAATTCTGATTAATCTGTTTCATGACAAACTTGAAGGGAATAAATTCAAAATCATGCATTTATCTCTGCTACCATAATTAACATAATGATCCTTTTAAAATAATTTCAGAAATCTCAGTTTCCTTGAAAACACCTCAGGACCTGCACCATCATTATTCAGGTAAGCAGGAGGTACTTGAATGACAGCTGAGCAACTGCACCGGATTTTAAGCTGTGGAAATTCTGGTAATATTTTTTTATTCTTATGCATGCCTCAGTTTCCCTCTGTGCTTTGTACTAATATGAATTGAATATAGATGAAAGGGACAAGGTGTTAGACTCATGTAGCTATTTGATTGGAAATCAGAGTCACTAACAAACTGAATAGAGCCTATGCATTGAATGGAGGATCCAGAAGAGACAATGGCTATCCTAGTGTCTGAGATATTCACACTTAGGGTATGTCTACACTGCAATATAAGCCCAGGGTTCGCACTCAGGCTCAAGCCTAACTCTCCTTCCATGTATCTATACATAAATCGTGCTAACCCAGGGATTGGACCCAGAGTCCCAGAACCCCACGTGAGTGGAGGGTCCGAGCCTGTATCAAGCTGGATTCAAGCCCTATTGCTTTGCAGTGTAGATGCAGCCCGACAGGACTCATGCTCTTGGCATCCACTAAAAGCATTCCACAATCCCACAGTTGGACTTTTTTTGTTCTCTGGACAGTCAGGTTTGGTGGACAGTCAAGTTTTCCCACATTACACCATGAACAAAGGGCTAGAGCGGCCACATTTTGGGAGGGTGCTCGGAAGCCTAGGATATGGGTGGCAGGACTCAAGTTGGCATAATGCAGTGTAGATGCTGGAACCTCAGGTTGGGACCCAGGGTTCAGCAATTCCTAACCTGAGGTTACAAATGTGTGTAGACACTAACGTCCTAAGTTAACAAATCCAGAGTCTGCTAACTCAAGTTCTACTAACTCTGGGTTTACATTGCAGTGGAGACAAACCGTTAGGCAGTAGTAGCCAAGAGCAGAGCAAAGGCCCTGGAGAACATAGGGGAAAGGAGTCAAGTAGCTGTGTTAAGAGATGAGCTCATAGGGATTGGCTAGTCAGCAATTAGATACCTGTGGCTGGCCGATGCCAGCCGACTTGGGCTTGGGCTGCAGGGTTCTTTCATTGCTGTGTAACTTCATTCTGGGTTCACCCTGGAGCCCGAGCTCTGGGACCCTCCCACCTCTCAAGTTCCTAGAGCTTGGGCACCAGCCTGATCCCAGAAGTCTACACAGCAAAGAGGCAGCCCTGCAGCCCAAGCCCTGAGAGCCTGAGTCAGTTGGCACAGGCCAGCCGTGGGTGTCTAGTTGCTGTGCAGACATATGCCTAGAGAGACCAGATTCTCACTTGGGTTGAAGACAAAGGAACAGAGACAGAGAAAGGAAGCAGAAATGGTTCCTACAGCAGCATGGCTCAAGGGTTCACTGGATTTAGACTATTTAGATTATGTCTTCACCTTTTCTTTCCAATTGACCTAAGGCAGAGGTGGGCAAACTATGGCCCGCGGGCCACATCCAGCCCCCGGGACCATCCTGCCCGGCCCCTGAGCTCTTGGCCGGGGCGGCTAGCCCCCGGCCCCTCCCCTCTGTCCCCACTCCCTCGCAGCCACGCCACTGTGCGGGCAGTGGGGCTGTGAGCTCCTGCCGCTCTGAGTGGCAATGTAAGGGGGTGGCAGCGGTGGCGGGCACGTGCGGTGGTGGCAGGGTTGGGTAGAGGCTTCCGGGGGATAGGGAGCAGTTGGATGGGGCGGAGGTTCTGGGGCGGTCAGGGGTCAGGAAACAGGGGGGGTTGGATAGGGCGTGGGAGTCCCCCGAGGGCCTGTCGGGGGGGGGGGGGGGAGGGGGTTGATAGGAACTGGGGGGCAGTCAGGAGACAGGGAGCATGGGGGGTTGGATAGGGGCTGGGATCCCAGGGGGCGTGGTTTGGGGTGGGGGGTCCTGGGAGGGGGCGGTCGGGGACAAGGAGCAGGGGGGATTGGATGGGTCAGGGGCTCTGAGGGGGGCGGGAAGTGGGAGGGGGCGGATAGGGGGTGGGGGCCAGGCTGTTTTGGGGGCACAGCTTTCCCTACCCGGCCCTCCACACTGTTTCGCACCCCGATGTGGTCCTCGGGCCAAAAAGTTTGCCCACCCCTGACCTAAGGGCTTTCAGAGTCTATATGTCAGGTGACTAATAAATTGTTACCTTGCTTTGCTGTGACACCAGGCAGCCTTTTCAAATACTTACTCAGCATATTGTGTCCTGAATGGGTAAAGAACACGACTCCCACAGTTGGCTGGACTCGCTGCAGGGAGCCACAGAGAGAGAGAGAGAGAGACAAGAATTGCTAGCATGCAAAGGCCCAGTTTTGGAGTCATGGAAGCCAAGGGCCTGCCTCTATGGAACTGTGTGGCTCCTTGGGGGTCTGGCACACCAGACCCTGTGAATCCGTAACACAAGCACATTAATTCTTTTCCTGTCATCTTCTGTGGCTCCCACTTTGTAGAGTCACACGAGGGCCCACCCCAGTGAAAGCTGTATATTAATTTCATACCTAACACGGTATTGAGGCCATTTCAAGTATTGGTTGGCAAATGATCATAAAGAAAAAACTAGACCTTGGCAGTAAAAAACTTTAGTTTTACAACTGATGAAAACTTCAGGAACTGAGCTGTAATGCCCAGAAAAGACAGGGGCACTGGTTAGTTCATAGCTATCGGCTCCCATCTGGATGAAGGACAGTATTCCCTGCAATTTCCCTCTTTCTTCTGGTTTGCTGGAGTGGATTTCTTCAGTTAATTTGTACTGTACTCCTTAATCTGTGTTTATATACTTATGAACTCACTGGAAGTCTGGCAGGGAATAAATCATTTGGACACTGATTGCCCACTGTGCTGTTCGATTCCTAAATTGAAAATGCGCAGAGATTGCTTCAAACCTACAGGTTTCTGTGCTTTTGGGTGAGGAGACTTGTCCAGAACCTACCAGCAGATGTCCCTGTCTACCACACTACCTTAGACCTTTTCATGAGAAACCTTGGATAAAACATAAGCAAGTATACAGGTATCTGAAGTTCAGAGATTGTGCCATAGTTACAATGAATAGTGTCCATTTTTTTTCATTCCATGGACAGGCACAACTCCACTGACTTTGATAATATTATGCCAGCAACATATTTGACTCAGCATATATTTGGGCATGTTATTTAATTAGGTGATATTTTTCAACGCAATCTAGAATCTGACCAAAATAAGATGTTTTTGGAGGCTTCTGGGTTAATTTTTTTCATCTGTAATGCAAGGATGGACTTGTGTCTGCGGCAGTAGATGGGACTCAGCGAAACGGGGTTCAGTTCTGGATTTTACCACAGACTTCCTGTGTGACTTTGGGCAAATCACTTAATCTCTCTGTGCCTCAGTTCACACCTCTGGAAACTCTGGCTAACAGTACTTCTCTGCTTCTTAGATACTGTGAGGCTAAATCCATAATCACTTAGTGGATGCTCAGGTGTTATAGTGCTAGAGGCTATATACATAGCTAGAGGGAAGGCTGGTCACAACAAAATGTACTTGTTTTTGTAATATTACAATAAAACACTGTCAAATATTTCTGAAAATCAGCCAAGCCAATGCTAGCTCAGCATAGCGGAACTGTCGATTTTCTTTGCAGCTGTTGAAAGGAACAACTTAATGAGGCTTGCTCAGACTATACCATTTACGCCGGTCCAGTTCTTTGGTGAGTGCCAGTTTCTCTATTCTGTTTTGAATATATTATAATCACAGCATGGATTATTTTTTAAAGAATACAGTTAAGAAACCTCATAGGTTGGATTGATTTAGGTAGATATAACTTACATTTATTTTCTGAAAGGAACAACTTCTGTAACCACCACTCTGGCCCAAAGGGCATGACTCTATGGCCTGGTGGTTAAGGCATCCACCTGGGAGACCCAGGGTCCAGTTCCCCTAGTCCAATGACTCCTTAATTATTTATCCACAACTTCAACGTGAGAGACTGAGGGAGCCCCACACATCAGAATATCCCATAGCTCAGTGGCTAAAGTACTTTCCTGAAACTGGGGAGACCCCTGTTCATATCTTTCCTCCCCATGAGGCAGAGGGAGAAATTAAACCTGGGTTTCCCAAGTGAGTGCTCCAACCACTGGGATAGATAGATAAATACCTCCCTGCAGCCCATACTTATGTGCCAAACACCCTGAGAGGAGAAGATCTTAGGATGCACCCCTATTGTTGGCATCTCCCATTTGTTATCTTAGGTGGCTCCACACCTAGCATGCTGGCTTTTGTGGATTTCATTCTTAGGCCACTGTCTCTCCCCATTCATTGTGTAGGGAGCCCAGGTGCCTAGCTCAGGCTTTGTGGTTCACAGTGTTGTTCCAGTGATTTTTCTAGGTGCCTAAAAGTTAGGCATTGCAATGCTGAGTGTTGCAAAGCCTAAGTTCCTTTGTGGATCCAGGTCCTTCTTCCAGGCCAATTCGTGAGACCAGTCTCCGAGGATGAGCCGAGACTGAAATCTAATGTGTCAGCTCATGTCTCTCCTTCAAGTCTCCCCTTTCCTCTTGGCTTCTCTTCACCCTGCTTCTCCCTCACCCATGATTTGTGTGGCTTTTTTTGTAAGGTTTTTAAATCCACCCTCCGCTTGCGGAGTTCCTTTGTGTGGAGAGATTGCCAAACAATAAAACTGATACAGAATTTGAAGGATTTTTATTCTTTTATCCATTTTATTAGCAGTTCCTGTTTTATTAAGGAAATAATGCAGTATTCTACAGTAATCGCCCTCCAAACACTGCCACATCTTGATGATAAAACTTAGGACCTGATTCTTCACTCTCTTAAATTGGTTCAACTTTAGCAGAGTTGATATAAGATCTGTGTAATGGAGCGGAGAATCAGACCCCTCATGTCTGGGACCATTACTGCAGAATATGTCCATTGGATGTTGTATAAAAAGAACTTAAGACATAGAAATGGTACTTGTAAATGTGTAATTATTTTATCAATAATTCTGGTCAGTATTCTATTCAATTGAACATTTGTATACAGTGGGCCTGATTTTCAGCCTGGCTCATACCTGGCCTCCTTTGTGGCACCTGTAATTATTTGTGTCTCCAGGCAATGTTAAAGATATTAAGTACCTGAAGGTGTTCACAGATCAGATGCTTGTATGTCCATATTACATCAACTGCCTCTGCAAATAATCTCAGTCACAAAAAGGGAGGGCAGGCTTTAAAACTCTGGCCTGTTATATTAGCTTATGGAAGATAATAATGAATAGTTTTCCCCCTGTCAAGGGTAGAATACCGTTATAACTACATAGTGAGACAAAGTGTAAGATTGAGCTGAGTCTCACCAAATGCCTTCTGCATGCAAAATGATGCGGTTGAGTGGAATAGAATTTCTGAAATTTTGTGCAGTAGAGATGACACGGGAATTTCTAGGCACAAGGTCAAATTCTTAATCTAAAATAGTAAACTTAAATCTCCAGGCTTATTTGTCTTAATTTCTTCTAAGTTTTTAGTTTATATTAAAACAGAACCCTAAATAGTATAGGAAAGCTGATGTTTTTTCTAGATTCAGAGGACTCGTTCCCAGCTGTGTGGGTTAGTTTGGGCCAGACTCTGCTTCTCTTGCTCATGTTGATTAGTGCCTGATTTCTCAAATAACCCAGCTGAAATCAATGGGACTGTCACGGAGCAAAGTGCTACTCAGTGTGAGTAAGGGTGGCAAAATCTAGCCATTGGCTTTTACAATTGTCATGAAGCTAAAGGTGTTACTTCTTACAAGCGAGCAAGATCAAAAGGGAAAAGCGGTATGAGTAGTATCGATCTTAATTGTTTTCTGTAAGATAAAAAAAATCTTGCTAAATATTCTTCTTTTATGCAAATACAGACTAAGAGGGAGGAGAAAATCTCAGCATATTTTGATTTAATTTCAGCTTAACCAATTATAGATAAGAGACTGGTGTTTAAAAGAAAAGATTTAGACCCAATCATCCATAAAATCCAGTAAGTCTGCTGACACTGAGAAAAGCCACTGAAAAGAAGAAAATGACCACAGTTGTATTTGATAAGATCCACTGGTTTAAATCAACTCAGTTTGCTTGTTTTGAAGCATGTCTGAAGGCTGGAATTCATCCCTATGAAGAAGGCCAGTACAAAGAGACAATGCAATTTAAGGGGTGCATAGGTCTTGTGCTGGCCCTCTGAATAGGGTTGAACATCACCTTTAGTGAACAATAGAAGACTTTGGATGATATTTCAGGAATACAGTTTCTCTTCTAGCATAGTGGAAACCCATATTGGTAAGTACTGTAAAGTGAGAAAGTTATATGCTATTTTAGGGGAAGAAATGTAAGTTTCAAATGGTGTTGCTGTGATTTGTGATATTTATAAATAAAACTTCTTTTAACCTCAGCTGGAGAGGAGGTGACAATCTATAGGCTAGAAGAGAGTTCGCCTTTGAACCTAGATAAAAGCATGTCATCCTGGTCACAGCGTGGGATGGCTGCAATGATCCAGGTCTTGTCCCAGGAGGAGATGGATGGAGGTCTCCGGAGAGCCATGAAGGTCATTTGTACCTGGTCTGAGAATGATGTATTGAAGTTGGGACAAGTCTTCATTGTGAAGTCATTTCTTCCTGAGGTGGTTCAGACATGGCAGACGATCTTTCAGGAGGGTACAGTGTTACATCTGTGCCTGCGGGTAAGTATAAACCTGCAGGAAAACTGTCCAGTACAGTGTGGCAGGTATGAAATGGTTTGGTACATGTAAACACTTCCAGCCTGGAGTGACCTGCTGTTTAATTATTGTTACTACCCTATTGGAGAGAGGGCCATGGAAAAATCCATCTCCTATTTATGATTAGTAAGGAACACTCCCTTTCTTTATATATTCTGGTCTTTCTTAATAGGCTTATTTAAAAGTAATACCTATACATATGTTTTTGTTTAGGAAATACAACAACAAAGGGCTGCTCAGAAGCTGATATATACCTTCAACCAACTGAAGCCACATAGCATTCCATATACCCCAAGGTAGGGAAATTGCCTTTCAAGAGTGAGGTGGAAAAGACTAAATACAACCTTCTGCAATATTTGGGTGCTGGGGGCAGGAGTTTTTCAGTGAGACCTCTCAAGTAGGGAACTTATTCCCCTTGTCTGTGGTCTGACAAAGCCCAGCTTTGTTGACTGTCTTTCAAGGCCTATTTTTTTTCTGTGTAGTTTTTATGGAGGGGGTAGGTTGATAACATCTGACTGGGTGGGTGAGGAAATTTTGGGGAAATATAAAGGATTTGGTGGAGTGCATTAACTGGGGCAGAGGGGGAAAGCTTTTTTAATAGATGTCAATTGAAAAGAAATTGTGTCCATGCTTTTAATATTTGTAAAGGGTATAAAGCTTATGCCTGGCATTAATTAAACTGAAATAAATAAATAAAATAAATATACGTGAATTAGAGGCATTGCAGATTTTTTTCTAAGTGTATCTGTTGCTTGTTGGTGTTGAAGAAGTTTGTGAAAGAAGGGCCTGAAACAAAGTCCATTGAAAAATAATTGGAAAGACTCTCATTGACTTCAGTGGCATTTGGAAAAGGCCCTTACTGAGCAAAAAGGAAAGCCAAGTGTTCGTGAGAGAACAGCCAGTCTCCAGTTCTGCTGAGCATGCTGCTCTGAGATGTAGCTGCTTTAGTGTGGGGGGAAAAAATCCTTTCAGGTATGTGAGGTAGTTTCCAGTGGTCTGAAAAGAGAGTGCATGTAAAGAATTGCTTATATTTTGGACATCCCGATAGATCCTTATTCATATGGGAAAGCTGATCAATATTTGCTACTGAGTACTTTCAGTAAAGTTTTACTGTTTCTTTTACGAGAAAGTTTACAGAGTATGACAGGAAACATAAGGCCTTCTGCTCATCAAAGTTTTATCAAAGTGAAAATGGCTTTCCACTTCAGAAAAGCAAAACCTCATGTTTAGGAGGGATGAGCAGGTCCGGTTTGGAAAGTATGAGGGCCAAGATATTTGAGGGCCCATAATTAGGGCACATATTTTGTTATGTGCACCAATGCTTTTCCTTCTCTTTTGGTCACAGCCTTGTTTTTTCTATGCCATTTCTAGAAATGCCACTGTTAAAACCTGTGCTTCTGTGGGAATGATGACCTCATGTGTGTTACAATTTAGGATTATATGTAGGGCTTGATCTAGAGCCCATTGAAGTCAGTGGGAGTCTTTCTATTTACTTCAGTGGGCATGGATATGATCTCTTTGTATTATATCATTACTACATCAGGGGCGAATATGCAGCATCAGATGTGGAAACCATGAGCTTTTGATCCTGTCCCCAAAACATTCCCATTACCCAGTACCCAGAAATACTCTTGGGAGAAAACAAGTATATTTCTGATCTCTCATTCAGTAGCAGCCACACTTCTACACAAGCCAGTTCCATCTCACTGTATGCTGTTTTTTGTTACCTTTATGAGCAATTTTTTCCTATTTTTTCCAAATAGGAATAACAATATAGAACTGTGGTTCAGTACTTGGGATCGGGAAGGAATTTCCCCCCAGATCAAATTGGCAGAGATCCTAGAGGGTTTTTTGCCTTCCTCTGCAGAGTGGGACATGGGTCACTTGCTCATCTGAACTATGGTAAATGGTGGATTTTCTGTAACTTGACGTATTTAAGTGTAGAGTTGAGGACATCAGTAACTCAGCCAGAGGTTATGGGCTGACTATAGAAGTGGGTGGGTGAGGGTCTGTGTCCTGTGATATGCAGGAGGTCAGACTAGATCAGTGGCTCTTAACCTTTCCACACTACTGTACCCCTTTCAGGAGTCTGATTTGTCTTGCGTAGCCCCAGTTTCACCTCACTTAAAAACTACTTGCTTACAAAATCAAACATAAAAATACAAAGGTGTCTCAGCACACGATTACTGAAAAACTGCTTACTTTCTCATTTTTACCATATAATTATAAAATAAATCAATTGGAATATAAATATTATACTTACATTTCAGTATATAGAGCAGTAGAAATAAGTCATTGTATGACATTTTAGTTTGTACTGACTTTGTGAGTGCTTTTTATGTACCCTGTTGTAAAACTAGGCAAATATCTAGATAAGTTGATGTACCCCCTGGAAGACTTGTGCATACCCCCAGGGATACATTTACACCAGGTTCAGAACCACTGGACTAGATGTTCACGATGGTCCCTTCTGGCCTTAAGGTCTATGAATATTCTCCCTGTTCACCCCATTACTTAGATACTGTGGCATCTGTGAGCATTACTGGTCACTGGATATCTTTAGACTGGCTTGTTTTGAAGAAAGTTTTTGAGTTTGAGAGGAACCCTGTGACTTTGAGAGACCCTCAAAAAGACAAACAATGCCCCCCCCAACCCGCAAAAACAAAACAAAAAACTGCATGCATAATTTTACTCCTTTCTTTCTGCAGAAGAAAGGAAGATTTGAGCCATCTTAACAAAGAGAACCTAGACACTAAATATCCTCTCTCATTAGTTTTACACTGGAGTAAACCCCAATTCCACTGACTTTAGTGGAGCTTCTCCTGATTTATACTGAGTAGATTATCAGGTGTAACATAGTGCGTCCTATGAGCCCAAGTGTGTCTTATAAAAATGAGGATTTTTTTGTTATTTTGAAGACTATCATCAGGCTTTCGCAGGGGAAGGACTGCAACTTTGCACCTCTTTTACAAAATGGTGTGTGATGGTAAATTAACTTTCCCAAGGGGTCCTGACTTAGCATTTTATAGCAGTTGTTGTTCAAGGGCATTTCTTTAATTAATCTTAAAGATTTCAGTCTATCTATTTATGCTATGCTTCCACTACGAGGTAGGGGAGTGATTCACCTGCGTGAGTACACATACCCCGCGCTAGCTCTCCTTGAACAAGAGCAAGTGTAAATAGGAGTGTTGCTGTGATAGCATGAGTAGTGGCAATGGAGTCATGGCTTAACTGTGCCAAGTACAAACCTGCCTGAAACCAGGGGGTCCGTACTTGGCCTGTGCCTCCACGGCTGCTACCCACGCTAATGCAGTTACACTGCTAATAATACTTGTGCTAGATCAATGAGATCAAGGGCAAGTATGTGTACGTGAACAGGGGAATAACACCCTTAGCTCGTAGCCTAGATGTAGCTGTAGAGATTAGCTAGTGTACCAATAGCATTTCCTGGTTTACTCAGCATACGCTTCTTGTCCACTGACACTCCTGTCCACAGAATGGCTTTGGTTTGAGATCATTCTCTGAACTGTCTACTCCAGTAGGTTACATCTCTCAGGAATGACTTCCTGCTATCCACCATTTGTTATCTTCTGCTGCTGAGAGTTTTCTGAGAGGTTTGAAGTTTGTAAATGGTGGAGTAGTGCCCCACTTTTCAGTATATTTGCTCTGCTCCGTAATAATTGTGACCAGACTGCCAGGACACTCATCATCCTGCCAGCTCCTGACTGACAACATTTTTACCCACAGGTTTCTGGAGGTTTTTTTAATATATTGCCATTCAGCCAATCAGTGGCTTACCATAGAGAAGTACATGACGGGTGAGTTCTGCAAGTACAACAACAACAACGGGGATGAGATTTCCCCCAGCAATTTGCTGGAAGAGACGATGTTGGCTTTCTCTCACTGGACCTACGAGTACACCCGAGGGGAGCTCCTTGTCCTGGATTTGCAAGGTGACTGCCAAAATGTAACAGTTTATTATATAACTTAGAGATGCCACTAAGAAAACAATGTTGAATTCAAGTTAGAGAAAAAGAGGCAAATTCTGCCCCCATTTACATCCATGTCAATCCTGAGCAACTCCAAAGACATCCATGGAGTTACTCTGACCCCATATATCTAGTTTAGGTGTACAAGCACCGTGTACTAAAACAATGCACAGTAACATTTCAATTGGCTGTATAAAAGCCACTTCACATGTTAATGTTGATGAAGATTGTTAAATATTTGTAACAAAAACACATTTTTCTCATCGGAAGGCTGAAAACTGGCATCAGTTTTTTTTTATATTTTTCATTAATAAAACTGTAAACAGTTTAAGTAAGTTGAAGTTCTGAGAACTATTCACAGAGCCTGGTGGCTCCTCAAAAGAACACAGTGTGTGGTATGATCACTTTACAACACATGTGTAAAGGGGAACACAGTATATTTAAAAAAATAAATATTTGACAGTGTACAGAAAACGAACACCATCCATTGCGCAGTTTAAACATCATTGGTTCTCACTCCTATCAAGGGCAATTTGCACTGCTAGGCGTAAGCTTATCATATTTACATTTTACAGCATTCAGAAGCTGTGAATTACAGTAAGACTTCCTGGTCAAGCAAAATAAACCATTAAGTCCATGCTTGCCTTCAAAATTTTGCCTTTACAAAATTCTTTTAAACCTAAGAAAAGGTCTGACTTAGGTATGGGTCAGCGTTCGGTTTGTCCATACTAGATTGGCTGTCCCTAAACTGGAGCTCTCTAATCAGAGCACAAAATCTGTTTCTGTTGGAATTCCAGGCAGACTAGTCTGTCTATTGGAAACGTGCAACTAAAGGGATGTGCGTGTGTGTAAAAATCTCTCTCTCACACACACAATATCTATAACTATATTTATTATAACTTTTATTTAAATATATTCTGTATTAAGAAAGGCCCATTGTCATTGGAATGTGTTACAAATTTTCAGGTGTTTTAATATACGGGGAGCACAATAGTTATAGCTATTCTTTACCTATCTACCTGTATCCATTGCAGCACATGAGTTTGTCACGAATGGACCGTGGGAATTAAAATAATTGGATGCTAATGTTCATGGAAGTTTTCCTGTACATCAGCAGCCCAATCATTTACTAAGATATAAGGCAATGACTTTTTAAAGTAGAATCCCATAAGCGCTAATGGGGCATTGGTTGAAGAGAGGAATTTAGAACAAAGGAATCTGTTCTTCCACTGATTTACCATAAAACGCCTATTAGCACTGATTGGAGTTACCTATCTAACTCTACTGTAACCACCACCAGAAGGTCAGGGGAGAATAGACCCCAGTATCCTCACAGCACAGCATCTAAATAAAGGGACATATTCTGATACCCTTACTCACCTTGAATAGCACCTTTCCCCTTGAGTGGTCCTATTGAAATCAACGGGATTTTAATAATGAAATAAGGTGCTATTAATCATGAATACAGGCCTCAGGATTTGGCCTCATTTTACTGTAGTTACAACAGTTTTGGCAACTCTTTCCATGGTTTCATAGTATAGAATCATTTGGGTAAGTTTCTAGCCTATCCATTCATAAATCGACCAGCACATAATATCAGGAATGGGGTGAGAACAATTAACATTCATTTGTCTATTTTTAACAAATAGTTTAGCATTTTATTTCTACCTTAAGTGTAAATTTAGAGTCTATAGAGGAAATTGGTATTTACATTGGTTATGATTTCATAACATGATATTTAAAAAAAACAATCTTTGCTTGTAACACTCTCTTCTAATTTACTGTAGGTGTTGGGGAAGTCCTTACAGATCCATCTGTTATTAAACCTGAAGGCAAGCAGTAAGTTTATTGTCATTTTATTAGCTGTCATTTCAGAACATGAGGTGTTTGATGTAATTCACTTCAGACAATTGATAGTTAATGGTGTATTTTAAGTGTATATTTACATTCTCAATGAGTGTTTTTGATTATTATTTTTTTTTTTAGTCGGGAGTTAAATACTTGATTTGAATGTAGTAGTTCTGTTTTTTTTCCAGATGGTGTAGTTCCAACTGAATAATTATACATGATCTAGGAGAATGGGGAGGGAACTGGGCACACAAGATTCCTGGTTTCACAACAGGATTGTTAATAGTGCTTTTTATATACACAACACTTCATATACAATGGCTCTGATCCATATGGGGAGACACAATGGTTTTGTTTCTGGCCTGGGGTGTACAAGAGGTCATACTAGATGATCTGATGGCCCCTTCTGACCTTAAATTATGACACTTGGGGCTTGACTTCATTGAACACTGAGTTCACAGCAAGCTGGGATGTGAATATACTGCATGCTAACTGTCCATGTGGACCCTGATGATGTGCACCAGAAGTTGGTTAGTGCACTTTAATCTACTCCTGTTTCAAAGCAGAGTAGATCAGAGTATACTGTTATACTGTTAGATCCCATTGGATCAGTTAGTGCGTGACAGACCAAGTCAGGGGTGTATTCACTCCCCAGCTCTGTGTGAACTAAATGTTTGTGTGGACAAGCCCTTAACCTGCACAGAGGCCCCAGGTCAGCGTGGCTCCACACAGACAGATGTATGGATGATCTGTATGGATCAGAGTGTTGGATCAAGCCTTGTCTCCAGTTAGATCTCACAGTACCCTAAGTACTGGGTACATATCATTAACCCAATTTCACAAAAGGGGAAACTGAAGTTCAGAAATATTAAATGACTTGCCCAGGACACAGAACAAGTCAATTCCAGAATTGGAATTAAAAACATGATCTCCTGTCTCCAAAACCATTATTATGACTAATATTATTTGTATTATCAATAACATTAGTAATTAATAAACATTCGCACAACATTAATAAGTAATTACTATCACATTTTGATTATATATACTATATATGTATTATTGAAAAAATGTGCTAGGTGTTTCACAACAAATATAAGACAATCTACTTTTGACCCCTCATACAGGCCTTACTTGGGGCCACAGGACCCATATGCACAGTACCCAGAGTCCGTATGAGTCAACAGGGAGTCTTGCCATCCCTCCCCTCCTAGAGGTCAGATGGAAACTCCTGAGCCTGTGGAAGAGGAGGAGGATGAACCGGTTGCTCCAGTCTTGCTGTCTCTTCCTGATGACCACAGACAATTCCAAAAGCTGGTTCAGAGAGGGGCAGAAGAGCTCTAAATCCCCTTAGAGGAAGCCTAGGACTCACAACACAACCTCCTGGGCCTCCTACAGCTTTTAGGATCCAGCTCAGTAGCTCTCCCACTGAAAGAGGCCATACTGGAACCAGTATGGCATATGCCAGCTATCTGTGCCCTGCCTTCAAGAGGGCAGAAAAGCTGTAATTTGTCCCCTCTGAGAAAATAGAGTTCTTGTTTTCCCACCTGGCCCTGAACTTCCTGGTTGTCCAAGTGGTCATGGAAAGGTCCAGACAACACCACCAGGGGTCACCTCTGCTGATGAGGAAGCCAAATATTTGGACCTTATGGAGAGAATGGAGTCTATTTCCACCAGCCTCCAATTTAGAATTTCTAAATTCCAGGACCTTCTGGCCAAATATGATTTTTTGAACTATTCTACATTCTTGGCCTGTAAAAACTAATTACCCCGGGAGGACAGGGCTCAATTTCAAGCCCTTATTGGGTGACGGCAGATTGGTTGTAGGAACCTTGTTACAAGCAAAAGTCAATGCTGGTTCAAGAACCATGGTGACTGCTATAGTGATGCACCAGGAATCTTGGCAACAGTCTGCGGGGTTCCCCAGAGAGGTACAGAACACTGCACAGGATTGCCTTTCAGTGAAGTCAATCTTTTTAATGAGCAAATAGATGAGTCTTTGCATTCACTAAAGGACTCTAGGGCGGCAACCCTCTGTTCCCTGGGTATGTATACACCAGCCCTGAAGAAGAAGTACCAGAAGCAACCTTACAAGCAGAGGTCTTTATCACAGCCTTTCTACCACCAGTTCCTGTTATGAGCCACCTCACATATGCCAGAAGGTGCAGAAATCAAGATACTTTGCCCCATTCACTTCTACTGCAGTCACCCAGCCAAAAGATTCTTTTGATGGTACTTTGGGGAACTGCAAATTAACGTTGATGCCATCTCCATCCAATTTCGAGATCCATTTTTGTCGATGCCTACCATAATTTCCCCACAATTGGAGGTCAATAACAACAGACAAGTGGGTGCTGGATATCATCCATCTGGCTATATCATCGAGTTTCTCTCTTTACCCCCTCCACTACCTCTTTCTGTATCCCTTTTCAAGGTCCATTAAAGGAGGAGATCCTCCTTCAGGAGATAACACCCCTCCACAAATGCTGAGCAATAGAGTATGTACCTCTTTATCATCAAGGAAAAGGGTTTTATTTCAAATATTTTGTAGTCCCAAAAAGCCAAGTGGGTGGAGACCCATTGTCAACCTGTGGTGACTCAAGGTCTTCATTCATAAGCTACAATTCTACATGGAATCAGTAATAACATCCCTAGAAAAAACAAATGATTCACAACTCTCGATATAAAAGACATGTACTTTCAGTGGATATTCACCCTTCGCACAATAGATTCCTCATATTTGTGGTGGGTCCTGACCACTGTCAATACAGGGTATTCCCGTTTGGTCTAGCAACTACACCCAGCGTCTTTACAAAATTATTTTCTGTAGTAGCCACACAATTTAGACTGAGTGGTTCTACCATCTTCCAGTGTCTACATGATTGGCTTCTTACGGACAGGACATATTCAGAAGTCATAATGTCAACCTCATCTCTGCTTCATCTCCTAGAATCCCTGGGAATCTCTGTGAACATGCAAAAGTCTATCCTGGCTCTGGCTCAGACTATAGATTTCATGGGAGTGACCTTAGATTCAAAACAAGGGCTTAGCTCCCCATGACTTAGATTCCAAGTCATGGGCAACCCAATAAATCAGGTTATGCACAATCCTCTGATATTGGTCTGGATTTGCCTTACTCTCCTAGGTCACATGCCATCATCTACTTACATACTGCTGTTCATCCATCTCCATGCCTTTACGCTTGGCTTCAAACAGTATGTATACTGAGCAAACACAGCATGAACACTGTAGTGACAATCCCCAATAAGATAAGGGCCTCTCTGATTTGGTGAAAAGATTCTGCACAAATATGCATGGGCATTCCTTTCCTATCCCCCACACCCAACAGGACAATAATCACAGCTGCCTGCTTGTTAGGTTTGGGGATGCACATGGACAGTCACATAGCACAGTGCACTTGGATGGCTTGGGAACCAGAATGCACATAAATCTTGTGGAATGCAGAGCAGTCGGAGAAGCATGCAGGGCATTCTTACCATTAATTCAATCTTATGCTCTCTCATAATGTCAGACAATATGACAACCATATTCTACATAAACAAACAGGGAGGAGTAAGTTCCATTGCCTTGTGTATAGAAGAGGTCAATGTATGGAACTGGAAGAATCACAATCACTCTATCAGCAGTGTACTGCCCTGGAGCCCAAAATTCACTGGCAGACAGCATCAGCAGGTACTTTGCCACTGATCATAAGTGAGTGCCTCACAGCTCAGTGGTAAACAGCATCTTTGCTCAGGGGGAGCCTACCTGGGACCTGCTCCCAGACAAATGGGAAGTACAGCACATACCGTTCCAAGGGAGCTCAGGGCCAGTTATTCAGTGGTGATGCTGTTCTACTTCTTTGGATAGACCTTTTGAACTATGCCTTTCCTCCTATACCACTACTTCCTCAAGTTTTGCGAAAGATTTGACAGCACAGAGCATGAACCATTTTCATTGTGTCCAAATGGCCTGAACTGTTCTGCTTCCCAGGTCTCCTGCATGTGTCGGCCCAGCTATCCATCAGCATTCATCCCTTCAAGGACCTCTTGACTCATGATCAGAAATCCCACCCGAGAAGCTCTTCACCTCCCGGGTTGGTCTTTGGATGGGTGTCGGATCTAGAACATTCCTATTCAGAAACTGTGCAAGTCGTTCTCACTAAAGCAGAAAGGACTCCACCAGAAAATGTTACCTAGCCAAGTGGAAGCATTTTTCTGTCTGGGCCCAGCACCACAGTATGTCTCCTGTTACAATAGGTAGTCCTGTTATCTTTGATTACTTCCTTACCCTCAAGAAGATGGGTCTTTCCCTTAGCTCGATGCGGGTTTTCCTATAGGCAATTAGGTCATGTCACCCTCCAATAAATGACTCTCTGTATTTACTCATCCAATCACCTCTAGGTTCTTAAAGTGTTTAATTAGAGCTTTCCTACCAATAAGAAAACTAACCCCTCAATGAGACCTTAATTTAGTACTTTCATCACTTTTCAAGCCACCTTTCAACGCCCTGGCTACCTGTTCAATGCTTCATCTGTCTATGAAGGTTGCTTTCCTCATTGCCATCACCTTGGCCAGGCAGACAGGTGAACTGGGGTTCCTAACGGCAGATCCTTATTACACACTATTTGATAATGACAAAGTCTTGCTATGACTACATCCAAAATTTACCCCTACAGTAGTTTTGGAATTTCACATAAACCAGACTATCCACTTACTTCTGATCTTCCCAAAACCCCACGCTGCCAGCAAAGGAAAAGATTTTATTCCCTTGATGTGAGATGATCATTGGCATTTTACCTATAGAGAACAAAACAGATTGGAAAGTCACCCGGCTGTTTGTTGCCATAGTAGAATGAAAACAGTGGTTCTACAAACAACCAGACCTCCTCCATCATCGCACCCTCCTTCTCACTGAGTACTGCTTGTCAGTCACCCACAGTGGAATACACATAGGGACCAGCACTCAAAGAAGAAAGGGAAGTTACGTACTTTTTGTAACTGGAGTTCTTCGAGATGTGTGGTCCCTGTCTGTATTCCACTATGTGCCCTCCTTTCTCTCTGCTAAGGATCATCTCTGATTTGTGCTAAGAGGAGGATCTGGAGATGTGTTGGTTGACTTCTCCCCTTACGCAATCAGCACAGAGCATCAGGAAAGCAAGGGTATGGACCAATGGATACTCAGGCACATGGAATGCATGTGTACCCACAGTGGAATACAGATAGGAACCACACATCTTGAAGAACTCCAGTTATGAAGGGTAAGTACCTTCCATCATTTATGGACACTTAAAGCATTACACCCAGATTAATAAAAACGAGTTATACAGTTTGCATTTAAAAGGCATTCAGTATACTAGCTAAAGATGAGTTATAGCAGACACTGATTAATGAAGCAAAAAAACCAGCTTGCTCTTCATGTGTTAGGGGAAATCTTAAGAACTGCAATAAGCAAAATAGTGTTGTTTTGACTTGGTGATCTGAGAGAATATGACAATGAAGCTATAGATGGCGCTTGTATGCAGCTAGCAATATACTTGTGTAAAGTGATCATTCCAGAGATATACTTCCTAAAAAAACCCAAACTTTAAAATTCACTCTTAACTTTCTCCTTCACTCACTCACAAGGGAAAAATTCCAGAGTATTGGGGTCTGTTTTATGTTTTCCTTTATCGATGACTTATTTCTCCAAAAATTGCATGCTGCTTGAAAAGTTGCTAGCAAGACTCAAAGGCATGTCTTTGAGCTCATATTCTCTTAGATACCATAAGAGAGTGGGTGACATCTGACTGATGGGGCTGGTGCATATTTTAGTACTACTAATAATCATTATAATTATTATTAATGTGTTGTTTCTTTAGTTCCATTGATTCTGGGATTCATTTTTAAAGTAATTTGTGTGGGAGATTTATGCCATTATCTCATAATGGGTCTTTTCTTTCGTGCATTCTACCATTGCCTTTAAAATGGAGTTTTCAATGCCAAGACCCGCCCCTCTATGATGGCATGATGATATTTGTCACAACAGTTCTGTAGTTTTCTATACACTAGTTCAGTGATGAAAATTACAGAAGTATTTAGAAAGGGTGGCCAATAATAAACCCAGGGCCAGATCTTTAGCTGCTGTAAATCAGCATAGCTTCATTGACTTCAACAGAGCTAAACTGATCAAAGTCAGCCAAGGATGTGACCTATGTGTGTGGTACATGAGGTGTGCAGTGTGAAAATTGATGCAGTTTGGATTCCAGGCCAAAATATAAATAGCTGAAACTTTATTTCCAGGAAAATACGGGGCCAGTGTCCAGACAGTTTCAGTCCCTGCAATCTCATGTGTTTTGCTGTACACCAGAGCTCGGGGGGGAACTCTCTGATGAATAGTGCCTCCTGGTGCTCCTGACAGGATCTAGCAATTTTCACTACCAACAGCACAAGGCTATGCCTATAAGGCATGTGCAGGCACAGGAGTTGCATCATGACAGCAATGCAGATTCAGAGGTGCTGTAAATAGGGGTTTATGTTTCAAGTTAGCAAATAAGGATGAGCAGCATTAGCCTGGCATAACTTACATACTGAGAGAGCTGATGAACAGGCTTGTAGCAAGAAAAACATGCCACAGGAGGGTATAAAAAGATATAAGACAAAGGAGATGGCTGTGGTTAAAGGCAGTAGGAGTTAGAACTCCCACTATCTCCACGCAGATGCCAAGGTAGGCGGTTGGAACACCAGCAAGCAGAGGTGTCTGAAGGGCCATCAGCATGTGTCTGAAGGGCCAAAATAAAACTTTTCTAGCGCATTTGTACAGAACTAGGCTTCCCTTCAGTGTGCTGGACAGGCCATCTACATGGCTTGAATGCAGGACCTCCATATCTGAAAGCACGAGCCAGTATAGCTTGAGCTGACAGACGAGGTCCATTAGTTCAGAGGCAGCTCAGACTCCTCAACTTTGTTGTGGTCTAGGCACTGCGGGGGACGGACTCACACTGCATTAGCACAGGCATGCTGCTTTACTTACAAGAGTGCCTAAGGGCTTGTCTACGCTACCAAGTTTTGTTGACAAAACTTATGTCGACACCCAAAAGTCGACAAAACAAAAATCGCCAAAGGGTGTTCACACTTGCTCCCTCTGTCGACAGCTCATGTCCACACTGGGGACACCATCATTGACAGGGTGAGCAATGCACAGTGGGTATGTATCCCACAGTGCAGTGTTGAGGGAGGGAAGAGCTGATCTCTGCGCATCTTGGGATTCTCTCCGAGTTCTCCCACAGCACCCTCAACTGCCGAGAGCAGCATCATGAGTAGCTCTGTGAGCTCTCGGTGCTGAGAAAGGGCAAAGCAGCATGGCAGTCTGTCCCCCTCCCCTGCAGCAGCAGTCTGCCTGCTGCTGCATTCCTAGTGCAGGGCAGAACAGGAGCATTCCAATGATTTGCTCTTTGTTTGTTCCCCAAAGGGAGCAGCACACAGATACTTCCCGCTGCTTTGAAAGGGGAGGGGCACATGCCTGCAGGGCAGCAGAGATCAAAACACTGAGCACAGCAATCAGTGCAGGCAATGTGGGATACTGGCGGAAGCCAGTTCTGTGGACAAAACAATCAGCAGTGTCTACACTGGCTCTTTGTCCACAATAAAGGGAGGGGAACAGACAAAAGTTTCTGGTAGGGGTGGAAGTTTTTTGTCAAACTGGGCATTTTTTACGACAAAAGTCCCATTATAGTGTGTAGGCTCATGCTGTTTTGTCGCCAAAAGGCAGTTTTTGGCGATAAAACTTGCCAGTGTAGACAAGCCCTATGACTGCAACTTGTTGGCACTTTACCAAATTGGACCAAAAGCCAAAAGTGACTACCACATACCATGGTATTCAAAGTGCTTTGATGGCACTTTAATACCTTGCAGCTTCTACTCTATTTCTGTGGCACTAAGGAGCCATAGAGGACACTAGAACTAGTCCTAGTTGTGTTATTTCCTTGAATGAGCCTGGGAACAGTCTCTGCTTCTCAGCCAGACATTAAGTTGTTATCAGGCCTCCCATTCTAGGTTTGGTGTTTCTTCTTTGTAACCACTGTACTTCTCTCCAGGGGAAATGGGGATTCATTATATATATATATATATATATGGGAAAAGTCAATTTTTGACCATGCCCTTTTTGAAAGCTGCTCTCCTTTGAGGTGATTGATGTGTTTTTGTGTGGAGAGTAGAGATTTGTGAGAGTCAGATTCTTTTTTTCAGGTCTGCTTTTCTGAGCTATAATTGATTTCAGATTTTAAAATGTGTTGTTTCCACTCTGCATGTCATTAAAATAAAATATTAGCTTTCATAAAGTTTCTTTGGAAGTGTTCCTTATGTGCTCTGTTCCATGATGTCTAGAATGTCAATTAAATCCTCGAGAATAATGGTGGAGAAATATTAAAATTAATGAACACTGATCTTTCAAACGACATTAAGAATCTGTTATAATTATGCAGTTCTTCTAATACATGTCTGGTTTATCTTAGTCTATTTGTTATTTTGTCAGCTTCATCCAGAATATGCTATATGCTTCCACAAATGAATTTGGTTACATTGCTGAATTTCCCAGAAAATGTAGGAATACAGAAATGAGTACAGTTGGAAGCAGATAATTGAAGAGCCTTGTTTACTAGCAATGCACTGTATTCTTAATAGATGTTGGTGTAAATAGAGTTCTTCTTGTTTTAGGAAATTTCTTTCTGTTTGCAAACGCTGGAACTGTATTTGTTTAAATGATCTTTCCTAAATCAGGTCATAGTTCCATTGAATTTCACCTCTTTGGTAGCTAATGTCTCCCACAATCCTATTCATTCTGTAGGCCTGGAGAATAGTTGGTGCAGCACAACCATGATGGTCCTGTTGTGGGGTAGGTGGAGGGAGGTCCACACCAGGAGCCCATGCCCCCCGAGCACCATAGATCACAATTCTGTCAAGAGGGTTTTAGTGGGGACTGAGTAGATCCACCAGGGATTCTCTCCCCAGTGGAGACAGAGCACAGTGGCCATTAGTATTCCTGGACCTTTGAGGTTACAGAAGTAGCCAGGGAGTAACCTGGTACTCCTCCATGGGCTGAGTTGAAGGAGGATAACTTCATTAATCTCCCCAGTTGTGCACTGGAGACAAGGTTTGACCCCATTTATTTAAAAGGTTTTGGTTGTACTTTGGTTTGCTACACAGAAAAAATGGTCTCACTGAATAACTTATCCCTGAAACAGCTTCACTACATTCTAAAGAGTAGTATTCCAAGGGATAATGCATAAAGCACATCCTTTCTTTAACTTTCAGCTCACTGATATTCTCTCATTTCTTTCAGATCTGGAAGGATGGTGTTTGGACCAGCAAACCTAGGGGAACATGCAATTAAAAACTTCATTACAAAGCACTGTTGTAACTCCTGCTGCAGGAAGCTGAAACTTCCTGGTATGAACTGTAAGATTTTATATGTTCCTGAGCAAATCCATTTTAAGAACAGAGTTCTGTAGAAGCTGGTATGGGTGGCATATTGGGCATACTGTTGTGTCTTATTTCCAGTCCATGTCTAACTTTCTAACTCCAAAATAACAAAGGTCCTGAAATGACTAAGAACAGGTATTGACTTAGAACTCTGGTGAGTTGTGATTGAGTAACACTGACAGGTTATCTTTTTCCTCAGTAAAGCTGATGATCTGGAGCTCCCTTTGCATGCACAGATGAAGCTGCGCTGCACTGATTGGCACTCAACTTCCCTTTTTCTTTTGCCTGGCTATCATTTTTAAATTAGAAGCCATCAGTCAGAGGTCTGGAGTTCATAATGTGAACCCCTACCATTAAACACACATTAAATTATTTTCTTCTCCATGTAAAATGATAGATCACTTTCCAGCGGGATCAATATAGTTACCACAGCAATAATTTTTAGCGTTTAAATAAGGGTCTGAGAAAATCCGTAAAAATCAGCAAAGCAGCAGCCCACAGAGAGATCTCCGTGAGTCTTTCTCTGCTTGCAGATGTTACCTTCAAACTTGGCTCCATATATCACAGCTTTTGCTTTCTATGTATTTGGAACCACCTATCACATACATTATATTTGTTAGAAATGTACTTTTCATTGTGATGTAGATCAGATCTGTTTTGTGGGGCTCAGAGTGTCAAAAATAATTGCAGTTCTGGGTGAAAAGTGTTGTAATATGGTGTCGGATGAAAGACAGAGAATTGCTATCTATGGTTTTTTTTTTTTCTAATGAAAAATACTCTGATTTCAATAGCTGCCTCATTCTGAATAGGGTTGCTTGCCTCTGTGGCCAATGGATATTGGGATGCGGGAGGAAGGGGCAGGACTTGCAAATGGTTAACTAGTAGTGTAGGACAGTGGAGAATACATTTGTGTAAGTTCACCACCCCCTCTGCCTATCCATGGGTCCTCCTCTAGTGCATCTCCTCCCACTCTGGGCTGACCTCTCTTAGAAAGAGTCAGGTCAGTTTAGCATCTCCCTCTCCCCCAATGCACAATATAGGGTGACCAGATGTCACAATTTTATAGGGACAGTCCCGATTTTGGGGTCTTTTTCTTATATAGGGTCCTATTACCCCCTACCCCCGTCCCGGTTCTTCACATTTGCTGTCTGGTCACCCTAGCACAATATAGGATTAACGTGCCCCTTACTCTCACCCTCAGGATCTGGCTTTTGCATAGTCTGCGTATATTCTTCAAACAGTTACTGTCCATGTCACTGAATTTGTTTCCCCCCACAGATATGAGAAGAAATGACTACACCCCTGCAAGGCTCAATCCAGCTGTCAAAGTGGAGACAGAGGCAGGAGCAGAGAGTGCTGTTGCTACTGATGACAAGCTTCTGGAAAATTATACCCGTCTGTGATCAAGCAGGGTGACTTTTGGCCTTTTGAACACTTGAAAACACTCCTTACTTAGTTTTGTCACCTGTCAGTCTGAAAGGACAAAATCTAGGGTATGTCTATACCATAACCACAGGGTATGACTGTAGGTCAAGTAGGCATTCCTGAGCTAGCTTTAATGTAGGTCAGGTCCCGTAGCAGTGAAGTTGTGGCAGCAGGAGTCTCAGTGTGGCTTGTATGAGCCTGCCTAGAACCCTGGGTAATTATTCATGGGGGAAGCTCACGCTACTGTGGGTTAACTGTTCTGGGACCCAAGATAGCTAGATTAGGTGGAGTATGTGTATTCAAGCTATAATCACATCCTTTGATTACAGTATAGACAAACCCATAAATGCACAAGAGTGATATCCTACAGGTAAATGGGGCACATGTTTTCCAAAGGAAATTCTTTATTTTCAGTGCACTGAAGATTTTTGTACTTTGTTGTAATACTGCTTAGTAAAAAGACTGGAACAGGGGGCTGCCTTACCTGCTAATAAAGTTCATTTATACTTCAGTGCCTTAGCTGGACATATGATATGAAGCTGAACGGTGTTTATTTTGGAAAATAAATGGGGCTGTTTTTTTAAAGTTGTATTTCCCCAAGTAGGAATTATATGGTGCTTATTTCCCTGCTACCTTACCTGATCCCTGCTTTCAGTAAAACAATGTATGTATGCATATGCATAAATAGCTCTAGAGCTGTATACATGGCCCCCGTGTGTTCAGTGTGGAGAAAACTGGGAAAACGTTTTTTGGTGATTCTGTAGTGCAGTTTGGATGCAGAGATGAGCCATGTGAGAACAATGATAAAGATTCTCCAGTGTATCTAGCTGCCTAAATCCCATGGGATTTAAGTTCTGAAATACCTCTTGAGTCTCTGGGCTCAAGAGTTTAAAAGTCATGTAAACAAAAGTCCTCATTCTGTGAGTTTGGGAGAGGACTGCACCGTGCAATGATGGCCCATTCCTGCATTCTTTTCATATCCCAAAAATCCCATTAAAGTGAAAACTGGAGGTGTAATGAAACTGCATGTCTTTCCAAATGTGAATAGGTCAGAAGGTGAATTCATCCGCTGCAAAAGCACTATACTTTTTACAACCAAAACATTTCAATTTTTAAATAGCATTTTGTCTTTCTTGAAAATGTCTGTAATTTGAAAAAAAAAACCCTCTCAATTCTTTAAGTTTTAAGATACAATAGACAATTGAAAAAACCTAATGAATAATATAAAATTACACTTGCTTGGGTGTTTAGTTGAATATTGTAGGTACTTGGCTTTTCTCCCAAAGTGTGATTGAGTAGGTGTAGAGATACATTTTCTTTTCGCTCTTTCCTACTGAGATCCAGTGGTAGATCAAAGATTTATGCATGTGCTTAAATTGTGCACTGTGATTTCAATGGAACTACTCAAAGCAGGGGGTACAAGTAAGCACGTCTTGGCAGGATTGGGGCCGTAGTGACCCCAGCGTTGCACTTTCTAAAATCTTTAACCCCTCCAATCAAATTCCAAATCTTGCATTAGCTGATTTCTTCTTCTTGTTGTAAATAGTTGATGCTAGAAATGCCAAATTTTGGAACTTAAAAGGATAGGAACGTCAAAAAAACAAATCTTACATTTCTGTTTTTCTCTATACTATATTTTGTAGCTGCTGAACCACTCATTGCAGAAGTCATCATGAGACTTTGAGTGTCTGAAAGTTGTGAACAAAGACATTCTAGTTGACTCTGTGGAAGAAGATTGTAATGTCACGTGATTGCACCAGTAATTTTGTTTCCTTTCAGGCAGCATATCTTTCTAAATCATGCACTGAAGCAGACCATTACAGGTCAGTGCATAGCTAAGCTACCTGGGATAATATCCTAGCTCCATTGAAAAAAAAAAAGGAATTTTGTCATTGACTTCAATAGGTTCAGGATTTCACCCTGGAATCCAGTGTTTTTCATTTACTGGGGCTCGATCTTGCTGCCATTGCAGTCAGTGACAAAACTCCCATTACTTTAACTGAGAGCAGCATTGTGCCCCACTATGACTTGACATGAATTTGGTACATTTAGAGAATGTATATGTAGATGTAAGCAGGGTCTGAATGAGTTTCTCCTGTGACAGCTAGCTGGGATGGGGAGAGACTTCAGGAGCAAACTGTATTTACATGAACATGCTCTGCCTAGATATACAGCAGATAGAGTGGTGTTGCTCAAAGTGATCAACTTTGGCTGGTGTTGGGTTACAAATCATTTTAGTACTAAATACAGGAGTAGTGAAAAGTTGTTATCAGTGTTGTTGTATTGTATGAATAAAGGGGAGCAGAACTGTGCTTAACCTGTCCCGAATGCAGGGGTCACCCTCAGCTGAAAGGACCTCGTTAAGCCCGGGGCTCAAATGCCAGACCCCGGTGAAAGTAAGAGGGGTGGGGACAGGTGTCCCAGCCAGGCGGTGGGGACTCTCCCTAAGGGTCCCTGGTCTGATTTAACCTGTTCCTCCCCACTGCTCAAAGATAGAGCTAAATAGGTTCCATTAGGAGCCTTTTGTTATTTTAAGTGCTCAAAAGAGCTGAAATCACTTGTGGTGGGGCAGTGTTTCTGCCCAGCATAAGAGCTGACAATCATTAAGATACTGACCTGTAGCGGTCACAGCAGAGAGGCAGGTGTCAGCAAAAGGTGACTGAGGAGTGGCCGGTGGGAGCGGTGAACTGACAAGTGGCTGGTGGGAGTGGCAAGCAGTTGGCTGGCTGGGCAGCAAGGAAGAGCATCTGGCAGGGCGGCCAGCCAGAGCAAGTGCTCATCTGGCTGGGAGGTGAACTCTCACAGATGCACCTCTGAACTCTGGGTCCTCACTGACCAAAGACAACCACTGTGAGTGTGGTATGGTGAGGGAGCAGAGAGGGACACAGTAAAGGAACTTTTGGTTGTAGAACTCAAGAACACGAGGCAGAAGACACCACCCCACGCACCCTGGGGTGGGTGTCCTGCTCGCAGTTTTAGGTTTATGAATCCTGCTTGTGGCATTTTTCCTAATTAATGTTGTGTGACTTCCCCCGTCTTTAAAATATTCTTTTCTTTGCTTTTTCTTTCAGCAAACGGGATGTTAGGAATCATTAAAATAGGGATAGAGAATAAGATGGAGAATATCTTATTGCCCTTATATAAACCCATGGTATGCCCACATCTTGAATGCTGCGTACAGATGTGGTCCCCTCATCTCAAAAAAGATATATTGGCATTAGAAAAGGTTCAGAAAAGGGCAACTAAAATGATTAGGGGTTTGGAACTGGTCCCATATGAGGAGAGATTAAAGAGGCTAGGACTTTTCAGCTTGGATAAGATGAGACTAAGGGAGGATATGATAGAGGTATATAATATCATGAGTGGTGTGGAGAAAGTGAATAAGGAAAAGTTATTTACTTGTTCCCATAACATAAGAACTAGGGGCCACCAAATGAAATTAATGGGTAGCAGGTTTAAAACAAATAAAAGGAAGTTCTTCTTCACTCAGTACACAGTCAACCTGTGGAACTCCTTGCCTGAGGAGGTTGTGAAGGCTAGGACTATAACAGGGATTAAAAGAGAACTGGATAAATTCATGGAGGTTAAGTCCATTAATGGCTATTAGCCAGGATGGATAAGGAATGGTATCCCTAGCCTCTGTTTGTCACAGGCTGGAGATGGATGGCAGGAGAGAAATCACTAGATCGTTACCCATTAGGTTCACTCCCTCTGGGGCACCTGGCATTGGCTACTGTCGGTAGACAGGATACTGGGCTGGATGGACCTTTGGTCTGACCCAGTATGGCCATTCTTATGTTCTTACGACTCTGTGCTTGTGAGTGGGGAAGTATTGGCTCTCAGAGGCGCCCAGGGATGGTGTATAATTTTCCCCGATTACTGGGTGGGGGCTCAAGCCAGTTCTGTGTTGTATTATTGGAAAGGAACTCCTAAATATTGAACCATCCATATTTTAAGCATGTGTTTAAGATCAATTAAATTAATTCCTTAGAGTTAGGCACATGCGTAAGTGCCACCTTGAATAGGGATACTTTCCTGAATCGATGCCATAATTTGGGCCTAACTGACTTTCCAGTGACTTTTTAAGATTACACAGAAGTCTTTAAAATAGTCTTACAACGTATTTAACCTTGACTGTGCCCTGGTCTACACTAGGACTTTAGGTCGAATTTAGCAGCGTTAAATCGATGTAAACCTGCACCCATCCACACGATGAAGCCCTTTTTTTTGACTTAAAGGGCTCTTAAAATCAATTTCCTTACTCCACCCCTGACAAGTGGATTAGCGCTTAAATCGGCCTTGCCAGGTCGAATTTGGGGTACTGTGGACACAATTCGACGGTATTGGCCTCCGGGAGCTGTCCCAGAGTGATCCATTGTGACCGCTCTGGACAGCACTCTCAACTCAGATGCACTGGCCAGGAAGACAGGAAAAGAACCGCGAACGTTTGAATCTCATTTCCTCAAGAAAAAAGGCGCAAAACGATTGTCTGCTGCTGCTTTCACGGAGGGAGGGAGGGAACGGGGGCCTGAAGATATGTACCCAGAACCACCCGAGACAATGTTTTAGCCCCATCAGGCATTAGGATCTCAACCCAGAATTCCAATGGGCAGCGGAGACTGCGGGAACTGTGGGATAGCTACCCACAGTGCAACACTCCGGAAATCGACGCTTGCCTCGGTACTGTGGAAGCACTCCGAGTTAATGCACTTAATGCACTTGGAGCATTTTCTGTGGGGACACACACACTCGAATATATAAAAACGATTTCTAAAATATCGACTTCTATAAATTCGACCTAATTTCGTAGTGTAGACATACCCTTAGTTACGACACTGTTTAAACAATAGTTGTTGTCCTCTTAAGAATTTGTGGCTTCTGAAATTTGCAGTAACTCTCATGAGTGGTTATAATTATGTGAACTGCAGATTGTTACTTGCTTATTATTTTGACATTACTTTCTAATGTATATGCGTGCCCAGGTAAATATATATCAAAGTAATCATGGATTCTTTTAACAGTGCCCAAGAAAATCACAGATGTTTTTAAAGGCAGTTAATCTGAACATGTACAATGTCAAACTCTGCTTAATCTCTAATGCTATAACCGCAATACAGTGCCTGCCTTTACAACTGTTTCAGGCTGCATTTCCAACATAGTACTCATCTTTTCCATGTATGCACAATGCACTGTAGTAAATTTTCAATAGCTATAGCTGTTAATTACTTTTACCTTAACTTAAAATACACATTTGAGAAGGGCTGATTTCCATTTCATATAGTTTTAAATCTGATATTTTGACTAAAAATGTCTTTTTTCTGTCTCTTTTACAGTGCATTGTAAAGTGTAATAAGAAAAATTAGAGAATTTTTTTTCTTTAATCCTCAGTGTCAATATCAACTATTTCTGAGATTCTGCAAACTCCTGCTAACATTGTCCCTTTGAAATCAATGTCAATACTCCTGTTGACTTCAATGGGGACAGGGTCAGGCCCCTTATTAACAAAGATCATTCATGTGCGCAAAGGGTATG